TAAAAAAACAGTAAGATTTTCAAAAAAAAAAAAAAATCAGTACAAAAAAAGCATAATACGCAAGCATTGAAAAGAACAAATGTATAACAGATAGATTATCTGTTTACTTATTTGATTTGTAAAGAGTACTATTGGCCTCAGTGAGTCCAGGTGCTACACTTAGCACATTTTTACCCCATTTTTACTAGTATGAAATTAAATACTATATTAGTATTACTAACCTTCTATTCTTTTCTATTCAAACTCTCAGGTTATACAAGATCTGCCATTTCACAGTTTTGGCATTGTTTTAAGCGCATTCATAGTTACCTGTGACACATGCATTAACCGCTGTCGGTTTGTGCGCAGTAACGACGTAGTTATAAGCCATGACTGAACCTGTGGTTGCCAAATTCGGCACCTTCAACAACTTCAGCAACACAACCTCTCATGCACAGAACAAAATGAAATGCGCATGCGTCCCGGGAAATTTGTGCTCTCTACCAAAGTTATTCTCTCATGTATTTCAAAGTTATTTAGTTCTTTGTTCGATAAACTGATATCAGAATTGTGAAATATATTCCATTATAATAATATCTAAGTGATGTCAGCACGCAAAGTTTAAAATTTGATACAGATGATGGGGGGAACAATAAAATCTAAATTCGAAAATCAATCCCAATAGGCACTAACTCTGCATCAATGCTCTCTTTTGCTCTTTCATGTTTGTTCAAGCACTGGCCGGTGCCCCAGGTAGCTGTCGTTGCCTGTTGGTTTTGAAGTACAACTTCATTGTGATTTTGTAAGGTAAGAAGAAAATAAAAAAGCTGGAAAGCTTCGTAAAACAAATGATTAAAAAGTGTTATCCACTTTTGTATTACATGACTCGCGGGGATGGAGGGAGTGGGGGAGGGCATACATGTAATTTCATTGTGCTTGAGACTATGTTATTAAATATTCACGTATATGTGTAATGCATATAATCCGATAAAGTCGACAGCTTTGGTTTTATACAATGGTAAAATTACTTTTGAGTATCGGGCAATTAAGGTACTGACAAGTTATATACTGTAATACAGCTAAAGAAGTTCTTTAAGAACTCATCAGCTTACCAAAATTTTCTGACTTTTATTTTATTGCACATGCTAACACCCTACTTTTTAAGAGATGGATTTCACATGGGGGACACAGTTTGGTGATGATGATGATGAAGACAATGAAGAAGAAGGGTTCCTTGGTCAGGTAATAGAATATTATGTTGACTGTCCCACAGGGATATGAACGTTACAGCACATGCAGTAATTACTGTTCTTTATTAAGAGACCTTTCATACCACATACACAGTCAGTGATGAATGAAAATATGGTGAACCTACTGTAGCACATGAAACATAAACTGCAATTCATTTACATAGAGTTTCCAATTATTAGAAGTACAGTATGAGGAAATACAATTAAAAACAATATTTTCAGATAAAGTCAAGGAAACAACCAAAAAAATTTATAAGCAGGAGCATTCTACATTGATAATGGTGAATGAATAAATTTAGAAAAAAGTAAATAAATGACCAGTTATCAAAGGCAGACTGGCACAAGACAGTTTGAGAGTGTTCTTGCGGCCTTTTTGTAACGAAGCACAGATTGTATTTTTGCATAAATAATACTTACCATTACCTTAATCTTTATTATATTTAACTGTCTAGTCTGGCTTTGGAGGAAGAGATGGTTTGATATTTTTGATTGACTGTGCAGAATCCATGTTTCAAAAAGGAGATTCCGAAGAAACACCTTTTGAACTTTGCATTAAAGTAAGTGTTTTACTCTTAATATTTTAGTACCAGTATGAAAACTTATTACAAATCTATTCACAGTAGCATTGTTGTATAGTTACAATTTAGGTGTTATTTTAATGGGGATTACATTTTTTCATAATCGCAAGATAGTAGATCATAATAAAATGCTGGTATGTGTTTGAGATTTGAGTGCAAGGAACATTTTTCAATACATTAAGTTATGGATATCCAATGTAAGGTTCCATTATTATGTTACAGTGTACCAAGAATGTCATTCAAAATAAGATCATCAGCAGTGACAGGGACTTGTTGGGAGTAGTATTTTATGGAACGGTATGTGTGAAATTTAGTTCATAGAAAGATCTTTTATCATCTAATAATTTTGTTTTTTTTGTTTTATGTAATACATCATAGTGTTGATGAGACTTTATAAATTGATAAGCTGACGTCTTTATTTCCCCACTTTTTTTTTGCTTTAATATATGTTATAGCAGTAATATAGTATTTTTATAATATTTTAGTATTTTTATGCAAGATTTTTCAAATGCATTTTTTTTTAAATCTTAAAACACTTTTTTATATTATTAGGAAAAGGACAAGAATCCAGGGGATTTCAAGAATGTGTATGTTCTCCAGGTAAAATGGAATGTGCCAATGTAACAGCGTATTGTTAATTATGTTACTATTGCACTGAACTGTATTTCATTTTATTATCCAAGTGACATATTTTGCATTTATATATGCTTAATTGTCCATATTCATTGTAACTGGCATTAGTAATTCCTAGTAAAAACCACATATTACACTTTGCCATAAACCTTTCAGCTTACTGGCCACTTTCCTAAAAACTACCAGTCCAAATCTGGATTCACTGGTCTGAACAAAAAATTCAGTAATACTGGACATTTTCATTTAATATTTAGAATGTCATGTAATGGCTATATTTCAGAAAAATTAAACCATACTGAAAGCTCTTTTTGCAAAACTTTCAGAGAAAAATCTTATAGCCATGTCGGACCACTAAATTCACACATTCTGAAAAAATCTACCAGTCCAAACACCTACTGGGCCGTGGGCGTAGTACCAGTGGCTAATGTGACAGAGTGTTTTTACTTCCCCAGCACTAGTATTGTTTGTTTTTTTTTCCATTTATGTACTGGTCAGCCTCTTGAGCAGCCTGGTGCCCCTGCAGTACTCCAGCTGGAAGCTTTGCTCGAAGAGGGTAATGATGACTTTGATACCAACTATGGACACAGCAGCACTTATTCACTAGGAGATGCTTTATGGACATGTCAGAATATGTTCTCACACAGGTATAAGTTGAAATGGTTGTTATAGTTTTAGTACATTTTTGTTCTGTAAATATTTTTTAAATTTTTTTGTTGATAAAACTCAAATATCATAGCATCTTAAAATCCATATCATGATGTTTGAGCGCTTTTAAAAAAAGGCAACTTGAATTACATTTCTTTTGCTAGTAGGTATATCACCAGTAAGCATTGAAATCTGATTATTCTATCCTATTCCATTCTATTTTTCTTAGCCCTCACAAGATAAACTACAAACGGGTGATGCTTTTCACAAACGATGATGATCCACATAGAAATAACAATTCCCTAAAAGTGAGTACTATCTCGAGAGAATCTAATAATATTTGATTCAAGGGTGTTAAAATAAGAAGAGTGAATCTGGTCCATGTTCAAAATGTGTCGTGTGTTTTCATTTCAAACCGATAGTACTGACAAGTTTGTTTATGAAATTTAAGCTCTCTTAGTACCATTGCCATTGCTGCATTTTGTTGTTTAATTTTTGATTTTTTAGAACCAAGCTAAAGCCAAAGCTGTGGATCTACATGAAACAGGAATAGAACTGGAATTGATGCACATACAGAAACCTGCAGAAGGTTTTGATCTAGGGAAGTTGTACAGGGTAAATTTAATAGCTTGATTTACATGTTTTCCTATCCATGAATTTTTAAGGCCTGTATACGTAGTATTTGATATAGTCATATGTAGTTCAAGAAATGTTGCTTATTCAAAGATTGCACATTTGTAAGCATTCTGCACATGGGCTTTATTATATGACAATGTATTTGGGAGGTAAGCATATAGTAGAATAATTATAGCTAAAATTATTTTATCCAACCAGGATATTCTCTACTTTGATGATGATGAAAACACTGTGCTTGCTGACCCTGCAGAGAAGTTTGAAGAATTGTTGACAAGGTCTGGTGATGTTGCATTTACACATGTATCTCCTGACAATAATTAAGTTGTTCAGTTTAAATACAGTTCAATTTAAGTCTGTTATAAATTTATAAAGAATTACATATGCATATTGAGCATACATGATCAATATTTTCACTTTGATTGTATAAAAATACTTTGCTTTTTTAAAATACATTTTCTCCATACTTTATCTAGGGTGAGATCGAAAGACCATAAGAAAAGAGCAACAGCCAGAATTCCCCTGTCCCTTGGAAAGGACCTCAATATGTCAGTTGGAGTGTGAGTATAAATATATAACCACCTGGTGCTTACAGAAATAAAAATTGATGAAATCTAACAAATATCAGTAGTATTAAACCAAGGCAATATGTATCAAATTTTCTGTTTTACTAGATACAACCTAGTCCGTGCTTGTCCAAAACCATATGGAGTAAAGCTGTATAAAAAGACTAATGAAGAGGTGAAGACTGTAACAGATTTGATCCTCAAGGTAAGTTAGTTGCTATCACATCTGTGTATTTTTTGTCTGTTCTTCTTTAGTATTTTTTAATATAAAATAAGGAATTACAAGGTTGCTCCTTAAAATTGGCAAATATGAGNAAAAAAAAACGTTTATGGAAAGAACGGCATATTCTTTCAGAAACAGAGTGAACCATGTTTTTTTGAATATATAGTGTCTGTAAATAGCAAATTAACTGTTTTTGTAGGAAACTGGGGAAGTGCTTATGCCCCAAGACATTAAAAAGTATGTTACGTTTGGTGGCAAGAAGATTGCTTTAGAAACAGAAGAAATAAAAGAAATAAAACATTTTGGAGATCCAGGTTGGTGATTTACAAAAATATGTATTAACTTAGAGCATTAAAACTGTCATCAATTTTTTCTGATGTCTACAGGATGCTATTGGTGTGTTTACTCAACTTCTGAATTAATAAAGAAGACAGTTAAGAAATCAAACAATTTGTTGTGTGCGCTATTGTTACATGCTTGAAATGAAAATATAATAGAAAAATATGGAAAAATATTATATGTGTATATATAGTGAATTTTGCTTCATTTTCAGGGTTCACTTTGATGGGGTTCAAACCACGATCCTTCTTAAAGAGATACTATTATGTCAAACCAGCCCAGTTTTTATATCCAGATGAAACTGTAAGAAAAATACAATAGAAGAAACATTTTAATTCATTCTTTGGATATGTACAGTTTTTTCTTCAAGTAATGCACACATATTCATTATTGGATCATCAACTTTTTTTTATTACATCTGTTTGCTATCCATCTTTTACAGCAGTAGTGGGGATAGGGCTGTTGAGGTAATTATAACATGCGTTGCATTTAGTTTTAGTTGCAGTTGTGTATTTCAGACTGTTCAAGGAAGCACTACCATGTTCACTGCTCTCTTAAAGAAGTGCTTGGAGAAGGATGTTATGGCCATATGTAAATACATAGCTAGGAGAAACACTCCACCAAGATTTGTGGCACTGCTTCCCCAAGTAAGTTCACATCATTTTCTTGAACTGATTTTCAAAGCCATTACTAATTACAAAATTTAATTTAAAAAAGATAACACTTGTTTTCCAGTTATTGTTCATTATCTTTGGAACTGTCATTTTGCGAGAGACTATGGGTTTGGTTTTGTGCTTTTAGTTGGGCCTTGTGCCCTGGTATAGTATGGAGTTTGGCTATAATAAGTCTTATTCAGGATTTTGAGCACAGTGCAGTCTCTTAAAGCCTGTGTCTACTTGACTACTGGAATTGGGACGTCTTCTTTGTCTTTTCCCTTGCTTTGTTGCCCAATTGCTTTCAAAAGCAGGCATGCCTTTCATGCTGATCTGTCTATTGCAGCAGCCTCCCAGGGCAGCAGATCTATATTTGGAGTCTGCCTATCTGCATGTTATTACTAAAAGTTACAATAATGTGTTGGTGTGATATTTTTAAATATTCAAATATTTTAATATTCATGCACTCATCAAATTGTCAGTAGACTGTAAAATTTGAAGTATTCTAACAACAATGACATGTCAAGCTCTGACTCTCTGTCTGGTTGCATGTGGGTAAGGATCTACTTTGTACTCTACATCTACAAGTTTGTGTTGTTTTGCATACCTCAATTATTAGGAAGAAGAGTTAGATGACCACAATGTCCAGGTCACTCCTCCTGGGTTCCATGTGATCCCGTTGCCATATGCAGATGACATGAGAAAACTGAAATATGACAACATGCCAAGAGGTATGTTGAAGTTTTCATTTTTTTCCATATGCAAAATTTAAATTATCTTTTTGAGATGCAGCATGCTTAAAACTTTCTGTGATCAGGAGTTATTTTGAGATAATTTTATTATTTTAAATATATTTAAATCATAGTCTTAAAAATATATTAAAATTTTCCTTTGATTTTCCATCTGGTTTAAGAGATGTCATTTATGGTCAGTTGTTGAACTGCATAGAAGAGAAATATTTCTGTGCATTCCAGCTAAAACAGAGCAGATAGATAAAGCCAAAGAAATAATAAAGAAGCTCCAGTTTACATTCAGAAGTGATAGTTTTGAGAATCCAGCTTTGCAGAACCATTACCGTAATGTGGAGGCCCTTGCTCTGGACAGAGACCAAGCAGAGGAATTAATTGATTACACAGGCAAGTTGGATTTTCTTCTTAATTTCACATATTGCAGGACCTCAGTGATACTTCTTTGATGGTAATATACTGTAGCCACTCAAGTGTCCTGTTGTGTGCATCAGTGTATTTGTGTTATTGTCTATTTGGATTGTCATATACTAGATAGATATTGGTACATTGGTATAATATATTGAGTTATTTTTATTTTAGAGCCTGATGTTCAGAGACTAGAAAGGAGAGCTGGAGCATTAATTGGGCAGTTTAAAGATCTGGTTTATCCAGAGGGATATCAGGCAGGAAAGAAAAGAAAGGTAAACAGTGTATTATTTGCCACAGAAAACCACCCCTAAAAGCAAATAAAGCATATGTCATCATGGTTAGATAACTCGTAACTCTAGGTATGTATTATGGTGAAGACTTCTGAAAATTGAAATCAATATTATTGCATTGTAGGCAGGAGGAGCTGCCCAGGGACCAGCTGCCAAAAAGACAAATGAAGAAGCTGTTGATGTGAAAAAAGAGGCTCAGGCTGGAAGGGTAATGATGGTGATATTGTTAAATTAACAAAGATATCAATAAAATGATACAGGGTGATGTTGGACAATGATTATTTTGAAAAAATACCATGATTTATTCAAGGAGAATGGGAGTAGTTTGAATTACCTCAGATTTTTCATATAAGGTGTTTTTGAAACTATTTTAATATTTTTATACCTCTTTTACAGCTGGGAAAACTGACTGTTAAAGTCTTGAAAGAGTTTGTAGAAAACTTAAAATTGAAACCAGCCAGTCAACGCAAAGCTGACATCATAGAAGCCATAAATGATCACTTTGGAACTGGATAGAGTCTTACTTGGAGACTTGTCATATAATTTAACTGCACTCCAGACTAATTTTTCTGAAAGGACCAATCTCTCTTACAATAATTTTGGAGGAACCATGATACTGGAGATTTTTTTTGAAACATTGACCTAGTTCATGAAAGATTTCCTGGATCATTTTTAGTTCTCACATTGACAAGTGTTGTCTGTTATTTTGAATGATAATTGGCTGATGTGGAGATTAATGTTTCATTGCCTAGAAATGATTAAGAATGCTTACACTTTCTCCATAAATATGCTGACAGATATACATTTAAAATGTATTTAGTTTTTTAGTATACATTATTAATACTAGAAGATAGAAGAATATTGTAAACAAATTTTGATTAAGTTTTTGTAAAATAATTTTATTTTATATTGGAACGAAAAATACTTTTTCATGAAAAATAAAACAGATTTCTTGTAACATGATAAATATGCACTCATACAAAATATCCTTAAAATCCTCTACAAGCATAACCTTTCCAGGAGTTCATAAAAAATTAATGGTCATAAGAGTCGTAGATATATATTTTTAAAGAAACATTCTTGATTTAACTTGAAAGCAATATTTAAAAATTCTATGAAAATTTTTGATTCCCCCCCTCCAAAAAAAAATAATAAATAAGAAGAAGAGATCATTTGTAGGCATTTTAAGTTGCCCTGCTTGACTATTATGAAATCACTTGACTATCGATCCTTGGCATTTCAAAACCAGTTACCGTAACACTTTAATTCAATGATGTACCCTTTTTGCATTGTTTATATTCCGCTATAGTACCATGGAATGCTTCCCAAACATCTGGATTGCTGAAGCACAGTGTTCCACCACCCCGTTTATATTGGCCATACTAAAAGAAGGGAAAAAATGGCACTGTATCACACTTGGCATTTGTCAAACAAGTAATTATCCAAATGCATTCACAAAGTTTGAATACTTTAAATGTTATGCTGTGCGAATGTGGATTTATCTCTCTTTTTGCCACCACAACAGAAAAAAGCCCAGTCAGAACTATACACATCATGTACAGTGTTAAATTTTGTGCACCAAAATTATAATTATTCACTCACTTCTCTGTTAATATCCCCTACACATGTCCACTTTTTACCCTGGCTGTCCGCAGTTTTGCTGATGGCCCACTTTGCGTGGTCATCGTATTCCTCGAACTTTATCCCATTGGGGAGCTGGATAAGGTTGACATTTTCTACCTAAGAAGAAAATGTAAGTGTAAAAACATCAAAATATTTGATAATCATTAAATAAATATTTTTATTCAATGTCCTCTTCAGATAATGTGAAATTTCATTAAAAATTGACTTATCTCTGATGGTAAGTCTCATGGTGTGCTAGGAAATAACACACTTTGAACCGACCAATATTGAGCTGAATTTTGTTGGTTGCCTACCGTGTATTTGCCCTCACAGTATGACGGAATAATGCTTTCGTGTTGCCAACTTTCCACCAGAAGGTCAGACTCCAAAGCAGGAGCAACAATGTCGTAGTACAGATCTGTAAAGGAAAATACCTGTCTGTGTCAACAGGGAAGGTGTAAGATGATGGGATTTCGATATAGGCCTTTCGCGTCGAGCGTAATATCTAAACAATAGGGCCTACAGTTGTGACTGTATGTTTTTGAGAGGTTCTACTCTACTTCCTTTCACAGTCAAATTTTCTTTCTGCATCTTCAAGTTCGTTTCCAGTCGTCGTGTCGAGCGCAGGATTCTATTTTTGAGACTGTTTTACATAATTACCAGAACATAAATTGGTATACCTCTCAATAAAGTACTGCTACACATGCATCGCTAAGATATAATGCTTGCTGTGAAAATGCTTGATGAATTTGAAAATGACGTTTGATTTTAACAGTTGAATAAACTGTGTCACGATGTCGATTGCAGATTGATATCGAAACAGGAACTTTATTTCGTGATATGAACAATTAAAAATGATTCATTGTAAAATTCGCAAATTCTATTTATCTAAATTCATGTCCATACGTGTACCTGTAGGTATCAGCTACGAACAGAAAGCCGACTTGTAACACCTACTGTAACATACATATATTGAATATATTAATCGATGTCGCAAACGATACTAATATATACATGTTCCTCCTTAAACTTAACTTTGCATTTTTAATTACTACCAGTACCTTTATCCAATAACTTGCTTTTCCCAAAGCTAAGGAAATCATGACCACCGACAGAGATAAGAGGAAAGATCTGGTCAGCCGGGGACCCAGATATGTTTTTGCCTTGTACTACCAGACTCAAGTTCTCGAATTTTTGGGCAAGGCTACTTGGCAATTTCTGGTCGTATATATGGGGGTAGTCGTACAGCAACAGGCCACCTGTAAACGTGATTAAACAAACGAAAATGTCTACAAAATCTGAATTTTATCAATATATAAATATATATATATATATATATAGACTATATGAATAAATACGTAAATTTTACAACTTTGCTCAGCATTAATGAGGAATACAAAGTTTACGCGATATCAAATGTTTAATTAAAAATTGGTAATCAATTATCATGTTTGTGCAAAAAAAACTAAACCGCTTTTGATTCAGATTTTCAATGCAAAATGTAGCGTACCGATTTTGTCAAATGCGTCAGGAGTAAAAGTAACACATAAAAAGGCTTGTCCATAGTACAATCCGTTGTGTGGGTAGGAGTAGCTGGACGATGTGACTGGGGGGAACCGTGGTAAGCTGTGTACCAGCCAGACGCCTCTTGATGGTGTCAGCATTAACACACCTAAAACAAGGTAGCAAAAGATGTGTTTGACCTCTGTCAACATTTGCACTTTTTTTACATACTCTTTACGAGCTGATTGGGTTATTTTAGAGGCCCCTGATATCAGAGGGTAGACTTGAGGGGGGTTCCTCCGAAGCCAAGGGAGGAAAACGTACCCGCTGTGTCCCACCCTAGATCCGTCATTGACTAATAATCTCTATACCCCTGTAACATACCTTTTGTGTGCCCGTAGTTAAAACTGTATGGGGGATGCTCAGGTGGATCGTCATTATACAGAATATAACCAAAGTCCTGGAAAAAAGGCAATGAACACCGCATCTATAGTTTCAACGTTTCCACCTAAAACAAATGTTTTATCCACACTAACAACTGTCAAAAACTACATAAAAGGTGTTATATTGTTTCAGTTGAACACAATTCTAAATCTGCATGTCTTACAATTCTAGTATATGTCATCTTTTTCATTTCTTAATTTCTCATTCATATCATCGTTACGGAAATGCACTCAGTGGTTAATAGTCATGCACTATTTGTTCAGACTTGTATTAAAAAAGGGGCAAATATCTTTTAATCACTTTTTTGTAAAAGGCTTAAAAGTGCAAATGGTCCAAGCTTTTAAATTTCGTCATTTTTGTACATATGACAGTAATCGTAGTTCTAAAATCGCAAAATGTGCGAAGGTCTCCTAAAGGCTAAAACACAGAAAGTTTTAAACCGGAACAACTAGACTCTGTACGTACATCACTGTCGTGCTGGCTGTACATTTGTTCTAAGGTGTAATATAAAGCGTGTCCCGAGGTCGCGTTCAACGAGACATTCATAGGCCGCCACTTTGGTGCATTGATGTCCATATATACATGCCCCAGACCGATTTTGATGAGGGGATCCGGGTTATCTTTAAGGTGTGGAATCTTATACATGGCAAACCTGAAAGTGTGACAAAACTACATTTGGCCCCATTTAACAAATTAACGATAAAGAGGCAATATATAGGCCTAGCTATATCAATCCATTTAGCTCTCGTTGTGACTATCAGTTTATAAAGCATTATATATACAACATATTGAACATGTGAAAAAAAGAGGAAGAAAAAACGTTATAGAGTAAGGTTTTAAGAAGGGCGAAAAATTGATTGGATGATTCAGTGCCTCACGGGTGTTCATTAGAGCTCACTTGTCAAATTGTTTTTGGAGGGGTCTAGTCTCCCGACCGGTTCGGCCGGGTTCGTCTGCCGATGTAACAGGAATGGTAGTCCTAAGAATTGAAGTCCGGGGTCCATGCATATGATTAGTACAGGTTAGGGTAAACCGGAGTATTGGGATTATTATATCTATATATATATGGGACGTACGTAACCTGTACAAAGTAACTGGGAACAGACTACGCTGACTACCTGGACTATGGTTCCAAGCGGACTACCATTCCTGTCAATTATATGTTTAATTACGCACATCTCTCTGTGCCTGTTTTATAGGTTTCAAGTCAACCGACAAGTGTCCGTGTGTGGTAATAGGAAATATGCATGTTTTGCGTTGTATAAGCGGGGCGGGTCAGTGATGGCAATGTGCATCGAAGGCTGTATGCATGCATGAGTATATTATTCGTACCAGTCAACTGCATTCCCTTCTGGATCCATGCATGTAAGGTCGCCCAACACTGTCGCCAAGCACAAAACATGTCCAAAGGCCAAGAAAACAAGAAAACTTGGTTTGTACCCCATATCTTTCAAACCGATCTTCAGAAACATGAAGACGTTAAATAAGCAACTCTGTCCACCTGGTTCAGATCTGAAATAAAAATACCTTTGAATTAGATGATGATTTGAATGTTATCAACACGACAGCACTCCATTCGTATACTTCTGTCAATAACAATGAATACATCAGTATATATCTTGTACGAAAATCCTTGCGTTATCATTCATATATACTAGATAGCTGTTATACATGTATGTATTGTAATGGTGTCAAGTAAGATATATTATAATACAGCCAGCCGCAAAGTGGCACAAAACGATAACATTAGTTGCGATCTTCTTCCGCGTTTGAATATAAAGCTGAATGGGACCTACACGCGTACGTGTACCCCGACTTGCCTAGCTGGTCTACAATAACGTATACACGTGTATTCACAGTTTGGCCTGTGGACATACTTATGTACGAGCTCATTCAGTGTCACCCCTTGTATTATGTCGTGGGGATGTTATACATAGATTTGCAGTCACACCTGCCCTTCAGATGATAGCACATTGATCATATGATAACAGGGATGATATGACATAAATTAACTGGGACTTTGCCACCATTGTCCCCCACGCTCTGCCCACAGGGTGCGCTAGTATAGTCTGTTACATTTTTTTTTGTATGGTTCATATTTAATTTTAATTGTATAATCTTTAAGAAGCCCCTGATACCAGAGGGTAATTGTCCCCCTTGTTTATGTAACATTATGTAACATTATTTTCTTCGTCTCGCTTTGTTTCGATAAAAACATTGCTCGGCAATTCACAGTCACTCCACGAAAAGGGAATCCAAATCCGAAAAATGAGTGTCACAGCCTATTATCTGCAATAAAAGTGTATAAAATATTGTAATTTTTTTATGTTTTACAGTGGGATCCCAAGTACTCTACATAAAAAGAACAATTCACTTTGTAGAACTCATCTTGAGAGTAACCGAGAGGGTAACAATTTCCACGTGCCGCTTTAGTAATTTAGTTAGCTGGTTCGCCGCAAGAAAACGTCTGTATGCTTCCATCTTTTAGCGTTTTTTTTTGTCCTTAATTAAGTTGAAGTCATGTTTCTTTTTTTCAAATATATATATATGTGTTTTGTTTTGTTTTTTTTTTAATTTCGTTTATCGTTTTCGAAAGTACTGTGTCGGTCAGTCGGTCTGCCTGTCTGTCTGTTTGTTTGTTACATGTAGCACTCTACAGGTCGCGATTTGATGATATCATTTCCATTTTTTTCGAGTACGTGGCCGAACTTGTTGGAGTCAATCGGTGCAGTTTCAAGGGAGAAGCAGTCATTAGATGCTGAAACTGAAAACTCTCTCTAATTCTGGAACCGTAAAATCTTGAGACCTCTTGTTTGATGCATTTCTTAGAGCACGTCAAGCACACGTCAGTGTGATTTTTCATCTTATGTGTCAGTTAATTACAGCAGCGTCGTAGTGAAATCTAACAGTTTGGAGTGAGGTTCACAGGGATGAAACCAACACATCATTTTCTGAAGCTGCCTACTCCCACAGCTTTTCGGCATCATAGAGCAACAGCTTCGTCAGATTCTGCTGGACCATTCCTGTCACACCGGGATATGATGCCATCTTTTATATACTGTATATATCGTGAATATCTATCGGGCAAACAAGCAAATTACTGTCTCTCGAGGTGACTACGTTATAAAAGCCAACTGAGTGATGAAATTAATTCCATGCAAAAATAAATAAATAAATAAATAAATAAATAAACCTCACTGGTCACAAAACAAGGGCCCACAGAATTCGCCCGAGGCATATCTTTGAATATTGAGTAACAAAATAAAAAAGACGAAGATCTGTGCTNCTAACAATAAATTAAGGCAAAATAAATGTTTTTCTAAGGAAAGTCCAATGGATTTACTTTTTGATACATACAATCAACAGAACATTTCTAATATAAATTTTTGAAAAGACGACCAGAGAGCAATTTAAATAAAAATCAATCAGACGGTAAACACCGGCAAGCTTTGTCAATTTCACCAACTTGTTTATTTCAAACAGCGTTGCGCGCAAAGGTTTGTGGGTAATATGAGGGTCCAACTTGCCCCGAGTCAATGGGGCCAACTAGCCCCGGGTGCACATTATTTATTTTAAAGGATGGCAGCCATTTATGGTGCTAGAATGAGCAACGATGATACATCTCTGTGAAACTTGAAACAATGAGCTTCAGTTTGATGCCCTAAACATATATTATATTCGATCAAAAACCTATGAAAATAGATTTTTAAATCTCTTAAACAAAATTACTTTTAGGTGCAAAAATCGTTTATTTCGACTCACCGCTTAAGTAAAACTTTTTGACGTCCGACACTTCCTTAGCATTGTAGGCTACGGTCACTTTACAAAAGTATGTGGCCAATTTTTTTACCTCGTGGTTACTTTTTTATAAATTGACGGGGGGCCAACTTACCCCGGGGTCCAACTAGCCCCGGTCTCCCCTATAGGCCTAGCTATATCAATACATTTAGCTCTCGTTGTGACTATCAGTTTATAAAGCATTATATATATACAAAATATTGAACATGAAAAAAAAGAGGAAGTAAAAACGTTTTAAAGTTAAGGTTTTAAGAAGGGCGAAAAATTGATTGGAAGATTCAGTGCCTCACTGGTGTTCATAGAGCTCACTTGTCAAATTGTTTTTGGAGGGGTCTAGTCTCCCGACCAGTTCGGCCGGGTTCGTCTGCCGATGTGACAGGAATGGTAGTCCTAAGAATGGAAGTCCGGGTCCCGTGCATATGATTAGTACAGGTTAGGGTAAACCGGAGTATTGGGATTATTATATGGGACGCATGTAACCTGTACAAAGTAACTGAGAACGGACTACGCTGACTACCTGGACTATGGTTCCAAGCGGACTACCATTCCTGTCAATTATATGTTCAATTACGCATCTCTCTCTGTGCCTGTTTTATAGGTTTCAAGTCAACCGACAAGTGTGCGTGTGTGGTAATAGGAAATGTGCATGATTTGCGTTGTATAAGCGGGCTGGATCAGTGCTGGCAATGTGCATCGAAGGCTGTATGCATGCATGAGTATATTATTCGTACCAGTCAACTGCATTCCCTTCTGGATCCATGCATGTAAGGTCGCCCAACACTGCCGCCAAGCACAAAACATGTCCAAAGGCCAAGAAAACAAGAAAACTTGGTTTGTACCCCATATCTTTCAAACCGATATTCAGTAACATGAAGACGTTAAATAAGCAATTCTGTCCACCTGGTTCAGTTCTGAAATAAAAATACCTTTGAATTAGATGATGATTTGAATGCTATCAACACGACAGCACTTCGTTCGTATACTTCTGTCAATAACAATGAATATATCAGTATATATATCTTGTACGAACATCCTTGCGTTATCATTCATATATACTCTATCTGTTATACATATATGTATTGTAATGGTGTCAAGTAAGATATAATACAGTCAGCCACAAAGTGGCACAAAAGGATAACATTAGTTGCGAAGTTCTTCCGCGTTTGAATATAAAGCTGAAGGGACCTACATGTGTACCCCGACTTGCCTAGCTGGTCTACAATAACGTATATACACGTGTATTCACAGTTTGGCCTGTGGACATATTTATGTACGAGCTCATTTAGTGTCACCCCTGGTATTATGTGTTATAAATAGATTTGCAGTCAGATGATAGCACATTGATCATATGATAACAGGGATGATATGACATAAATTAACTGGGACTTTGCCATCATTGTCCCCCACGCTCTGCCCACAGGGTGCGCTAGTAGTATGTTACAAATTTTTTGTATAGCTGATATCGATATTTAATTTTAATTGTTTAGTATTTTAGAAGCCCCTGATATCAGAGGGTAATTGTCCCTTTTGTAACATTTGCTCTATAAGCCCACAACACAAACAATCAGTGCCATATTTTATCTTTCATTTTTTATTTATGTAACATTATTTTCTTCATCTCGCTTTGTTTCAATAAAAACATCGCTCGGCAATACACAGTCACTCCACGAAAAGGGAATCCAAATCCGAAAAATACGTGTCGCAGCCTATTATCTGCAATAAAAGTGTATAAAATATTGTATTTTTTATGTTTTACAGTGGAATCCCAAGTATTTTACACAAAAAGAACAATTCACTTTGTAGAACTCATCTTGAGAGAAACCGAGAGGGTAACAATTTCCACGTGCTGCTTTAGTAATTTAGTTAGCTGGTTAGCCGCAAGAAAACATCTGACATCTTTTAGCGTTTTTTGTCCTTAATTAAGTTGAAGTCATGATTCTTTTTTTCAAATATATATATGTGGTATTTTTTTTTTATTAATTTCGTTTATCGTTTTCGAAAGTACTGTGTCGGTCAGTCAGTCAGTCTGCCTGTCTGTCTGTTTGTTTGTTTGTTTTCAAGTTTGTCTGTTACACGTAGCACTCTACAGGTCGTTATAATTTCATCTCCGTATTAAACAAATATATAATATTTGAAAATGTTAATTCTGCCAAGATAAGCTGATCATTTTCATCGGTCAGCTACCATATAATTTATCAATGAACATGAGTAACCAAAGGGTAAAATCAAACAGTTTGGAGTGAGGTTCACAGGGATGAAACCAACACATTTTTTTTTCTTCTGAAGCTGCCTACTCCCACAGCTTTTCGGCATCATAGAGCAACAGCTTCATCAGATTCTGCTGGACCATTCCTGTCACACCGGGATATGATGCCATCTTTTATATATATATCGTGAATATCTATCGGGCAAACAAGCAAATTACTGTCTCTCTAGGTGACTACGTTATAAAAGCCAACTGAGTGATGAAATTAATTCCATGCAAAAATAAATAAATAAATAAATAAATAAATAAATAAATAAATAAATAAATAAACCTCACTGGTCACAAAACAAGGGCCCACAGAATTCGCCCGAGGCATATCTTTGAATATTGAGTAACAAAATAAAAAAGACGAAGATCTGTGCTCATTGTAGAGGGTGTACTCAGTTAACCAGTTTGTCCAGTTCACTAATCTAATATCTAATATCATCATATATTATATGATTAAAAGGCGGTCTGAGACTGGCTTTATTGAAAATATGCGTGTCTTTTTAACGTTTTTCGCGCAATACAATACCTTTTGCTTGTATCTGCTTCTGATATTTTAGTTTTAAATATTTACAAGGTTGTAAAAATTCATATTTTGTGAAGGGCTAGTAGGGTAACTGCAATCTTATGATATCTGCTCTCCTCTTCCTGCTGATATATATATATATATATATATTTCAAATTTTTCGATACAGTAGTTGCCGACATATGGATACTTTTTTGACAAAACCACGCTTCATCAAGGCCAAGATTTGACCAGCCCAAAGGAGCACCAGCCAATTAAATCACTGCATATATTACACAATGCAGCAGTGTAACAGACTTGGTAGTCAGTTAATTGGTAGCGACACACCTGACTTCATACTTCTCCAGTCAGAGTTTAAAAAAAAAAAAAAAAAGAGAACGCATTTTTACCTATACCTTTAAAACTGAAATATTCCATATTAAATGTCAAGTCTGTAGTTAGAGAAAAGAATAAATATTTTGTAGAAAATTTACTCGCCAAAAAATAATATTCCATAATAAGTAGTAGGCCTAACCCTGTATTTGTCGTAGCCTACCTGTAATTCTTTAAATCACGAAAGTAGGAGGGGGCCTACCAAAGTATAGGCTACGCTTTTACTTTAAAAATATAAAAAACTTCTTTTGTCATATTTTGTCCTATAACCTCTATGACTAAATTTCATTTTCCCCACTTGCACTAGCTAGTTACTTGAAACGGCAAGGGTAAATCTATGCTCTAGTGTAGGCCTAGAAGTTTGTTTCAAGTTAGGCCTATTTCTGAAGCTCAGGGTGGCCCAAAATGGTCGGCCCTATAACATACAGTGTATATTATTCGAGTAGTCTCTTCAACACCGAACCGATCTCGGTCTGTTCACTATTTTTTTTGACTGCCATATATATCACTGGTAGGCCTACATGTAGATCTACCAGTAATTACCTCCGACTTGGACATAATATTATGTCCAAGCCTCCGCCAAGGAGGTTATGTTTTCACCCCTGTCTGTTTGATTGTCATCAACATAACTCAAAAAGTGATGGGCCGATTTTGATGAAATTTTCAGGGTAGGAGGGAAATTGGTTAACTTAGAAGTGATTAGTCGTGATCCAGATCAATAATCAATCAATAATCAATAATAATCAAAAATCGCTGCCTTGGCAGAGGTCTGCTTTTCTAGTTTTTTAAAATTAAAATCTAGTTTCTGGATATTTAATATGATACACACCAGTTAGTCTTTTCGATTTATTGCGTAATTGAATGAAACGTGCAAGGCGACAACAGACTAAGATGATGCTTGGGAGGAGCCTTTGAAGATTGAGGCAGAACGAATTAGACTAAAAAATTGCAAAATGAAAAAGCCTTGCACATATATATATATCGCCTCGTTCTCAGCAGGATGATGCTAATCGAAATCGAGGTCACGTTGGTGGCCCAAAGCCAAAATGGCGGACCGTCAGAGCAAAGTCGCAGCAATGGCTAGTTCTGAGGTGTCAAAGAGGGCAACTATGTCTTTAACACCAGAAATTGCGGCTATAATACAAACAAGAGAACGTAAACTTGCCTATGAAAAGAACTTGGAAATCCATATTAATCGAGGAAGCGCATATCCACCCATGAACCTCGAGATACACCAGAGAATGCGAGATCGAGTAGCTGGAAAAGGAATGACAGCGGATGACCGTTTACTTCGAAAAAAATGGGTAGATGCTCAATCGTTGGCTCCTGATGAACCACGGTTTGTTCCAGCCCCTAGGAACATATTGAGGCGCGTGTATAGATATCCAATGGATGTATTGTATATGCCACTTTCTAAACTCCCTGTTTTGGTGAGTAAATTTCAAACGTAAACTCTATGGTATTTTTAAGCCTAGCAGGGCTGGCATATCTTTTGTTTTGTAATTGATGATTATTATGTAATTTGTGTTAAGCTTTATATGCTCTAAGACCCTCTGCTCACCCATGCAGAAAACAAGGAACCAAAACGACAAAGTAAATTTTTAAGTATGTTAAGAGTTAAGATTGATTTAACGTCAATCTACTTTTGTTGCAGCTTTTGATGAATTAGCCCTCTGCCCTTAGTAATATGCATTTAGAAAATATATATAAATTAGATAAGTGCATGTTAGATATACACCTCCGCATGCATACAGTATCTTGTTTACAAGAAACGTGCCACACTTAATTAATTTTAATTATATATTTTTTCCATGACAGTAAAAAACATTAAATAACGTAATCATTTCCATGACAAAGTTTGAACAAGTCGTGACAATAAACAGTGGAGGTTTTACACGATACTGATGCTGAGCAACTTTAAGACTTTATTTTAACTGCATCATACATACATACTGTATGCCTTAAATTAAAATTTTACTGTTTTATGTCAAGACTTGATAAAACTGCAAACTTCACCACTCCATGATTTGTGAAATGAAATTTGATCCCACATTCATAAATGCTGCTGTAATTCCCACAGAATTCCTTTTCTGGCAAAATTCCCAAAATTAACAATTGGTGGATGCATCATCCATCTGTATTTGGCTAAAATATTTACCTTGGCTCATATGGCTATTTTATAATTATTCAAAACAATGATGCTTCCAACAATTTTTGTCTGAGTGTATGTCAACATTCCACTTTTAAGAAGCTCAAAAGAGAAGTTGAATTTCACATCATATAAGGTTTGATTTAGACTGAAAATTGGTCATTCTCTGACAAGTAGGGACTACTAGTATGTGAAAATGTGATTTTATTGAAAGAAGAGGGATTTTCAATGATATAAATTTATGTTTTTATGCCCACCATTGTGTTTTGTCAAAATGTACCCGTCTTTGTTTTCTGGAGCATGCATAAAAATATTTCTGAGCCAGAAAACAGTTTGGTGTGTGTTCAAAATTTTGAGATATAAAGATAATTATATGTCCGAGAGAAATTGCCTTGGTTATGAAAAACATTCAACATGAAGAAAAAAAAAGGAAGATTTTTTCCTTTTGATATTTTGTAATATCTTGTAGCACCATGTCATTTGTGTGATGTTAGACTATTAAATTAATAATCTTAATAAGCATTTTAATACAGCTGTGGAATTGTTGATTATTCTTATTCCATGTTATTTCAGAGAAAATGCCATACAGACGTGCGGTCAGTGCTTCATGGAACTCTGGTTGCTGTAGCTTTTATCAATTTTGCATTTTATTGCTATTATTTCAAGACAAAGGTATGTACTATTCAGATATGTGCACAACTATTTCTCACTTTTAAATCCCCTAATTTAAGGTAAACAATGGTAAGACAAATCGGGTCCATATCTGTTGGTGAAAATTTAAAGTTTTGCATCATTACATATAACTTAGAAGAACAAAAATAAACCTTTTAACATTAAAACACATTTACCTGACGGTGTCAAGAGACAAATATGTGGTCTGTCAATTTCTCTTTGTTAATGAAAGAGATGCTCTGGTATGCAAGAACAGTCATGGATATAAACCAATTATATAAGATCATTCCACAAACAAAAAAAAAATGACTCTCCGAGTCGCATCATTGAGGACACTCTTGTGTCATATTGACTGAACTGTTTTCTATGAATTTTTAATAAGTCAATTTATTTATTTTAAGAAAACAGCAAACATACTGGGGCAAATATATATTATACAAAATGTGAGTGACACTGACATGTCTCAGAGTCACCATATTGTGAAATGAATCTATATATATATATTTATATAGATATTTGTATATACACACATGCATACATTACATTTCAGTCATGGGATGGTCTATGCAAATTTGTGCATATGGGAGCATACCCTGCAACATTTGTAAGTAGATTTTCACATTTTTAGTTGAAGGCATCGTAGTAAATAATTCATTTTGATACACTCCTCAAAATGTCGTTTCCATAAAAGTTTCTACACAAGTTTCTTGGCATGTAGGTGAAAGATTTTGGTCTAATATTTAATCTATGTTTGTATCAGAATTGTAATTTTTAATGCACAGACATAGTAAATATTTTTCTATGATAATGATACTGTTATCCTGCATGTTGAAATGAACTTACTAGTAAAGCATCAGAGTTCAGGCAAAATTAAATGGACTGTTCATCTTTATCTTCTTATTTTTCAGGGTGAAAATGCTTCTGCGCCCAAACCAAAATATATAACTCCAGAGGGCTCACCTTTACTTTGACTGTATAATACTAGGTGTTTGCAGTTTTCAGTATTTCAAAATAATGAATTAACAGGACAGTTATGCACATTGCATACCACTGATGGAGAGTAAGTTACACATTTTGTAGTAATTGGTTGCATAGGACTTCAGAAGTAACCTGAAAAGAAGTGTTTTGGGTGTTCTTAAAAACAGATAGACTTCTAGAAGAATTCTTGCTCTTTGAAACATTTGTGCACTGGAGATGAGTAATGTTTCAAGCATTTTTTTCTGAAAAAATTTGAAATAAATGGAGCTTTGCAAGCTCAAATTTGTTTCCTCAATTCTTACACCCAAAGCCTGATGAAAATGAAGAAAAGTAGTAGACAAAAAACAAAACAACAATTTAAATTTACTAAACAAGCTGATTGCCTGTGTTGTAATCTTAACTGCATTTTAAACTGTATGACAAAGTGTTTGTTAGGTTAGCATAAAATAAAGGATAATTTTTAACTTAAAAGCTGGCAAGTTGGCATGACACCAAAATTAACACAAACTGTCGAGATTCACTGGCCATTCTCTTTCCAATAAAGCAATTGATGCTGTCAAAGTGAATGGGGGGAGGGGGGGGGGTATTTATTTTAGAATACAACAGTTAGCAGTTGAGACAATATATGTATCTGTTGTTAATAAAGGCATAACAGTTTGCAGTTATCAACTGAAACATGTAAATCCAATTTTCAAATGAACTAATTCTGGGAATTGTCTCGAGCTTGACATGATCTTCATTCTCAATGAAACACATCTCCAAAAAACTTAAAAAGTCAACTTAAAACATTTATTTTTCTGCTTAAAACTCCACAAAAAGTGATCATAGTAATCATTTGCTAAATTTTAACAAAATTATTATCCCAAAAACAATCTTCGTTAGTCAAAAAGATGATTCACAATTTCAAAATTCCAGCTGTGTGCACATCCTTAAAAACTCAATTGTTACATTTTTAAGTCTACAATAAGTGGTCAAAAGAATTACCTACTTAATTTGAGCAAAATTAGATTGAATCATTCCTGGAACAATTTTGTTAGTGAAAACTGATACAAAGAAGGCAGTTGGGTATATGTCAAAAAGCACATTTATAACAGTAATTTAAATTGTGAAATCTTGAAATTCAGTGGGATATTTTACATATAAAAGCTGGTGGTATTTATCAAAGTATTTATACAGATGTTTCGTCATTTTAAGTACTTTCAGATAATTTCACAGCAACAAATTACATGAAAGCCCAAGACCTTTGTAAAAATAGTCATGATTACACTTAAATCCATTTTCAAATTACAAAAATCTTCACAAAGCTGATATTGATTCCTGAATAAAATGGAGTATGTGGCACTTTCAAATATTCATACAACATTAAATTATAATTATTATAATCATAATGATAATTAAAATACATTAGTATTCATTATCAACATTTCTTTGCCATTTTAGGTGCCATGTTTGAGTATTTATGAGAAATACAAAAAAAAGTAAGATTCAAATCCTTTGAAAATGGACTAAGATGCAAAAATTAGCTTTCTTCTGCATTTAGGATGGTGTTTTCTCTTCCACTCCTTCGATAGGTTCATTTCTACAAATGATAGCAATCCTCCTTTCTCTGTGGACATTTCTTCCTTTAAAGGTAGAGAGCTTTTGTGGCAATATCTCATGAGTGAAATCGTACCTTGCTTTCCCTCTGTAATACAAATAATTGAAATTTGTATCACTATTTATAATCAGAATTTCAAATTTTGAATTAGTACTAGGACAATAACTCAAACCAACTTATAGGAGGTATTTCACAAAAGAACACGAGTCCAGACATTGGTCTCATGTTTTGGACATTGTTATATTACAGACCAAATTGAACTACTTCCTATGAATTTATCTTGAAATAAATAAAATGAAAATGTTGGTATAAAAGGTTTGGCCAGTTTGGAGGCTTCAGTTATTTTGTGAGACGGTCCCAGCACTTAAAAACATAAATAAAAATTTACATTTTAGATGACAGTTATATGCAAACACCCTGAGCTTCAGAGATAACTTGACACTAACCTCTTCACTGTAGCCTATCTTCATCGTGTCAAGTTACTTGCTACAGTGAAGAGGATAGTGTCAAGTTATCTCTGAAGCTCAGGGTGTATGCAAATGGCATGCAGCAAAAAAGCATTAAGCAACTAGTTCTTGTCATGATAAAACTTGGATCTAGGATCTAGTGCCCCATTTCACAAAAACCCATAAACTTTCCAGCTAAGCATAGATCAATGAAATCAAATAGTTGACTGCCCAAAATAAAATTTCTATTATTGGTCAACAGAAAATACTTTTTATAAACCACTGGTTCACAAGAAATGTAATCGAGATTCATACCAATCCAATGAGGACCAAATCAAGACAATTATAATTTGCATTAGAGACTAATTAAAAGACTGATTTACATAAGTGGGCTAAAATTCTTAGAAGTCCTCACTAATAACTGTTTCTGAGATAATCATTTTGTGACACAGGCCCAATGATACCTTGTTTTAACAAGGTAAAAAGCTTATTTCTAGTTTCCCTGAAGTCAAAATAATTACTAGTGAATTTGTTTGTTGTTACAAAATAACAGAAATGTCAATAGAGCTCTAAAAAACTGATTTTTGTCTGGAGTGGGTTCAAATATTTTTTATTGCATTCCCATTAACTATTCGGTGGCAAACTTATTGAGGCAAATTTTGTTTCCTAACAACAGCATGTACCTCAACACATAGATAGACCGTTCCTTGAGAAGCACTTTGGCCCATTTGTCCTTCTCTTTTTCATGCACCAATTTCATCACGCAGGAAGATAAGAGATTCATGCCTGCAATGGTTGGGCCACAGAACTGCAACAAACCAAAACACTCCATTTAAACAGAATCAACTGCACAATCAATATGCTTCATGTAAATACAAAGCTCATTAGTTTCAAAACATGCTTCCTGGTCATCTGAGAAAGGATGCATAGGCACAATGAGGTGAACAGCAATTAAGTGATGATGTAATAAAACAAAATATAATAATCCAAAATATAACAATAAATATGGCATGGCTAGGTATATTTGGTAGGTGTTCAAATTTTGGAAAGGGTAATTGGTTTAAGTACAATTTATATAATCAATTTCAAAAGAGGCAATTTTTCCTGAACTTTCACAAATCTAACTTTTATTGTTTATAATTTAATTTTTTTTATAATTTTCATAATTCATGAATTCTCATTTACTAAAAGTTATGTGTCAAAGGAATAGATACATGAGCTGTTCCATTAAAAAAGTATCACAAACAAAAAATTGAGATAGTTATTACCTTTAACATGCAATCACTTTCAAAACCAAATCTTTAAAATTTAATGACCAGTCATCACAATACATCCTTTAATACAAAACCTGTTGTACATAGACAGAGGAAGACAGGCCAAATGTCAAATGGCCAGAGTACCATACACAGGCAATTACAACTGTAACTGCATGACAACCAGCTTGACAATTGCCACTAACATGGGTAACTCATCTGAATTAGTTATGATGCATCATTCCATTCTTACACTGTATATCAAATAACTGATTACATTTTGTACGTGCATTTCTGCATTGTAAAATGTGTCGGAATCTGTACTTGTAAGTAAATTGACAAAGTTACAATTCCCTACATAAAATTGTCATCTGATTTGAATTCCTTGTTATATATTATCAAATGCATGACACATATTATATGAGGTGTGGGCATGCTTTAGAGACTGTTCCCAGAGACTATTGTACTAACTTTGGATCGAACTATCTCCAAGGGGATTCTCGCTTAATTGCAATTAACTAAAACGACTTAGATGTCTTCCATGCTTACTGAAGCAGATATGAGGTAATTAACTATCATTAACAGCTTTAACAGGCGTGCCAGATATCTTACCCACTTAAGCTGAAAGTAGTTTACCAGATACCCCCTTGGAGATGGACCGATCCTGTTTGATCGATCTAGGGATGGGAATCCAGTCTTGGAGAGCAATGCAAAGCCGCAAGCTTCAAAAAGCAAGCTACTGCAGGTTTAAGCACCAAAATTGGCAGCAAAAGAAGTCTTCATTCTAAAGATCCTTGGTAACTTACTTCATCACATACAAAGATCGTCTTTCAATTAAAATATCTGCAAACTTGTCTTTCTGTTCATAATGAACAAATCTCATCACACACGGTGATAGTGTGTTCAAACCCGCTATTACGTTACCACAAAACTAAAAGAAAAAAGTATTTCTGTTACTATTTAGAAAATATACAAGCTCTAATTGTTCATTTGATGCCGTCCAAGATAAATTAATGTAACTTGTCAATTAATGATTGTTCTTAAAAGTTAAAGAAGCACTTGATAAGCTTTTAAAGCTCTAGAGAGCAAAAATACTCTTTTAAATACAGTACAGTAGCCAAATATACTAATTTACAGAAAATATATATATGTATGTTTACTTATAAATAGAATCAGTCATGCTAAGCATCTTAAGAATAAATAAAATATAATAATAATGAAAATAAACTAGAAAAGCAGACAGAAGACCTTTGCAAAGGCTAATTTAACAGAATATTTTGGTTTTACTGAAAAAAAATTTAATATTATTAATCAATTATTTAATAGATCACCACCAAAATATAATCAATATTAAGTAAACCTTTTTCAAACCTTTCCTGAAAAATTGTTTTAAAAAACAGTCCACAATTTTTTGAGTTAGAATGTTAACTAACAAACCTTAAAAGGCAAAAACAACCTACTTCAAAGAACTAATATTAGAAAAATTTTCACGTGTTTCTCAGAGGTATGATGTGCTAACTTATTAAAATTGTGAACAGGACTGCTAATGCATGAATTTTGTGCCATTGACAACCATAATGAATGTTCTGTTTCGATATCCTATTTACAGACATATAAGAATGGACTTATACTGAGTAAGAGATGTGCATTTTATATAGGGGTACAACTCTGCCTAATGACTGTACTGTTATGATCACCCCCCTCAATATTACTTGCATTATTCAAAAGTATCATAGCTCGCAAAAATAATTAACCTTTTATTTTTAAAAAATATTTTGTAAATTACCTTATATTTATCACTTTCTGGTGTATAAAAATGTAACCTTTTCTTTTCCCCAAACAGATTTTTTTAAAAACACTTGTATATTTCAAGCTGGACATTCGTAGTATAAGATAGTACAAAAAAATGTGATGGTTAAATACTCACCCTAACACTGTCAATGTGTGGGTTGATGTAGCCACTTCTGGAGAGGTCTAAGAGGTGAACGTATGTAAGTTGTGGAACATCGGGAGGGAATGCAAGTTCACGAACTCTGTTGATAATCTCAGTGTTTGCTTTATTCCAATCCTTTTTGTCTGTTTCACGATAACCATAAATAACCTAAAACCAAAACTCTCAGTGTGATTAAGGACATATGTTTTACATTGTGTATGACACCCTGACTTCATAGTGCTATTTATTGTCATTTTTCTTTGGTCGTAAATAAATTAGTGCTATGGTTTTGTGAACAGGTTTGCCTTTAAAAATATACCTACGATCCAAGGTAAGAACACTCATAATAAAATAAAGCTGCATAATGTCTAACCTTTTATGTTAATAATGTCAATTGCAATGAAAACAACTGTCATTGTCAATTATCATTGGTAATATGTAATGACTTACGCTATCCCAGTGGTCAAATTCATATTTCATCATTTTGAGTCGTGGTTCTACCTCGGAGAGCAGCGACAACTCTTCCTTTTCGGACAGAAAGTTTTCAAATATGCTGACATCTTCTGCAATCACTGATTCGGTCTCGGGATCACTAGCATCTATATAATCACGAACCTCCGCTTTCTTCATTTTCATTTCACCATAACCAGCAAAGGTTTCAGTCCGAGCAGTGCTTGAATATCGGCATATTGCTATTCTAACTGTAGAGCATTTCCAGACATTCCTTATAATACCTGACATGGCAATTAAAGACATTTTTTTGTTTTTTTTCCTGCACGGTCAAATAGGACATATATCCTGACGTGGTGGCTGTCACATCACATCGGTACTCTATTTTAGTTTTTCTTTTCTACTATAGGTTATCAAGAAAAGCTGTCTTTTTCTTTAAAAAAAATTCAGAAAAATAATCATACTTATCTCTTTTGTTTTTATTACTTTTTGAGGAATAATGTATTTTAAAGGGGAAAAATCTGGTTCTTATCATGCGATGAGATAAAAACTGCATCAAGTAAAGGTTTTGATTATCTTGGCTCACGGAACGGAAATAGCGCAGTATATGTTGCGCAGTCCGTCGCCAATGGTAACTAAGGGAATCAAACAGCGACTGCCATAGCTGCGAATGGCACTGATGGAATAATTCGTCATTTCATAATATCAGAGTGAACGGCTTATTTTGAAATATACTTATATAAAAAATCAGTAGTTAAGGTAAGTAAAGTTTCAATAGATTACACAGAACCTATGTATTTTCAATTTTATGGTATATTTGTAACTGTAGTAAATGTGGTTACAGTTGCACCATGCATTTGGTGTGTCAGTTGTCTGATTGTACTGTTAATATAAACAGAATATCACTCGATGTGAAAAAGTACATGTCACATATTTAATTAGTTGAAATAATGTTAATTCAAACGCTTTTGGAAGGAGAAATTAACAATGGCTTATGACTTTATGACTTCTGAAGTTGTGTCGTTAAGTAAACTTTGAAAATATAGAAATCTTTTCTGTTATACTGAAATGAAATGTTTTGGAGTGAAGGAAGTGTTTTATATCTTTCTTTATGCTAGAGATGCATTTTCAGTTCTACTATGCCTGATGCATGTACCTAATATGCTTGACGTATAAAATGAGATTAATTTTTTTGAAATTTAAGATTTTTTTCCTTTTTATAGGTGAAAAGAAGTGTACAAGATGTCAATTGCAGTTGCCCAAGCTCGCCATATATTTGGCCTGAAGACAGGGGTAACTGGAAATGTTGCCTATCAGGATGAGCAAACTATTATTTACCCATCTGGCTCCAACTGTGTACTGTATAACATTGATCAAAAGGCTCAAAAATTCATCCCTGGATCTGAAAAAAGTACTGGGATGACTGCCATGGCAGTTAGCCCCAACAGAAAATATGTGGCAATTGCTGAAAAAGGAGAAAAAGCTACCATCACAATATATGACTTGCATTCACAGAGAAGAAGGAAAGTACTTAGCTCACCTGAGGTGCAGTCTGGAGAGTATGTCAGTCTTGCATTTTCTCCAGATTCTAAATACCTTGTTGCCCAAGGAGGAAAGCCTGATTGGACACTACTGTATTGGACCTGGGATAAATCTAAAGTTATGGCTAGTATCAAGACATCTGTAGCACAGGGAAAAGAAATCCCACCTCCAGTCTATCAGGTAGGCATTTATATTTAGACAGCACCATCCTGTCTGTTAGTTTTAGTTTTTATGTTATAAGTACCATTATAAGATTGAACGTAGGAAGGATACAAGTTGTTAGCAATGTTGGATTTTGTCAATTGTCATTTGCTTTTATTCCAAAGTGCATTACTATTTAACCTGTATTATTTATCCCTTTTCAGGTTACTTTCAATCCACAAGACAACACCCAGCTATGTGTTGTAGGTAACCAGATCTTCAAATTGTATCGCTACAGTGAGGGTAGCCTAAAACCATTTGCCTTTCAAAAAATGGAACCACAGAACAACTTATGCCAAGCTTGGGTATCTGATGAAAGAGTGGTAGTTGGGACAGACAATGGGAGGCTTTTGTTGTTTGAAGCAGGAGAACTGAAAAACGAGTTCCATGTGGAGAAGTCACAAAAAGGAGACAAAGAAAAGTAAATCAAAATTAATTTTTTTCATTATCATATAAGATACTGTCCCAATTACACCTGCATTATATTAGCTTTTTCTAATTTGAAGAACTGCTTATACTAACTTTCTTTATATAGATCCTATGATCACTGAAGTAGTCAAGTATGACCTGATTAACATATTGTGTGAAATTAATTTAAGGATGGACAGCATCAGTGAAGGTGAGGCAACTCAGCCTTCAGGACCACCAGAGATTACTGCTATTGTAGCATACTCTAAGGGATTTGCATGCTCAGTTGGTCCTGGCACTGTCTTCCTGTATGAGAAAACTGATGACAAAGAGTATTTCAAGAAAGCCAGAGAAATAAAGGTAACATGGCAGTGCATGTAATATGTTATAATATAATTTGTCTACACATGTTCTTTCAACACATTTTTAGAATTCAGACCAAATGTTGTAAACTTAAGAATATGTGCACAGTGTGAAATGAACTGTAATAAACAGATAGAATCAGATATGCATTTTACTACCTTTAATTAATACTAAATTTACTACTCCCAATGGAAAGACTTAGTTGCCAAATTCATTATTTTCCAGATACCTGCTGATAGCAACAGTGCTGATCCCAGTAAATCAGAGAACCAAGTGATAACCAGCTTGACTGTTAGCCCATCAGAGGAAACATTGGTAGCTAGCACTGACAGCAGCCAGCTCTATAGCATGACCCTCTCCAGCGCTGACCTGGGAAAGGTAAGTAGTATTTTACGTGTCTGTTTTTTACACAGATGAGAAAATTTTCTTATTTTTTATTGCTTTTTTTTTAGCTAGCCAGTAGAGATACAAAAGAACCAAAAATTGATGTAATAAATTGTAGTATTGAATTTACAAAAAAGTAAGTACACACTTTTTTTATTTCAAAAGCAAAATATTTTCTTGAGAAGCAGTTTCCCATTTCTGATGTGGTAGTTGCATGCTTTATCATTAGTTAATGTGATTGTGTGTTTTCAGGATGGCCAAGCTTACTTTGAGTACCTGTGCCAGGCATTTCATCAAGGTCAGATCACAGGCTTGGATGTGTGTATAAGGAAGGCCTTGGTTGCAACATGTGGAGTGGACAGATCTGTCCGGATTTGGAATTTTGAGAACTGGTGAGTTCTTATCATAATTGATTGAAAGAAAAATATTTTAAATATGTATTGTAATTATTTTTCAGAATAAAAGAAAACAGTAATATCTTCTTATTGTAGACTTAACTTAAGCTACTTTAGAAATAGCTGTTGTTTTTCTTTAATACAAAATTGGATAATTTAAACTAAACCTTGATTTAATATATTTCCCTCATAGTATACATCATAGTTTACAATTTTATAATGTTTAATGAGTTTTAACTTTAGTTAAAACAATTGAATTGTTAAATTTTATTTCTTTTGTCACTTTCAGTAACCTTGAGCTGTATAAAGAGTTTGCTGAGGAGGCGTACTCAATAGCTTTACACCCTTCAGGCTTGTATGTGCTGGTTGGCTTCAGTGACAAGCTGAGGCTTATGAATCTGTTGATTGATGACATCAGAGTCTTCAAGGAGTTTACTATTAGAGGATGCAGAGAGGTCAGTTATAATTGAGGAATTCATTTGATGAATCATTAGCACTGGGAGCTAGAATGTTGTCTTAATTGACTCAGTGTCTGTCAGCAGAATGTGTTGGTTAATGAAAAGGAAAAAGATTGATTTTATTATTAATAAGTCTTATCTTCATCAGCAAAATTGGTAAAAATTCCATGCATGTACATATCAGGGGTTGTCAATGCAGATAATATAGACTTATCTGTCTATTCCAGTGTGCCTTCAGCAATGGTGGCCATCTGTTTGCTGCTGTGACCAGTAACTTGATCTACATTTACTCCACTGCAACATTTGAGAACCTGCTGCAGCTCAAGGGGCACAATGGTAAAATTCGCTCAGTGATCTGGACTGCTGATGACAACAAGCTCATCTCTTGTGGGATGGATGGCGCTGTGTATGAATGGGATACATTTACAGGGAAACGTGTGGGAGAGAATGTCCTCAAGTCCTGTAGCTATAGTAGTGTAGCAGTCACTCCAGATGGCAAAACTACTCTGGCAGTTGGAACTGATCACACACTAAAGGAAATTTCAGATTCTTCGGTGAGATTGACTTTTAATCTAGATAAACATACCTTTACTTTATACAGTTAGTCTTAAATTTGTGCATCCTTTCAGCCCTGTCTGTATTTTAAGCCCATCGTTAAGAGTAATGCTTTTCCTTTCTTCTTAAAGATACTAAGAGAAGTACCAGCTGAGGACACCACCCTGAACACTGTTGGCATGTCCCACTCTGGCCGTATGTTGTTTGCTGGGACCAACACTGGAACGCTACGGTCCTACAAGTTTCCACTCACTGCTGATGGAGAGTGGCAGGAATACCAGGGCCACTCTTCTGCAATAACTAAGGTATTTTTTGAGAAGAATTTCATCATCCTTGTTAAGTTATAAGAATGATGTGATTTTTTCTTCAGTCAAGAGCTAATATTGATATATTATTAATATTAATACTATTACTATTAATATTAATATCTATATTAGCTGTTGACTGAAGATAAAAATCACAACATTCTTAACTAAGGTATTTTTTATTCTAAAATGCTATGTAAGCAATTTATAGTTCTATGCAAAAGTTTGCTACTTTTTGGACATTTTTTGGTTGGCTGTGACAGATGCTGTGGTGCCATTTTTATGTTGTAAGTAAGTTGTATTTATATTTATTAATTTTTACCTTTTTTAGATGAAAATAACATATGATGACACAACCTTGGTGACTGTCTCAGAAGATGCATCCATTATGCTGTGGAAGATTCAAGATAAAGAAGGCAGAGGGGCAAGGAGAGATAAGGAAGTGGGATGGGCTGAGGAAATTCTTATTACAAAGAGTGATTTAGAAGAAAAGGTAAATTTAGCTGTAGTTTTAGAGACTCCCACTTGAGTTCCTTCTTTAGTAAGGTAATTCTTGAATGTTTACTCTCAGGACAGTGGTTTTTGTTATTGTCATATATACTACATTCTTAAAAATAACTATGCCAGTTGCTCTAAACTAGATTTAGTACATTTTCTTTACTTTCAGAACACCATGATGGCTGAGCTTAAAACCAGAGTTGATGAACTCAAAACAGAAAATGAATACCAACTGAGGATGAAAGATATGAATTACAATGAAAAGATAAAAGAGCTGACTGAAAAATTTATACAAGAAATGGAGTCCTTGAAAACAAAGAATCAGGTAAAGATTTCCTTAGGGGCATTTGGCATTTTTCCCTTCACAACGGTTTCCCTCTATAGGACTTGCCCATCCTTTTATGTCTCAAAATAAAAAAAAAGAAGAAGTTCATGTCATCTATACTTTCCTGTAAGTTTATAGAAAAAGAAATCAGCAAAAAGCTTTGCATGGCAGAATATTTTATTCAACAGAACTCCTAAAATATGTTGTTGGAATTTGTTGACCTGGCTGTGAATACTTCATTTTGTATTCTTTTATTTTGCATATATAGGTGTTGAAAACTGATAAAGATAAGGAAGAAGCCAAGCATGAAGAGGAGGTACAGGAGGCACTGGAGAAGCATGCTAAGGAAATGCAAGACATGGGTAAGCTGTAGTACCATTTTTACTCATTAAGATGATTTAAGACTCGATTGTTTGTAACTTTTGCCTGGCAGTTTTGGGACATATTGTGTGGTCTTTTTAAAATTCACGTTTTTCTTTTATTTTTGTGCAGAGAGTGCAAACAACCAGAAATTGATGCTTGAATATGAAAAGTATCAGGACCTGTTGGCAAAGAGTCAGAAAATGCAAGAAGATTATGACCGTCAGCTGCAGGAGATGGAAGATAGCAAAGAACGTGCCCTAGAGGAACTGACAGAGTATTATGAAACAGAACTACAGAAGAAAACTACTCAGTTGGAAGAGGTAAGTTTATTTTATTTTAAATTTGACAGTATCACTATAACCTGTTGTGTGAAGTTAAAAATATCTCAGTTAAATGTATTTGATGCCATCTGCTTTGTGACACTAAATAAGACATCACTGGAAAATAATGTGCAATTACAGACTTACAGTTATGTAGCAGTAATGAAAAAATGTTTTTTGCATCATACCAATAAAAATTTATTACACTGAATTTACCCTTTTTGTGATATTTATGATTTATTTTAAATCAAGGCACATGATCAAGCAAGAAATGCACAAAAAGAGTATGAAGAAACCAAAAGGCAGATTGAAGAAGATGCAGATAGGGAAATTCTGGACATCAAGAACAGATATGAAAGGCTGCTTAGAGATGAAAAGGAATCTAACCTTAGACTTAAGGGAGAAAGTGGAATCATGAAGAAGAAGGTGTGTTTTGAATTTTTAACAAAGTTTAAAACATTTGAAAATGAAATTTTCTTTTTTGAAAAAGAAACAGAACTAAACAACAATTAATTACAACTACATTGCCTTACAGTTCACAAGTCTTCAGAAAGAGATAGAAGATCACAAGGAAGAGATAAAAAAGAACCACACTGACAAGGAGAAGTTGTCTGGTGTTATTTCAAATCTTGAGAAGGACAAGACTGGTCTTAAAAAAGAAATAGCAGAGAGAGATGAAACCATTCAAGATAAGGTAAGTGTTATATTTCAAAGAGCATAGTTGATTCAGAATTGTCATTTACTTCATATATTTCAGTATGATGAAAGTTGGTATAACTTTTTTCATACATTATGCATACCTACTGAAAATTAACTTGTTTGTTTGATGGTTTATAGGAAAAGAGAATTTATGATCTGAAGAAGAAAAACCAAGAACTGGAAAAATTCAAATTTGTGCTGGACTACAAAATTAAAGAATTGAAGAAACAGATTGAACCCAGAGAGAAAGACATCAAAGACATGAAGGAGCAAATACAAGAGGTAATTGTCGTACTGAATATAGTTATTATAATTACTATAAATGTAATGTGTGACCTGTCTTACATTTAGTTTTTTGATAATGCCAATGGCAATGTTTAAGACATAAAAAAAATGTTTCAGAATTTTCAGATCATTTAGAAATCAGTGCAAATGCATACAACTTATACAAGTATTCATTGCAACTTGTTTTTATATTTTTGTAGATGGAAAGTGAACTGGAGAGGTTCCACAAACAGAATACACAATTGGAGTTGAATATCACAGAACTGAGACAGAAACTGAAGGCAACAGACAAGGAAATGCACCAAGAAAGGCAGAAGGTAAGGTGTCATTATAAACTATGTTAACTTTATCTGGTATTTTTTTCTCCTTTCTTATAACAGTGGCGAGGAAGAAAATAACGACCAGCTGCATACAATATAACTTTGTAGTCATGACAAAAAGTGATGTTTTTAATAATTATTTTTTCAGGTGCGTGACCGTGAGGCAATGATCAAGAGGTTTAAGACTGATCTGCACAACTGTGTTGGGTACATCCAGGATCCGAAGATGTTGAAAGACAGCATCAAAGCTCTCTACAAGAAACATGTACAAGAAGACATAGTAAGTATTATTTTTGGCTGAATCACACCAACAATATTTAGCCAATATAATAATTTATCATTTTTATCTTTCGAAAAATAAAATGTGGAAATTATATCCTTGCTTTTGTTTATTGACAACTAATATTTTCCATTCAGACTGAATCTGCAAGTGTGGATGCAGATATTCAGAAAGAATATGCACGTCAGCGTGAACATCTGGAGAGATCCGTGGCTTCCCTGAGAAAGAAGCTTGCCAAGGATACAGAAATCCACAGAGCTGATAATGTCAGAATCATGCAGGTATGATTAACAGCTAGATTCGGGTAATGTTACGAAGCTTGTGCCTTGAAAATTTGTTAATGTTTTGGTATTTTGAGCTATTTTGTGGTATTTTTGAATGAGTCCACTGTTATTTTCATTGCAGCTCTTCAGAAACTTAAGTGTTAATTTTCAACAATAATACTTTTTAGTTTCAAATGTAGGGACATTTCTTAACAATGTGCTTTTTTTCTTTTCAAGGAAAATGTCTCTCTCATCAAAGAAATCAATGACCTGAGGAAAGAACTAAAGATTGCCAGAACACAGGTCCATGACTTAGAGGCTGCTCTTGGTCTGCACAGGAAGAATGCTGCTGCTGAAGCTACAGCCACATTGCAAGCTGTAGCTTCACAGAACAAAAATGCCATGTTAGAGAAGGACTTAGAGGAGTCTAAGAGAATAGTAGACATGCAAAAGAATGAAATTAAGAGACTACGCCTGAGCATTTATGAATTGGAAAATGTGGCTAGACCACCTTCTGGTGGTAAACTTCCTCCTGTGATTGTGCAGTGAGGAAGTGAAGTTCAATTGATTTTATGCGAAAGACAATAAATTTACTTCCCATTTTTCGTATTCCTTTGAACATCGTATATAGAATGACCACTGGTTTCACATGGACTTCTCTTAAAATTTGAGAACCAGTTGTATGTAATTGAAAGTGGAAATCGTTTATGGACAAGATTTAACTGGAACCAACATTTGTATATATTTGTGCATATTTCTGTAGATATAACTTTCAGGCAAGTTAACATTGTCTTATGGGGAGCTGCAGGCAACAGATATTTGTCATGTGATATGTTATTTGATAATTCATATTAAAATGTTCTTTCAAGTGTACATCAGTTTATTCTCTTTATTGAAATTTGCCAGTGTTGAAAATGCAAGTTTTCTTAAACGAACCAAAGCTTTATGATTGTATGTACTAATTTATTTAACAAAATTACATAACAAAACATGTAATTTTAATGTTAAATTTCACCCTTAGCATTTATCACAGTTCCTTTGCTTTAAACAATGCAAAGAAATACACATTAATCAAATTACCACCAGGCATTACTTCATCTCCGATTTAAGCAATCTACATTGTATACGTCACTGATAGAATTGTAAATGTCACCTTCATAGAAAACTGATCAGTTCTACATAATCATTAAACATTCACAAAAAGATACATCTTTTACAGGTCCCCTGATTGTGACTAGTTTGATTCAGTAACATTTCTTTAATTCTAAAAATTAAAGCAAGAATGGAATGATTGGCTTCCTTCCCCGTGGGTAGTCTTTGAATTCTCTTTTGTAGTTGCGGTGCTTCCCCATGGCCCACACTGTCATCTGATAAAACCCAGCAGCAGTGAACAGTAGGGCTATAAAAGCAAAAGATATGGGGTCATAGATATAATTCAATGGTTCAATTTTTTTGACAAAAACATAAGTACCAAGCTTTACATTTCATTGATTAAAAAACAAACTGTGTACAAAAAATCAAATTTAATTGTGATTTCCCAATTGATTAAATTATATAAGACATAAATCCTGGATGTTGTCGATGAGCAAAAACATAGCAAATGCATATTATCTTTGTTTTTTTGTAATTGTCCTCAGACATCCAAATGGAACTACAAATTTTCTGACATAACATATTCTTACCTGGTAGACACTGAGTCATAACTGAAAAGCTAATCCATGCCCCAACTTCATATGTGTAGTTAGGACAAGATACCCAAGTAAACAGCCAGGTGAAGGGATTTACTGTGGGTTTTGGAATCTTTCTTTCTTTAGAACCTATGGGAAAATGTTACAGATATTTACTGTTTACGTATATTTTTTATCAATATGAAATGTGATAAAATAAATAAATAACTAAAAATGAACTGTGAAGAAATTTTTTTTTTTTGCTTCTTTACTAGTAAAAAAAAATACTCAAGGAACTAAAAAAATTCCCTACCCCATGTACACAGCCTCTGCTCCTTAACAAACTTATCATTTTACATGGAGCAAATCTTTAAAAATTGTTAAAATGGAAATAGATGCAATATGCAATGGTCCTTTGACTTGAAAATGTAGCCTCGAAATCTTAATTATCATATATAAATATTTTTGAAAAATGAAGATCATCTTACCTGCAGGCCGCAAGTTTCTAAATGCAATGTGAATGGAGAAGTTGCCCAGTTCATTAAACTGAAAACATACCACTTGAATTAAATTAAGTTCATCAGAACTGTAAATTTTAAGAAATAATATAAAACTGAAATTTAAAAAATGCATATCAAGTTTAACATCCTTTTAAACTTAAATAAAAAACAAAAGAAATGTTAATTGCAGCATACTATGTTCAGATTAAGAAAGAGGTTCATCTTAATTATTTTAATAAGTATGCAGTTTTAAGAATAAATCCATGTAATCATTTATTCTTCATCTACTGGCAGTTTTGTTACCTGTGGAAAAGAATTAACAGCCATATATATATATCAGTCATACTGAAGTCATTTATGTTGCACTGTCCATTTTACATAACGATGGCACTTACTATAAAAGCTGCAAGGCCTCCATATAACTGAATGGCACCATATGCTAAAAGACAGCAAGATCATAGCATAAATAATTAAAAACACAGTTATTTGACACCATTAACATTATGTTTTTCTAATTCAGTAAAATAAATAAAGAGTTATAATTTTTCATATGTCATTCTTAGAGTAATTTTACATTATTTTCTTTGTTTAAGGCTTACTCATTTTAAGTTATTTTTCTACTCACATGGAGGGGTATACAAAGGATGATTTATGAAATATGCAACAAAAGCAGCAAAGCCCCAGTAGTAGGAGGAATTCTGGAACAATGAAAAAAAAAAAACATCATTAACCACATATGCATATATCTTGTCCCATAACCTATCCCAGCTTAATCAGAGTTTAGATATTTTCCTGTAAAATGTGATAATTTAGTTTGTATAAAATGCCGTACCTTGCAGATGTTGAGTATTGGCATGGTGGCATGGGAGAACCTGTGCACAAAGACAGTTTCCAACAATCTTTTGGCATAGTGAAAGGTCCAACAGGCAGCTGCAATGCTGCAAGGAAAAAGCATCCAGTACATTTATATTACATTTTTATGAAATATGAACTATATGACGTAAACAATTGCCTGTCTACAAGTAAGAGTCTTTAGAAAGATGTACAATGTGCATGACGCTATATAAAACAGTGTTTGATACACATAAACATTCTGCACCATACATGTCCATTAATCTTTTTAAAAATATACAAATGCTGAAGTAATGGTTTGCACTACAAGGCCACGTTATATGCATTTTCTACAATAACAGCTTCTAAAACTACAGGCTTACTTTACTGCTTCTGCTCTTGGTTTTGATGCTGCACTTGCTCCATAAATGATGGCAGGTCTGATATAGAACAGCAGGTAAATGACGAGGGGTCCAGCATACTCGGTCAAAAATACCTTTAAAGATATGTCATACAATATTTGTCAGTTATTGACTCCATTATTTGTGATATACTTTAAGAGAAGTGAAACATAGAGCAATAAAGCATAGAATACTGAGAAAACTAAGTGATTCGGATAATATTTTGTACAAGTACAAAGAAATACCACTGACTTCCTTTAAAAAAAGCAACCATTCTGTATTGCATCGATTTGATGATACCTAATTATATTTTTACTGCTCATCTTTAATGCATTGAAAGAAATGTACATCTCTACTTACTGTGGTCCATCCAACTTGTGGACCAAGGTCTTTGAAGTACAGTTTTCCTCCACTTGTAATGTTCAAAGCCTTCAAAGTAGCTTCATCTTTCAACATCTTGCTCTCTTTAAAAGTGAAATTGTTTAAAAGAATTTTTTTTAATCCATAACAATATTATGATATAGAAAACCAACTTTTTGTATTTAAATTAATTCTCAATAACTGAAAAAGAATAATAAATAGAGTATTTTACTAAACAGGATATATCTTGCCTTTACCTGCAAAGAAAACCATGTATAAAACACTTACTTTGTTCAAGTCTGAAGGACTGTCTATCAGGATAGAGGTGTTTTTCTAAAAAGGCAAGAAACCATTCATATAAAATGTATTCTAATACATAGAGTATAATCTTCAACATTTATAAAGATGTTATCATGTATAAATCAACAAGATATTAAATTACAGTTGTCATGTTCATCTTTTGAAATAAAAACTATTGGATATTTGGATTATGAATGATATGAATGATACTTTTGTTGAGCATGTATTTTAAGACATAATGTTAAAAACTCACTGAGCTTCCTAAATTCATTTTTCACATCTAAAATTGTAGAACCTGGAGACAGCTAAAAAAGAAGCAAATGCAATCTCTCATTACTTTCAGTGAAATAAGGCTTAGCATTCACATTTCTAAACTTAAAGAGAGTAAACATACAAAAGATATGGGCTTTCATACAAATAAGAAAAGTGAGATTTGGTTTAACACACAAATCCTGTAAATGACATACTAGGTATGCTACAGAATATTTTTGGAAAAGGTTCAGGATTTCTTATGATTTCTCTTTGGTGTAGACTTTTCCAAACCTACCAAAATAAACCAAATCCATCTCTTTGGAGTCAAATAAAGTCATGGAGTGCAATATCTTAATCTCATTTTGGTGTTTTAAACTGTACACAGTGAAAATCTTTGACCTGTCACCACCAACACAATAAGCACACTTCAGGTGGANCATACTCGGTCAAAAATACCTTTAAAGATATGTCATACAATATTTGTCAGTTATTGACTCCATTATTTGTGATATACTTTAAGAGAAGTGAAACATAGAGCAATAAAGCATAGAATACTGAGAAAACTAAGTGATTCGGATAATATTTTGTACAAGTACAAAGAAATACCACTGACTTCCTTTAAAAAAAGCAACCATTCTGTATTGCATCGATTTGATGATACCTAATTATATTTTTACTGCTCATCTTTAATGCATTGAAAGAAATGTACATCTCTACTTACTGTGGTCCATCCAACTTGTGGACCAAGGTCTTTGAAGTACAGTTTTCCTCCACTTGTAATGTTCAAAGCCTTCAAAGTAGCTTCATCTTTCAACATCTTGCTCTCTTTAAAAGTGAAATTGTTTAAAAGAATTTTTTTTAATCCATAACAATATTATGATATAGAAAACCAACTTTTTGTATTTAAATTAATTCTCAATAACTGAAAAAGAATAATAAATAGAGTATTTTACTAAACAGGATATATCTTGCCTTTACCTGCAAAGAAAACCATGTATAAAACACTTACTTTGTTCAAGTCTGAAGGACTGTCTATCAGGATAGAGGTGTTTTTCTAAAAAGGCAAGAAACCATTCATATAAAATGTATTCTAATACATAGAGTATAATCTTCAACATTTATAAAGATGTTATCATGTATAAATCAACAAGATATTAAATTACAGTTGTCATGTTCATCTTTTGAAATAAAAACTATTGGATATTTGGATTATGAATGATATGAATGATACTTTTGTTGAGCATGTATTTTAAGACATAATGTTAAAAACTCACTGAGCTTCCTAAATTCATTTTTCACATCTAAAATTGTAGAACCTGGAGACAGCTAAAAAAGAAGCAAATGCAATCTCTCATTACTTTCAGTGAAATAAGGCTTAGCATTCACATTTCTAAACTTAAAGAGAGTAAACATACAAAAGATATGGGCTTTCATACAAATAAGAAAAGTGAGATTTGGTTTAACACACAAATCCTGTAAATGACATACTAGGTATGCTACAGAATATTTTTGGAAAAGGTTCAGGATTTCTTATGATTTCTCTTTGGTGTAGACTTTTCCAAACCTACCAAAATAAACCAAATCCATCTCTTTGGAGTCAAATAAAGTCATGGAGTGCAATATCTTAATCTCATTTTGGTGTTTTAAACTGTACACAGTGAAAATCTTTGACCTGTCACCACCAACACAATAAGCACACTTCAGGTGGACACGGGATTGATTGGTGCCAATAAAGACTAAGAGGAGAGCATTTTTTACATTTGAATTGAAAAAGAATTATGCTTGTTATAAATCAAGTACAGGTTGTAAATAAAACGCTTCAAGAAAATGTGAGGGTTGAGCCAACGTCCAAACTGTAGTTGGTCTACATACTTTATTTGCAGTTTATGCCAAGGCACCTTGGTTTATACAAATTATGGAACATATGCTACTACCTTTAAAGGTGTAATGAAAAGCAAATTTGCACATAACTAATCATACTTACCCCTGTTACCTTCCCTAGGCTTTTTCCAGATTTTGCGTGAAGTACTTCGATCTGCAAAAATTTTATATCAAATCTTAATATTTCTTATATCAACAAAATTTGGTGATGATACTATAATCCAATATTAAATACACAAACAGAAATCAATAACACAGGTGAATATTAAACAAAAAATAACTATAATGTCATAATAAAAGTAAGGGAAACACTTAATAACACTAAGGCTGTATTCCCAGAGCTTTTAGATTGATCTATCCCCGCGGGGAGTCTCACTAGATTACTGTCAGATAATCCAGCTTAAATGTCCGTCCCGCCTACTACAAGCTGTAAGGGGGTAATTAACTTTCGTGTCCGCCCGGCTGACAGCTATTTAGCGTGAACCCCCAGGGAGTTAGGTCGATCTAAAGTAGATCGATCTAATCTCTGGAAATGGGGTCTAAGTTACACTTACATAATTGTCAACAAATAGGAATGAGATGTTAAGGTGATTCAAAATAAAAGATTAGGTAATTTTTAAGTATCTGACGCCCTTCAATGCCTTTAATATTTAGTTATGTGGTGACTTTTTTCAAATTCTTTGCTATTCAATTAATAAGTTTGGCTATTAACTTACTGATTTTCAATGTTTTTATTGCAAAATTTCAAACTCTCTGACCAATGATATTACAGATATTGGTATTACAGAAAATTTCAAAGCCTACAATCTCAAAATATTTGAATGGGCTTGAAGTTTCTTGTAATTTTTAAACATAAAAAAATAAGTATGTGATAATTTTATTAAAGTAGTAATGTATGATGCATTACTGCTGTGCATGCAATAGTATAATTACCCAAATGAGAATTATAAGTGTTCAAATATGAAACAATACATGTATTATTATTTTTATTCCTTCTAATGCACCTAATGTTAAGATTTTATCATACTATTGGTGACTTTATTTTAACTGGTTCAAAATACATACACCAATCTTAATTTTATGCATTTTTGTAGGATTGTGTGGGATAACGAAGTCGTTTTCTGTTTAAAATCTTCATTAACTTATCGAGGTGTCAACTGAGAGTGGGCCTGTCCACAAACTTGGCGTAAGCAAAAGGAAGACAAATATGGCGTTGACTAATCACGGATGACATAGTGTTGTCGGAGATTCCACTTGAATTTGAAACAAATTACGTCATGAAGGAAGAGAAACATGACAGTTGATTAGTCATATGTCATTAATGACAAGGTGCTACTAATGGGAAACCCCCAGACTGCCGTGACGCATAGCAAACCTCCATTATTCTTGAATAATCCACTGTAATAGCACTCTGACCCGTGTCGGCGTTAATACCCCAGCAATGACCTAGATATGGTTTGATAGGTGTCGTAAACAGCAGAGAGGACAAGTACGTTAACAATAATTTTCCATTTCATTTGAATCTAATTTTTGGCCTGTATCTCACTAACCAATCTATAATATTATTTTATGCACGTCATTTCGACCATCAATCGAGGGTTAATCATTCAAGAATGTATATTTTACGAAAAAAATATATCTTTAGCTTTTCTTATGTAGTCTGCCATCTTTCCATGATTCATCATGACAACTAGGTCATTAGTGACGTAGAGGTTCTAGAGGATTCCCGAAAACCCTGGGCGTAGATGTATCTCGACTTTCTTTGGTATAAGAAGTGACAGTCAGTTGATCGGCGTCAGAACTACCGAACAGAAGCTAGTTGGCATTTAGCGAAGGCAATCAACGTTTATCAAATATTGGACACTGTTTTAAGGCTATAATTTGGTGAAAACCCATGATATGACGATGGGGAAAGATTACTACCAAATCCTAGGCGTTGCTAAAGGTGCGACTGACGATGAGATTAAGAAGGCATACCGAAAAATGGCTCTTAAATACCACCCGGACAAAAACAAGTCACCAGGAGCTGAAGAAAAATTTAAGGAGATAGGTGAAGCGTATGAGGTTTTGAGTGACAAAAGCCGCCGTGAAATTTATGACAAATATGGAGAAGAAGGGTTGAAAGCTGGGGCTGGAGGTGGAGGCGGTGGAGGTGGAGGTGCAAATTATTCCTACACCTTCCACGATCCACGGGATACGTTCAAGATGTTCTTCGGGGACGAAGATCCATTTGCGTCGTTCTTTTCGTTCAGCGGTGGGCCTGGTGGAACTCGTACTTTCACTACAACATTCACTGGTAACCCAGGCCAGGGTGGCTTTGAGCCTATGGACACAGATGATCCTTTCAGCTCCTTTATGGGTGCGGGTCATGGTATGCCCGGCGGCCGCGGTGGAGGCAGAAGGAAACGCCAGGATCCTCCTATAGTATATGACTTGCAGGTATCTCTTGATGAAGTAAACAATGGTGCCTCCAAAAAGATGAAAATCACTCGCAAAGTTGTGAATTCAGACGGTTCTGCAAGGAGAGAGGATAAGATTTTATCAATTGACATTAAGAAAGGATGGAAAGCAGGAACAAAAATAACTTTTGCAAAAGAGGGGGACCAAACGCCAAATAATATACCTGCAGACATTGTATTTGTAATTAAAGACAAACCTCATCCATTATTTAAGAGAGACGGCCAAGATCTGTTGTACAAACAAACTATAACACTGAAACAGGTAAGATGTGTCATAATCTATATATACTTAGGTGCATTTTCAGACTCCAATTCCGAGTTCAGCTTGCCTATGACAATTTCACCATTGCTACATTTTAGTATTCAACATCAAGTTTAAGTATAAAATTTTTAGATGAAAGAGAAATATATCATAAAATTTACTGTTGCCATGTAAATTTAGACTATTCCAAATTGACTTAGGACTCACTGTTATCTTATTTAACATTTAATTTGAGATAATACTTTTAAATACAGATTCTTAAACAATTTAATGAAAAATAACTTAATTGAAATCGGTATTTGTATGAAGACTTATTTTCACGTATTTAATGTTTCTTTTCAGGCTTTGATTGGATGTACTATAAATGTACCAACATTGGATAGTACAAAAGTTCCACTGACTATTCGAGAAGTCATCAAACCAGGGGTAAAGAAAAGAATCAATGGATTAGGACTACCTCTACCGAAAAATCCAACCAAAAAGGGGGATATGATAGTGGAGTTTGACATCAAATTTCCAGACACGATACCTGAAGCTGCCAAAGAAATGCTTCAGAATTGTTTACCGTGATTTTCTGTTGTGGTAAATTGAATTTTAATTCAGTAGATCATGGACGGTGAATATGAAGTTCCGTGTTAATGAAAGGAAGTCCAATAAATTCAAGAACATGTTGCTTGGTCACAATAAGAGAGGACAATAGTCTGTACTTGCAAACTTCTTTTAGTCGGAGACAAATAGACCAAAGAATTATGAACAGGTGCAGAAGCATTAAATGCATGGTTCAAGATTTTGATATTTTTTAGATAAGTTATAAAAAAGTTCAAAGGAAAATAACCACTTTTCTTGGACATTCTCGAATGATCGTGAAATGTTCATTCAGACTTAATTGTATTTCTTGTTAATGCCCTATGATATATATTTTTGCAATGTTTTAAGCTGGTTATGAAAATGGTTGTCCTTTTAATGGAGAAATACCTAGTGGTTCAGCCAGCGTTATCCTAGCTTGTAATTTTATTTACCTAATGTAAATATGTACATATTTCATTTTTTTATCAACGGAATGGTTGATTCATATGTTAAAATGTATGTAATAAGCCTTTGTGTTGCTAGTATAAAACTGTTATAAAAATTCCAATTTGAAGTTATTTCTTAACCTGCAGTGCAGGTTGGCCTTGATGGAATTGAAATAAAAAATTGATATCTAGTTGATTAATTTTTAGTTTTTGCTTACCATTGAATTTTAATTTTTATTTTAATGAAAAGACCTGCATGGTGGATCTTCATGACTGGGATAAAAAGTACAAATTTTCTTAGTTTTACTAGAGCATTGTAAAGCACTTGGATGGTGTAAAGAACCCAGATGTGGAAAACGACAGACGTGTTAAAGCTTTCTAAAACCAAAGGAATGTAACCAGTATGCAAATGATTCTTCAATGTTATACAGTATTAAATAATTTAATGGACCGTGGAAATAAAAAAGTAGAAAAAACCTAGGCTTTTAAAGGCTAGGCTACATTGATTTGTTTTCAAGCACAATTTTTTGAGAATGCATGAAGAATGCTTGAAAAGCAATACCATGGTACCTCCTTTGATTGAGCAAGATTAATCTCTGCATGCTTGAATTTAGTCTCGTGCACTGAATATGGAATAAAACCATGAAATATCCTCCACACTCTTAAATGGGTGCATCATAAAAGGCAGGATGTAGTGGGGAGCTGCTCACTGATTACATTACAGGTAAACGTGGAGAGGGCTAGTCCCTGCCTAGGAATTTTGGCATCTGTCCAAGAGATGCAAGATGGCTACATTTCACACCTGAACTTTTTACCAGTCGAGTAATCTTCCTGAACCAGATGGGAAACTTGCTGAGCACTATCAACATCAGATGGGATTAAATGAAAAACTCCCATAACCAATATTACTTCCAAGTGCAGCATATTAAAATATTTAAATCTTCATTATAAAGCATCACTGGGGGAAAAACATGCTTCCCTTTTGGAATTCCAGTTTGAGAAGCATGGTTTTACTGGTAACCTTGACCAATTTTAAACTTTGCAGATTATTAACTTTCAAAATATGAATCTGCTTATTTTTTCAACCACTTTAAATGGGACGATTTCCTTTTCTTCGTTACTCTTTCATTGATTCAGTGAAAGATATTTTTAGACAAGTGCACATGGTGCATGTCAAGTAGAGCAGAGAGATATATAAACATTTCCTTCCACTGGGCAAATATTTTGGTGTGCCTGCACCTTACAAAGAATCAGCAATATGACATATGGCATGATGATGACTTATAAGGTTAGAATTTATCCTTTCCAGTCTTGCAGCAATAATTTTCATAAATATTTTACTACAAGTAAATCAGTGACAGTTGAAATCTAACTTGTGGAAAGTAAAAATTCAAGCAGCTGGTTTAAAAAGTGAAAAGCAAAATTTTCCTCACACTAGCCTAAGTGGTGGTTATACCTTAGCAAAGGTAAAAATAGTAATGGAAAAAAGTGAAACCATCAAAACATTTTCCTGCATGTTAATCAGTAAAAGTGGGAATCAAAAGATGGGGGAAGTAAAAATTCAAGCAGCTGGTTTAAAAAGTGAAAAGCAAAATTTTTTGCTCACACTAGCCTAAGTGGTGGTTATACCTATGCAAAGAAAAAAATAGTAATGGAAAAAAAGTGAAACCATCAAAACATTTTCCTTCATGTTAAAAGTGGGAATCAAAAGATGTGGGAAGTAAAAATTCAAGCAGACAGATTAATAAGTGAAAAGAAAAATTTCCTCACAATAGCCTAAGTGGTGGTCATAACTGTGCAAAGGAAAGGATAGTAATGGAAAAAAGAGAAACCATTAAAACATTTTTTCCATATAGATAAAAGAGAAACATCATATAAAGAACTGAAACACTGGGAAAATCTCCACCTGGGCTTGCACACTGGAGTGACTCATATGGCCTGACCTGGTTTAACCTGTTGTACTCCATCATCTCATCATCCCTGGTTATTCACATCAGGTACATCTCAGACAAGAGAGCACAGGTCAACCAATTAACAACATTTACAAACTTGACAAGCCACATTACTTTACATGTATAGTCACAATATTTTCCTGAAGTGCATTATTTAAACAGGCTGGGCAAAAAGAGGCTCAGTTAGTTTTCCATGCATTGGTCTGAAATGCAATCCTCCCCCATTTATCTCTATAAGAATTAGGAATGTATGACCTACATGTGCATCGTTTTCCATATAACTGCTGTTTTACCAGGCAATTTATATGGATCTTTTTATAGCCTCTCCTGTGCAGAGAACTCTGGGCGATTCATTTGTGGACATTAATCACCATAGCATTACTTACTCCTAATATCAAAAGAAAGCTGCACCAAGGACTTAACAATTACTTTGCACTGATGTGGCTGTTGGGCGTTAGAGTACATGACTAAAGCTTACTCGACTTGCCTGGACGCTTTTTATATCACACATCATGTCATCATATTATGGCCTTTGAAGGCATTGGGTCTTAAATAGGCCAAAACTTTTAAAAAATAAAACTTTATTACACCCAAGTTAAGTATACAAACAAAACAAATCCATGGCTTGTAAGAAAGAGCACCTGATCTTTACTTAAAATGACTTTTTAATTCCCAAATACTTGAGGTCATTATAATGAAGAAAAAATATTCTATGGAGAAGTATAAAATGTAGTACAAGACCACAGTGAAAGGAGTGTAACCAGTGGTACTGTAATGTACATTAATCAACATGCACTACAGCAGCAGGTACATGACAGCTAACACAATCAACAATCTAGGTGGTCACTAACACAATGAATTTCTTATGAGCTATTAAATGAAGAATGCGGACAAAAAAAAAAAAGCTGTAACAATGTTAGGATGGCATCAAGATGCCATGAAATAATATGTATTACATATAGTTACATCCTGTGTAATTTCTGCAGCAAAAAATGAAAAAAAAAAAAAAAAAAAGAACTCTAATCTGTCTTTTGATATGTTTTAAAACATGCATTAATTTCTCCTGAAGAGAAACAGAGTCTTTCTCCTAGAAAAAACGTTCATGTGCATATTTCACTACTCCCAACTGGTTGTTACAACCCATGATGGCCTTTTGTTGGCTATACAGTTTTCCTTTGCTCCTCATGTGACCTGTGATGAAATACAAAAGTTACAGCACTTTCCCAAGCACCTTTGAGAATTGGGTCCACTATGCCCTTCTTATCTGCACAATGGTTCCATTGGGATAAGTCACTATTGCAGTCACTGTCAACTGGGGGAGCCTTGACTTGTATCCTGTTCACACAACGCCTACACTTGAATCTGAAATGACACAATGTGCTACATGAATATTGATAAAATTCATGTGTCAAGGAAAACAAATGCTTACTCAATATCATTCTCATGGGCTTCAGGACCCATGCATTTGAAAATGACAATACCTTCTATGCCTAAGAAGCACTGCCATTCTTAAAAATCAAACTGATCAATCACAAAATGCTTGTTTAGATGTACAGTGCTCAATGTTTATAATAAACCAAGAAATGCATAAACGAGAGTAATTCATACTCAGCAAATGTGATCTACAGAACAAATTAAATATTGAAGTATAAACATACATGTTATAGTCTTGTTAAAATTGATGTAAAATGCCTGTATTCCCCCTCCTCCAACTTCCTAGCAAGCAGATGAGTGAGAGTTAAACAGCAAAGTATCACAAAGTTTATTCTCTATCTCAAGCAACCTTTTCATCTGGCACTGGAAAAAGAATAAAGTAGTCAACTTACTTGTCATGCGTGTCACTAATAGTGTCCTCATTCAATTTAAACAGCTCCCTCAAGTCTCCCAAGCTGAAGTGTCTCTCCACATCTTCTTCATTGTCGACAACGCAGCTGCTCAGGGCTTTCTTATGTGCTTGTCTTTGGAATATCTTTTCTTCTATTGTCCCAGTCTGAGAGAAGAAACATGAAATAAATATAAAACATTCATCTGACAAATTAAACTAGTAACACTAAATGAGTTTTAATCTACATATGTATGCCTTCATTTGAAAACCACAATCAAAGTAAAATGTCAAACAAAGCAAATAACAATATTATTTTAGAAGTATGCCATAAACCATAAGTTTACGTTAAAAAGCTTAATAAACAGAACTATGACATTTGGCAATACTGAGATACCCAAAAAGAATGTCAAATGTTCATCTCTTGGTGCACTTACAGCTATAAGTCTGTAAATGTAACACTGTTTCTTTTGTCCATCTCTCCAGACCCTGGCCATAGCCTGGTCATCATTGGCTGGGTTCCAGTCTGGGTCAAACATTACCAGGCGGTTAGCACCTATGAGGTTGAGTCCACATCCACCAGCCTTGCTACTGAGCATAAAGACAAATTCTGGGCTCTGAAAAAGTACAGAGAAACTTTTTTTATTTCAGGAGTATGCAGTACATGTTTCATAGGAGTGATCTGCATCAAATAATATACATGGTAACTGCCCTTTTGAAGATGTAGTGGTCTGATGCATATATACTAAAATTTAAAAGATAACTTCATAAAGTCAAATATTTTCATATGAATTTACTGATGAAATCAAAACCCAGAAAACTTACAGCTGGGTTGTTGAACTTTTCTACCACTTTAGCCCTCTTTTTGATGGACATTGTACCATCCAGTCTAACATATAAATAACTGAAATGTGAAAAAAAATATATATACATTCACACATATATACATCTCAAAGCTTTATTACCTATGGTACACCTATGCTACATCAAGTCACTGCATTTTTTTCATACATAAGGCAATTTCAGAGAAAATCTATTTGGCCCAATTTAATTGCACTGAATTATTAACGGAAATCTGTGCAAGTCTGTTCACCTACCCTCTCTGCCTGCAGAGCCTCTCAAACAGATCCAGTGTCTGGGTGTAGTTTGATACCAGAACAATTTTATCGTCAGTTGAAGTTTTGATCATTGCAAGCAAATAATCAAGAACCTGGAACTTTCCTGTGAATGAGATTGCAAAGAGTTTAAAGCCAAAAAACTTACTTCAGTTAGCTATTATAGTTCAAAATTATCACGTTTGATTTTTAAACATTCCACCTTCATCAAACTAATTATACTCACATTATATTTTTGTCCACTCACTGAAAATATCATTACATAAAATAACAATATATATGCTCATAATAACATCAAGCAAAATTAACAGCAAGTTTTCCACACACCTGAGATTTGTGGTTTCAGCACCTTTGGATTGTAACCATCAGGAAATAAATCCATAGCACCTTCAAAGCCATCTTCACCTTCTGCACATTTGTCATAGATTAAATCTGGATCTGAAAGAAATATAAAGATGTATAAAACAATAGGTCATACCACATTTGTTTGCATGTTTTTCTTTCATTTGAAAAAAATAAAATGATAATGCCATATTATTATTTATAGTAGAGAAAAAGCAAAATGACTACTTACGATTGCACAACTTCTTCAGCTGAGTAATGGAGGACAATGATGACAGTGTTGCCTTGCCATCTTTGGCACACAATTTTTCACATTCTGCTGCCTTGGATGTCACAAACAGTTGATACAATGCTGACTGGAGAGGAGTGAGTTTGCAGCAAACCACTTGTTCAACTAAAACACAGGTTTTACATTCAATAAAATCTAAAATCTCCTAAATCTACTGAATCTATCAGATGTCTGAAAGACTAAGAAACATAACAAATGTCTAGAACATTTAAAGAACACTAGATTTGTTTTTGATTTAAATAAAATTTCTTTAAAGAAACAATAAGATTATTCAATACCAAGTATGAAGACCTGTAAATAGAATCATATCATATCATTCACCATTTTCATAAAGTAAAAACAGTATATAATAAGTATAAAATATTTACTTTTGACTGGGAGATACTTGGTAAGCAGTGCCTGTGTTCTTCTTATTATACATCTATTTACAATGGTTGCAAGCTGAAAAAATACACAACATCAATAAAATAATTGTATTGTATCCAACTTTTAAAGCAATAAAAAACACCACATCGTAAAATGAGCTCAACCAATGACTAATATGGTGCACTTTTACATTCTAGAAAATGTCTAAATGGGTGAACCTTTACTCCCTGTCAAGTGCTTCCTCAAACTTATCTTTTCTATTCACAACTGATTTTTTTTTAATCTATTAAAAACATATACCTCTTGTAGCTTTTCTTGACCTCTTTTATGTGCCTCATCAGTTGCATCTGCATCTCTTCCACGCAAGATAGGAGTTTCAAACTTTTTCTTGAATTCTTGTGCAGTACCTACATCATCATAAGTGCACTTAAAATATGTGGCTTAGTCTTGGTGCATACAAGGATTGTCCATGAAAAGACAGTATCATTAAAATTTAACTGAAATTCTTGTATGATGCATCAATAATAAGAACATCTAAGTACATTTTTCAGTACTATTCCTGTTTTTCAACTTACCTAAAATCCCACCATTCACAAAATGAACCAGACTGAAATACTCCAGCAAATCATTCTGTATGGGTGTTCCTGACAGCAGTATTCTTTTCTTTGCATTCAGGGCATTTAAGGCAGAGTAGGTCTGATTCTCAGAATTTTTCAACCTATGACCCTGAAAAAAAAAAAAAAAAAAAAAAAAAAAACACACATTACACCAGTCCATATAAAAGACTCAGATCCTGTTTGATATATCACTTCTTTGAAAAAAAAAAAAAAAGAGTGGCCAAAACTTGTAGCTTGTACAGACAGCAATATCATATAAAAATGTCTGACATCCAAAGTTTTCTTGATATGAAATTACAGCTTATAATCTATTAATTCTTTCAAGCAAATAAAATAACTTTCTTACTTCATCACAAATGACAAGCCCCACTTCTCCTTGATGTAAAACAGAGGCATGCAGGCGGAAAGTTTCATAAGAAATAATGAGTATTGGAAATGGGTTTCTCTTTCCTTGCTGCTGCATGTATTGCACTAGAATATGTAAAAAAAGTAATTTGATTACAATTTTTTTAACTGATAACAAATTAAACATAGTGATCTAAATTCTAACAAACATGAAAGGAAAAAAATAAATATTATACTAATCAACAGCATAACCATTACTGTTTGAAATAATTTCATCAAATCAATGAAATGTTTACAAATACTTTACCTAGATTTCTATCTATATCTTCCTTTGATCCAGAATCTATGGCAAGAGCATTAACTTTTCCAGGTAACCATTTGCTGATTTCATTGTACCAATTCTGGACAACAAACAAAATAACTGTCGAAAGAACGGATCTCATTTCTATAAACAAGAAAGATTTCCCCACATATTTGTATAAAAGACCTCAATTTATTTATTTGGTTGCACAGTTGGCATCTTTTGAATTCATCATCAATCCACTACAACATATTTTAATTCACAGTTTTATCTCTCATAAGTTTTAAATTAAAATATAAATTTACTGATTTTTAATAAAGCAAAACACATATTAGAACTCCACTGTAAACAATTTAACAATATTTCAAGTATTTTCAGTTAGCCACTAAAAAGCATTTCTCATGTTTCTGACACAATTCCAAACAAACAGTCCATTGTCTGAAGGCAGTAAGAGCATTACCTTAACTAAACTACTTGGAGAGACTACTATGGCTTTACTAATGGCAGGTTTAGCATCTGGACTTTGACGCTGAAAAATATAACCATATGTAAATACATAAAGACTTAAATAGCACACAACAGAATGCTTTTAGTTGAAGAAAAATTTTCTATATCATGCTGAAGTTCAAAAACAAACATAACTTGCATTTTTCCTTCCTGAATGAAGTTAAGATTCATCTGTTGCTTTGAAATGACTTTACAAAACATCATGCACAGGTATATTAGAAACCAACATAAATCATATCATTGTTTACCAACAGAGTCCAAAGGAGTGTGATACACTGCAGAGTTTTCCCCAGACCCATCTCATCAGCCATGATACAACCAAAGCTCCCTGGAATCTGCTCCCCAGTGACACAATCATACATAAATTTAACACCCTGAAATAGCATCCATGGAATAAGAATTTATAGCTGTTCAGCTAAGTGTGAGATATTCCCTGACAGTTAATCAAAATGACTATCTTCTGACATATTTCAAAAAGATCACATGCTATAAAACATCTCAACTGTATAAAACTGTACACATACATGCATTATATTTTTTTCATGGTTAAAAAATCAGCAACAAGATTGACATGATCCATATATGAAATTTTGCATAATAAGCATGAACATACCTCTCTCTGATGTGGCCTTAAAACTTTACACAAAGCTGGATCCACTACAACATGAACTGGTTGTTTTTCTCTAAAATGCAAAAAAATGTGGTTTTGAAAGAATAAAGCCCTTTTATTGGAACACCAAGAATAAAAAATACCTTTTAAATAATAAATTATGTAGTTTTTCCTTTTCTGACTGACATTCCTACCCTACCTCCTTCATTTCCAAACACTTACACATCTGATTTAAGTTGGTCATGAGCACTCAGTTCCGGAGGAGAGTATAGTACTAATGCTCCTTCTTCAAATGGGTCATGCAATGCTCTCCTTGCACCTTGTCTTCTAACTCCAAGGGCACGATTGAAGACAGAGCCTACAGTACCACAAATATGAAAGACATTAATATCTGTAAATTGAAATACTAAAAAGTATATGATCCATTAACATGTGGCTAAGTTAATAATACAAATGTAACCTCTCATTCCATTATATGTATCTAAATAGAGGAATAGACATTCAATCTGTCTCTACGTTAGGGAAAACGAAAAAGACATCTTACCCTGATAATTTGGAATTGGGATCTTGAATGGTTTTGACAGTATCTTTTTGATTAGAGCCTCCTGCAAAATTTAAGATGTATCATATGATATAATGACAACATATCAAATGTAAGATTGTGCTTATGAACCCACAACGTATGTGAAAAGATCTGAATAGCCATTTTCTAAAGTAGCTTGCATATTGTACATAGAAATTTATCATGTGAAGTAATCAATCTCATATTAACACTCTCACTGAGATTAAAACTTACCAGTAAACTATTAATAGGCTACAGGGTTTAACACTGATAGTCCAAATAATTTGTTCATCTGATAATTTCATCTTAAGACTAAGCACGATATTTGGAGGAGTTGTGGATATCAATCAATTATACTCGACATATTATCATTATTTTACAGCATTATGAAGGCCTACATGTGCAGTGGAATCTGTCACCAGTGATCTGTTCACAAGTGGTAATAATGGTTTCCTGAAGGGGGAAGTATAGTCTACTTGATCTGGGTTCACCCTCAGCTTCTTTCCTCCCTAAGGAAATATAAAGAAATAAAAATTCCACAATTATAGAACTCCGCTTGGCAATCACCACAGTACATTATATATAATACTTACATTGTGTTTAGCACAAGGGTTCTATAAGTCGCATGATAGGATCCTATTTCCTCTCACTGTGCACTACTTTTTTGTAGTCTCCTAGGGAATGCACTAATTGTTGAATATGCTAAAGAACTACAAGAGTGCAACATAAATTTGGATGATCCAATGCACAAAAATTACAAGCTTTTGTATGGTTAAAAAGAATTGGACAAGTGACATTTTTTAATGAAAAATTAATTTTTTGGTAGGGGAATGGATAGCACATGACAAGCTAGGTTTAGAGGGCACTTCCAATTTCTAAGAAACTGTTCACAATGAATTTTGTCGACCTAGTAAAAGTGCACGGGACTCTTGCTGAATGCAGTTTGAGGTCCCATTCAGAATGGACGATCCGAGTACTTACTGATCCGCAAACTTAGTATGGCCAACCACAGATCAAAAGCGATGCTGCTGATATCTGATGGTCTCCCCGCCTCTACATGCGCCGTTGTTGCAGGGACCTAGAAATTAAACCTCTCCCTAATGCCAAGAGGCTTGTTAGTCTGTAATCTGACTGCCTTCAGTGAGAGTCCGTGCAGAGTTGGTGCACAGTAGCTAGGATGACACAATTCATTGTGAACAGTCTCTTATACTCTTCCTTTCCTGTAGAGCAAGTTGCTGATGACTAGGAGTGCAAAACACAATAAACAGACCTCTACAGCCATTATGATCCACACTGAATATATTACTAGTAAATGTTAAGAAGAATAAAAAGATGAAATGCACTCAAGAGACACCAATAAAATTGAAAAAGATAATAAAAGATTATCTTGAGAAACCTGTTTAGGAGTCCATTCACCATTTTCATCGGTCTTTCTCTTCACACCAGGTGTGAGCTGGCTGGGTGCTAAGCTTCTCCTCTGCAAAAAAATCATTCATCGAACAGTGAATAGCACAATAACATTTCTTGATAAGTAAACAAGACGTATAAATCTACTAGTCTACAGTACAAACGGACCATTTAGTAGTAAAATGATATCTTACCATCTTCCTAAATGTATCACTTGTAACATTACGCTTTATGGCTAGAGTCCAAAACAAAGAAACGCTACGAAATATCAGTAGTTTTCATTGCTATCATTCGAATACAGCGCCATTTTGGTGAAATAAAGATCTTGACACTTGGAAGCGAGGTCACCAATGGCATCTCGAATATGGGGTCATGTGACTGCGTGGTGGCTTCCACACATGCATTGTCTGGAGGCTGGATGTGGGCAGTGTTCAGATGATAGAAATGGTAATTCTGAGAGGATGATCGTCAAAAATTGACGATAGGAGGAAAGCAGAGGATAGCAGGGAAGCAGAATGACTATGGAGTTGAAGTTACACAGCCCGGTTGGGGCGGAACCAGCTATTTACACATGGCCTTTGCCAGCGGTGGTGAGTCCAATTTCAATCATTTTACTCCATTTCCTCTTGTTTTGTGATGTCACTTTTGTCTCTAATTTATGAATAGAACATCATCATTAGATATGGATGTGAATCTCACAGATTATGTTTACTTTTAGGACGGAAAGGACGGTAGCCATGAAGTCATTGATACTATCAGGTGAGGCGTTTCCTCTTTTTATAATTTGACCCCAATGTTTTGTCCCGTACTTGTAGTAAAGGCTTCTCGTAGTACAATCCAGTGTATTTCCATCTACAGAGCACCGTGACAGTGTCAGTTAGGCTGTGACAGATGACTTGGTTTGTTTTTAAGAGAGTAAAGAAAAAAGACTCAACAATAGAAGTATTCAAAGATGAAGCATATATGTTTTTTTCTTCATCAATTAAAGTAATCTATTTGTATATATTAGATATGATTCTTGGAAATACAAAGTTTTGACTCATATGCTTCCTACTAAAATGAAACGTGACTATGTGCGGGTTTACCAAAAGTAGGTTGAATTTGAAAGAAAATATGGGTATATTTTAAGTGCGAATTAAACAGAATGGGGTAGACAATGGTTTTTGGGATGTGACCTTGCACAGTAGTTGTTATTATGGTACATTTGTGAATATGTGGATGTCAGTTGAGATAAGCTACACTGAAATTGTAAGTGTCAAATTAACAAAGCTTAAAGTGATAATACCATTTGATTGAACTTCTTTGACATAATGTAAACAGTGAAAAAGCTGTACCTTAATGTATATTTAATTTCATCTTATTTGTCACCGGTTATCATACACATGCAGGTTTTACTAATGAAGTTACTGTGGTATACATGTTTTGTCATGAAATCATAATAAACCACAGCCGGTCTCGGAAGTGCATTTCTCCGAGTTTGCAAATTGATATTGTGTGTTTTTCTGTTTACTGACATCTACGTCATTAACAACTGAATAATATATCAGTATCAGTAACTTAGAAACATTTTTTAAAATTAAGTATTAGATAATGTATCATTATCTTAGAAACATTTTTACATATATTTTCCTATTGAAAAATCCATCAAACCCTAATTTTGCCACAGCAAGTCGAGATTGTATTTAGAATATTCTTTATCTTTGGTAAATATAAATGAAACAATAGAAAGGTTTGTATTACACATGGTGATTAATCAAGTTGATTAGTAAAGGCACAGGACTGTGGTAATATTATTAAAGGATGTTCTATGTTTACTATCAGTGGCTGTCATCTTGCTGATGCTTGTGTCCTCACAATAACCATTGTGTGGGCGAAATGATAGCAATTCGGAGGCGAGATATGGCGTAGGTGCAATTGACTAATCTGACAACAGACATCAAATGACATCAAACAGTGAATAATTGTAAAAAATCTATTCAGGATTGTAGGTATTTGTTTATGCATAGGCGTTATTATGATGATAAATATGTAAAGGAGTGACCCAGTTTGTTAAATATAGATCAGTTTCTAGAAGGTCACACAGTGATATTGTATATAGGCTAGATATTGATATCTGTCTGGGTAGTGTTCTTTGTCCCGACTAATGTTAAGATGAATTGTAGTTTGTTTGGAATACAGATTTCTGCTGCATTGTTCGTCATTGTAATGAAGAGGAAATTGAATCTTAACAGTATCTCAGAACATAATAATGGGACAGACAAAAAATGTAGACATGAACATTGCCTGGCTTCATGCATGGGTATTGTTTATAATTGTACTGTAGGTGGAAAGAATTAGCCCAGACTTTCATTATTGTGCGTGAATTTATTAAGTGTGGAATTTAAAAACCTGAACAGATAATACTGTACACTTGGAGGATACATTAGCATTGAAAAATTATAACTTCATGTCTCAGTCTGATTTAAAAGGTTAGATATGCTCGAACCACTCACAGTGTTTAGCTGCCAATTTATCATTTTTTGCATAGAGTAAAAGAAATACACATGCCTCATCATAGTGCCAAATATGGTATTGACTATTCAAATTACAATATGGCCAAGCATTCTGGAAACTGGCTGGACAGGCATGAAAGCATATAATCACTGGCTTAGAGTTGGTTTTGTGCTGCACATTTTGAAAGAGCCAGTCTAGAGCAGTAATTGGAATCAATCCCCCTCCTTCTAAATTCTATTATATTGCACTGTTGGTGTGGCTTATACATTTGCAGCTCATTGATTGAATTGCAGTCAGCCATTGCTGTTGTTGCCCCAGTAATGTTTGCATTGGTTAGGACATGCAGTGCAACAAGTACATGGGTCTGTCCTCCTATTGATTGCCAGATCTGCAAACATTTAACTCTTTACTAGTGCTGTCCTTAATATGTACACTTCCCTTTTTATTGATAATGTCAAATGTTTTCTTTTGTAATGCATTCCATTATGTGAACATCTTTATGTGTGGTGGATTAATGTCTCTGCCACTTAAACTTAAGTTGATTTTTTATACAGAATATATGTTGTTTTAAAATTGAGAAAAAATATACCTGAGTCATTTGACATGTGGTTGAGTAGACCTCCTTTCCATTGCTTCATCTCTTATAAGAAAGAGACCACATGACAGTGAAAGGGTTAACAAATAAGCTCAGACCAGATATGTAAATTGCAGTGCGAGATATTTGCAGTACCACAGTACTTAGTTTATCTTCATGAGATATGCATGACTTTACTTAATTTGAGGAACAAAATTGGATTATTATTACATAATTATACATTATACAGATTGCTTTTAATTTATAAAGTTATCAGTTATTAAATAATGCATATTTTTGTAACCGGATAGTACAGTAGTCAAAGGGTTAACAAATAAAGGAGAACCTGCATATATGCAAATTTGGTCATGATATTCCTGCATGCAATGTTTGGCATCTGCTTCTGGTGTTTTCTTTGAAATTCTCATAATAAAAGTTAAGCAGCAACATTTTTGAACAGTAATCTCAAAATACAGCAAAATTATTTTGCTTTGGCTTAGAAAAAAAAAAACAGTTGTGTTGAGAGTTATGGGTAAAATATGTGAATCTGTGGGATTTTCTTTACATTTATTGTACATAAAGGGACATACATATATTTCATAGATCGCACAAAGGTAATATAATATAGCTGTTTTCATTTGTATAAAATATGTTAACCTAGCCAAGAGAATTCAGGATGAATATTGAACTGTCTGGGTTGATGACCTAGATGGTGGGGTTAGTCCATAGAGTTTATATAGTGGCACTGTTGACCTATAAATTATTCAATATTAGTTCTTGGTTAGGGACTGGAGCAGCAGTAGCATTTTGTGATTTTTATGATGTCTTGCTGGGAATTATAGTTCTAGCAAGTATGTCACGCACACATGCTGAAAATGCACACTGCCGTTTATAACTACCAGGTAGCATGGCTGTCTATGGCATTCAAACCACTGCAGACAACTACAATGATTTCAAAGCAATAAAATGCAGGTAGAGCAGTCTGTCAACATAGAAAGGGTCGCATTGTCTTGTACACTAAGCGTGCAGACTGCTGGCTTGCTGATTATCACCTCCCTGCTTGCTATTGTAGAGGTTGCACATATGAAGGTGCAGTGTATGCTTGACCTGCCTTACACCTGGACTGAGTTAGTTGATATGCATGAAGATGGAATGTGGTTACAGCCTGTTATATTGAAATATATATTTATAGAACTTCTTAGGAAAGTGGTGCAGGCAAATGCAGCCCGCTACTGCTGCTTAATAGCTATGCTCTTGATTTGATGTACAGTTATGTAGTCTACCCAGACTCTTGATTTATGTTAATCAAAGTTAACCCTTTGCATCTCCTGTATACCTTTCTATTGCAAGGTGGCCGAGGTGAAGAGAAGGCCATAAGAATAATAATTAGGTTTGAGAAGAGGAATAATTTGATGGTTAATGTTTTGATATATGACTGTATAAATAAAACACATTTTTATTAAAAATTATGATTGATTGTTTTTTAAAGGTGGGTCTGTGAAGATTTTCCAGAGTTGAAGTGTGCCATGGAAAACCATGTATTCAAAGACTGCAACTTGAAAAAGTGAGCAATTTTTGCTAACAGAATTGGGCACAAATATGCCTGCATTCCTTTCACACTTGTTAAAACGTATTTTATTGATGTAAGCTTATGTTTGCTCAAAACTCAGAAGTTACCTTTTGACATCTTTATGTAACAGTTTCTGTTCATGGCTTTACTAGTTTGACATACTTTTCTATTGATTATCATAAGCTAGAAGAACATTAATGATTTTGGAACATTGAAGCCACCTTGAGCCTCTCTTTTAAACAATGTTATATTGAGCAATTATTTAAAAAAATTTAATATTCTCCCTTTGTGACTTTTGCTTCAGCTTTGAAAGTATGAAGAGTTTATGTGAAAAATATAACCGGGCCATTGACAGCATACGGCAACTGGTGAGTATGTGTTGCTCCCCTAAGAAGATAGAAATTATTTTAAAATTGATATGAAAATGCTGTTTCATTAGTCTTATGTTATCTATGTTATATGAGAGCGTTGAACTGAGGGGAACTGTTCCCTTGGAGGGTTTATGGTTTAAGTGAGACAGACAAAAGACCAGCATTTCTTTGAATATTATGAAGGTTGCAATGCTTTTTATGCATTGTCCACAGAAGTTGGATATCAGCTGTAACTGTCAAATCAATTCTTCAGCTGTGTGTCCTCTGTATATGCATGAAAAACACCGTTAAAGCTGTGCAATCCCAGAATATCCAGACAACTTGCTGTATTGATCGGTTGCTAATCTGGTGACCTGAGTAACCTGTCCAGATAGCTGTGCTCTACACTGGCTGTGTTCATACCAGACCAGACTTAAATGAATTCTGAAGGGCTTCATTGCTGGTTTCTTGTCTGCACACTGTGTACATCAGCATTCATTAGTCTTGCTTCATAGTTGTGCAGGGTATACACTGTGATTAAGCAATTAAAGGCAAAGAGGGATTTAATTTTTTTTTGAAAATGAATTTGTATTTATTATTATTATTATTATTATTATTATTATTATTATTATTATTATTATTATAAATTTACAGATAAAATGCAGGGTAAACTGATAGCCTTGGGACTGAATTAAGCAATGAAAAGAATGACATGATATTTTTGTTCTTCCTCTGCAGTGGAAAGGAACTGCCCACCAGTTTGAAATGCAGCAAAAACGTCCATCTCCTGGCCTTCTGAGGCACATTGTGCAGCAGTGCTACAACCGGGCTGTGTTAGACCCAGAGAAGTTAAACCAGTATGAACCTTTCTCTCCAGAGGTGAGTTGTAAACAAGGGTTTGAAGGATGAAGACAATGAGAAACTCCCAAAGTTGGGTGTTCTTGTGGAAATTAACAGGCATAAAAGAAACAAAACAATTATGTTTAAGCATGTAAGTAAAGCCTTATTGCCCATTTACCCTTCCTAGAGCATGCCTGCCCTAAAACTAGTGCACTGCTGACCATTTATGGGTTTGATTGTCCTCAGTTTTACAGTTGTGTCACCTATGTACGAGTAGACTGGCAAAAATGGTTTTGATGACACTTGTGGCAACCTGTCCAAGTCAAAACAAAAGCATTCAGCATAAAACATACATTTAATTTCTCTCTAACAAGGCTATGAAGATTGGTATGTTTCATGGCTTGGATATTGTTTTAGTAGAGTTTTGCTTCGGCTAACAACTTTGGGTCCTTTTGTCTTATTTCTGAGAGAGGATAATGAAAGGAAAATCCTTAAAAACCAACAGACTGATGAAAGTACAGCTTATTGCCTAAAATAATCTGATTGTAATTTTTGATATGTCATGGCACTCACTGAGTCTAATACAATATTGGGATATTAGTCAGCGCATGTACAAAAACTTAAAAATTCTAAGCACGGCAATGCGATAACTGTTGTTGGAAAATATGGCCTACACATTCATACTTTGGTTTTCCTTTCATGGGATATGTGAAATTGCTCCTTATTCATCACACCATATGTTAATGAATAAAAAATGTACATGATAAAACCTGATTTACAATTAAAATTCAATTTTACAACATTCTAAGCATGACCCTATAATACTTTGATGCCAGATATAACAGGTTTGAAGTAGCTTTATTAAAGACAGGCTAAGACGCATTTCGATCCTTACACTAACATTGGCTCATGGGACATATCTTTTATTTGTTTAGTATTCTTATTACCTTGATTTTACATGCTCAGAACGCAATGTGCAAGACAAACAGATGTCCTGTTTTTTTTTCCTCGATCTTCCTTTCAAAATGTAATTAAGCCTTCCCAGAATCACCCTGAAACCACTTAGCTGAGTCACATATGAACAAAACCACGCTGCCTTGGAACCCACGTAGTGAAAAAAGCTGACATCATATCAAAGATGATGAGCCTGTTGATGTACGGGAGAGTGGGGGTGGGGGGGGGGGGGGGAAGGGCAGTTGAATATGTCTTATAATTACATTGAGAATGAGAGAAAGATTTTGTGACAGTTTGATTGGCAGAGGTAAGAGGCCTGAACCAATATGATTTTCTCTGCATATTATTATGGCAATTTATTGTTTCACATTGTTATACCTTGTTGGGTTGATATCTCCATTTCAAAACATGACTTCAAGAGAAAGATTTGGACCAGTGTCAAAACTAGTGAGCCTTCAACCCATGAAAGATGGCATTTATTTGTTAAATTTAAGCTTTGCTTAATAGAAAGTGCCTGGGATTTCATAATAAAAGCTTCACTTTCAAACTAAGGGTGTTTCAGTAATAGTAGGGTATATTGTTGAAGTGGTAATTTTGTAAGCTGGGATATCTAGGTAATTAAACGCAGATCAAGAATTACATATCTGTTTATGTGGAAGGGGCTAACGAACTTTGCTGTCTAAATGTGTGTATGTCAAGTGGACTTTTAGTGCTTAGGGTATGAAGATCAGGCTAAAAAATCTTTAATAAGTGTTATGTCTCCTTAACTATTGTGTAATAAATTAATGAAATGGTATGAATCACTATTGAAATAAAAAATTTTTTTATATGCAGTTTGTTAGTATATCTTGGTCATTTAGTAAGATAGCCACATTCCTAGCTCACCCTGGTCTTCATCCTAAACTCCCAAAATTTATCTAGTGCTTGGAGTGATTTGTTAGTAACATGCATATATGGATAATGGATGAGATGAAATCGAAAGTTATTAAGTCATCTCCAAGGATAAAGTGACAGCAATTATGCTGGTTTAGTATGAAATAATCATAGGTTGAGGTTGGCAACCTCATGGTAAAACCCATTGGAGTAAAGTAAACATTAGCAGTGGTGGGGAAAGGGTTAATGGCCAAGGTCATCTGAGGAGAACACCTGCTGTGACCTATATTCTGTTCTAGTTGGTCATTTAAGGTCAACGATGGAGCTTTTTGCTAGAGTGTATAGAAATGCCAGTTAAGGTGAAGCTTTGTTTATTTGGAAGTTTTATTCCCAACAGTTAGAATTCATTTCTGTGATCAATGCAATTGTGTTAATGTAAAATAACCCTGACTTGTGCTGAGAATTGTGTTTAACGTCAGAGACAACAGACAGCTTGTTATGTGAAATATTCACATGCCCCAGAAAAAGCTTGAACTGGGTCAAACTTAAGATTTTCACATTCCTTTGTGTCTGGGCTAATATATCAAGTTGAAAAGTTGAAATCCTTTTTTTTTGTATTCAGTATTTGGGTTTTTATGGCTTTTGTACATAAATGTCACATTTTTATTATGTCAAATAAAAAACCTTGTGCAATAGAAGTTATTAAGTAATATTAAGCATTTCCAGCAATATTAAGCCTTTAAAATTTTGTTTCAGGTTTATGGGGAGACTTCATTTGATCTCATTCACCAGATGATTCAGTCCATCAATTTTACTGAAGATGATTACTTCATTGATTTGGGGAGTGGTGAGTTACCTGATATTCTTATTTATTTATTTAGAGAACAAACCAATATCATGTAAAACCATTTAAAACATAAATACCAAATATCATCAATACCTTTGTCACAATTGTCATTATCAGTTTAATATTCACAACTTAAATTAAGTGAAGACAAACTTAAAGAGGTCTCAATTTCCTCCATGTTCAGGGGTAGGCCAGGTAGTTCTACAAGTAGCTGCAGCAACCCCCTGTAAAATGTGCTATGGCATTGAAAAAGCAGATTGGCCTGCAGCATATTCTGTGGTAAGTCTGAACAGTAATGTATTTATTTTTCAAATTAATGTAACCCACATCATACTATGTAATGTATTTTTAATGAATATTTTCAAATATATTAATTAGGATGTTAAAATTATAGGAGTATGGTAGAATTTTCTCTCACTTTAATAGAACTTTGACATTTCTCAAGGGAAAATGATTGCATGTTTACATGCTTGTGTCTCTTTACTTTTCATTAATATCTTATGGAATTTTTTTTTCAAACAGTCAATGGATAAAGAATTCAGGAAGTGGATGAAGTGGTATGGAAAGAAGCACAGCAACTACCTGGTAATTAGAACTCGTGCATACACGAACATGCATGCACACATGCAGGCACACACATGCAGAGAAAGAGAGAGAGTTTTATTTAGTTGAATATTATTATGAAAGTCTTCCCTTCATGTGTTATATTTCAGTTTACTAAGTCCTATGTACTATATTACATTTGTTTTAATTGATTATTTATTTATTTTTACAGATTGAAAAGGGTGATTTTCTTGAGGACCACTTAAAAGAGAAGATTAACAATGCAACGTAAGTATGATCTTAGAGGATGCAAGGGTCTTATTATGTCAATAATATTTCTGTGAAATATAATCTGAAGAAATCCAGAACTTGTATTGCTCACATTTGCCAAATTGAGTCCTAGTTTTAAAAATTTCATGACATATAAACATATATATCTCTTTTGTCAATTTGCTCTACTTCTTTACAGGGTGATATTTGTGAATAATTTTGCCTTTGGGCCTTCAGTAGATCATCAGGTAGGGCTTTTGTATTTTTCATTTTTCAGAAAAGATTTTTTTAGTGATTTTGTCAATAATATGATGGAATTTTAGATGCTTGGGTTATTCATCTTCAAGGCAAAACCTTGTTTTGCACAAAAAAGCAGTGTTTAGCAGAATATAATGCAATACTTTCAGTCTTGTTAGTGTAAAGATAGAAAAGTATTAAATAAGAAGGTGGTTAAAAATTAATTAAGTTTGGATTTCAATACAAAAATTGAGAAGTGATATAGACAGCCACACAAGTGAAAATAAAAACTTGATTTGATTTTCCAGCTTAAACTACGTTTTGCCAACATGAAAGAAGGTGCTAAAATTGTTTCGTCCAAAGCCTTTTGTCCCCTAAACTTCAGGATAACAGATAGAAATCTAGGTGGTGAGTACTGATCACCTGGTTAGTTTTAATGGATTTGAAGCGATCTTGAACAGTATTTGTTGTAAGTCATTGTTTGGATATAAGAGACAAATTTTATATGTAATGTATGTAAATGATGTGTGGACTAGGGGCCTGTGAAGTTTGTGGCCTTACAGGTACCATTGGTGCTATCACATATCTAGACCACAATACACCCTTTTGGGCAAGTTATTATATTTGGAACTCAGAGGAAAACATTGGGATGTATCAACATTTAGCATTAATATCTTTCATTGACTTTCTTATATTTGCAATTTTATTTCTTTTTATATTTTATATATATATATATATATATATATATATATATATATATATATATAATTTCTTAGTATGATGTAATGCCATGTTAGCATTCATATATTTATAGTTTCTGTGTTATTCTTGTCAGTTCATAATCTGAATTATTGTGATTAGAACCAGGAAATCACCTCAAACTATATATAGACGCTCTTATGTGCTTTTGCATCTTTTTGCTTGAAATTAAGCAGCCTGTTTGCATACGCAGACAATAAGATATTTATAATTATTATTTACCACATAGCATGACTTGATTTGTTGATATCCTTTAAGTAGCATTCTGTGTTCTATTTATGTGGCTTTAAAATTCACTCTGCAATCATGTGTCACCTTGCAATGAATAGTAAAAAGTAAAATAAGTTACAATGATAGACCTTGTAAGCAATTTGGTGAAATACTATTGTGTTGTAAAATTTGAGCATGTTCCACAAATATTGGGTCGTTTGATGAGCATTATTTTCAAAATTGACCTGCTTAGCCTCCATGTTGTAATGTATCACCTGGTAGGCCCTGTGCTTTGAGTTGCGAACCCTCCCTGCACACATACCCTCTGTTATGAAGCGATATTACCAGCAAGCCACCGTTGTCTTTGTATCAGTTGTTGCTAATGTACCATGTTGTGGCTGTGTATTTCTTACAGACATTGGCAGCATAATGCATGTTACAGAGCTGTCTCCTTTGCGTGGTGCTGTCTCATGGACTGGCAACCCAGTCACTTACTACCTCCATGAAATAGATCGAACTCTGGTGAGTAGGGATTGCACAGTTGATTGCACCCAGCTGCACTAGGGAATGATATGGAAAAATTAGATTGGCAAGGTGTTGTCTGGGCTGTGAAAGGAGAGCCACGTGGGGGAATACCCAGGAGAAAGAGCTTTTTAGGTCCTTGCTTTTGAGCAGCTTTTATATACGACTGCCCTGCAAAATTGATTTATATTGGTAAACTACTTCTCAGCTGTCTTTCCAGAACCAGAAGACAACTTACTGCCATCCTGAAATACAGCAAGAGAAAGAAAGCCACTAAATTTTCCATATGTTCTTAAGCTGCAGTTGGAGTTTTTTCGTTTGTTTTCTTTGCTTTGTTGACTCTGTTCTCACAACTTTCCAGATATTGGATCGATCATGCAAGTAGAGGAGCTCTCACCACTCAGTGGTGCCGTCTCATGGACCGGCAAAGCTTTCTCTTACTTCGTACATACTATTGATAGAACCTTGGTAAGTATGGGAGGGTTATGTATTGGAAGGGGCTGCACTACATCTATACCTGTTCTCCCATTCAAGACTTATGAAACCAGCACTATGCAACTGCCACATTGGTCTTTCTGCAGGCCTACTATATTTATCATATGGTTATCTAACATTCTGGTAGATTATAGTCTGCTAAATGCTTGAAAGAGTTCACTGTGGTCCACTGTTTCTTTGTTATTGTGTATGATTCACTTCTATTGCCTTGTATAAATGCATTATCATTGAAAGGATTGGGGAGTGCAATAGTTTATGTTCTTTATATACAATTAGAGCTGATTAAAACCATTGAGAAAGACAAAGAATGATTTAAAGTAAAATAAGGCAATATTTGAACCTGAACCTCCAATTTTCCCTTAACACTGTTTGATGTACCCTGGTGCTGGTTTCATGTATTGTTGCTGGCAATGAAAATAAGTGGTGATAGTGCATCATAGTATACAGGGTCCCTATATATGTCTTGGAAGGCTTGATAATATAACACTGGAATTCTAATGAATACAGTACTGGATAGAAGTGGTCTTCTAGTAAATTGCCATACATTCATACTCACTGTTCTTTTGACAGAAATAAAGTTATTTTAAAGAGAGTTACATATGCAATAAAATGTATCTAAACAAAAAATTGGCAATTTACAAGGATTCACCTTTTATATAGATCACCAGTTTAATTCTCTTCTTGGCACAGTTAGTCTCTTTATTTTCATGTTTGTCAATTTATAACAAATAATGTAGTGTGAAAACAGTTCAACAAATGCATGACAAATAGGGAAAGAAATCTTCAATACAGCGGCATGTATTTAACCTAAAGTTTGTGATATCTGACCTTCATGGTCTAGGGTAGGCTAATGTGACCCTTCTCTCATTGTGCATGGTAGTTTACACATTTGGTGTTGGTTAAATTAGAGTGTAAAGTAATGAAGGAAAAATTTTTAGAAATGTTGATCTTTAAAAAATTGTGAGCATTATTTTTTTATGATAGTTAGTTTTTATGATATATGGAAAAGACTAAGTTGATTTTGAGTAGAAATTATAAGAGGAACTGTTTTTTTCATCATTTCAGCTTGAGAAATATTTTCAATACAAGAAGGATCCAAGGGCAGCCCGAGTAAGTTTTGTTCACAACTATTGTATAATAAAATACTGTCATAGTATCACAAGATATCTCTATTGGAAAAATGTGTATTATCCTGAAATTGATCTTTCTTTACTCTTTGTGAATTGTCATCATGGTGAAATGTGTGTGTATTTTACAGGCTGATAGTCCCCCAAGACGGAATAGAAGAGGATTACCAGCCAAAAGCCTCAGGGAGAGTGATGTGAGCATAGAAATGACTTACATAATAAATGCTTGTACTTAGATTTGAATTTGCAGTGCTCTCTTCAGCTTTAAATTTTAATTTTTTGATTTGGATAAATTGGGGCATACCTGCTATAGTGTATGTGCTGTTCATTGAATGTTCATATGCTTGCCTCAACCTGGTTGACTTTAAATTTATTAAAGAGTTTTTGCTGAACTGGCTTAAGCAAACAGTGGACTTGTTACATATTAAGCACCTTTGTTTTGTGCTTTGTTTTAGATGCTGAATTCAGTAGATGAAAACAGCAATTCTAATTCCACTACTAACAGTCAGGGAAGTATGAGAAGGGAGAGAAGGAAGCATCTAGACCACAACTACCAAGTAGCAAAAAATTTGAACTTTGATGAAATTGACGACGATGAAAATTCTAATGGTGTGGTAAGTAAAACTAGAGTTGAGATGTGAAATGCAAAAACTGAATACCTTTTCAAATTGATGAATGCGCAGGGCAATCAATCCATAGTGCTTTTATACCAATATCATTTTTTTATAAGACATGTTATGAAAATAATGTAAATATAGATCCATTCGGAAAGATGGCACTTTGTCTAAGTGTTACCTCTTTTTACAAAGATTACAAAAAAGATGCAACGAAGAATTCGCCATGCTGCAACCAGGAACAGTGGCAGAGTAGAGAAGCACAGCAGGAGAGCACATGCCAGGGCATCTGGTAAACAGAATGGTGAGAGATACCAAACATAATTTTTTGTTAAAAAAGAAAGTTTATTACTCATTGCTGTTCTGATATCTGAAACACTGGAATTTAAAGATACATTGGAAGTAAATGCCTATAACATGAATTTATTTTTAGTACTAATTTCTTACACAACACAAATAAAATTGTCTGCCAGAAAAATAAAACTTAATCGAAATTAATCTCTCAGGCAGCAGGAAAAAAGCTGTAAAACTGCACCTCAGATTTTCAGATTTGTTTTTTCCCGTCCTGTCCACAAGGCACAGAACATAAACAAATTACCTGTGCAAATATCATTTTTTGTGGGAAACAATGAAACATGACAATGATTTGAAATAAATACTATCTAATTGTGAATCTTTGACCTATTAAGTTTTCCTTCATGTGCTCTTTAAACTTTGCCTTTCATTTTCAAGTGTCCTCTACAAAACACAGTAGTCGCAAAGAAAACAAAGCCAAAGCCCTGGAAAATCTTGACCTGTTGCATGCTCACACGGTGTTCAGTACATCTTCACCACCAGACAAAGGTGAGAATATGGATTACAATATTCCTGAAGTACTAAGGCACAGTAACAGTCCTGTCCAAACTGTTAACATAAAAAGTTTTTTGTGCTATGTTAAAATAAACCATTTTTTTGTGCTATACTGTGATCATATAGCATTATGTTGAGATTATCTGATAGTTAAAATCGGCTCACACTTTCTGACAGAAATAATTTGATGATTTTGGAGGTCTGAAGATTGAATATGCAATTTTTGTTCCAGTGGCTCAAAATGTGAATAAGTATAACGATGCAAAGATGATCAGCTCAGGGAGCTGTTACTCATTTTCTCCCCCACCACCCAGTGTTCACCAACTGCCTGACCTCCCAGAACCTCCAGAGTTACAGCAATTCCTGGGTAAGTACTGACAGCTTGTTAGTTGATGATTTCAATTAGGCATATTTCATTTAATAGATATTTACTGTATATTTGACGGGGGAAGGCTTACTCTGATATGGTGGATCCAGGGGAAGGCATAGTTGACGAAGTGCAGCAACACGTCATACCTCCATTGCTTTGAGAGCCCCTTCTCCCTCCCCCCAAAAAATTTACAATAAAGTTTTTGTGTAGAACTATAAAAGCATTTGGCTTAGCTTCAATTAGTTTTTAAAAAATTAGCCTTGTACCCCTGTATTTCATGTTTTTTCATGTTTTTTTTATTCAGATAACATAAGGCAGCAATACATGAACTTTCTACGCTATATGAAAACACCTCGATATAAGTTATCGCTCAAACAACAAATTGATAAAGAAAAGGTGAGCATGGGCGATCATTTTAACTTTTAAAGTGACAGTGAGCTCACTGTTTTGAATATTTGCTTTGAAGAATATTATTCAGATCTTAATCAATATGATTTATGGTGTCAGCAATAAGGTATTCACAGCAGTGGTCTATCTAACTGGCAAGTCTAGCATTGTTTACAATGTTTTGTCAGAATGGATTTGGCATTTCAAGTTAAATTTCTAATATCGTTTCCCTTTATGGAGATGCACAGTTTCATCACGGTGATAAATTTCACTTACAGTAAACTATACATTTTAGGAACGAAATACAGATCTCAAAACTCGGGCCAATCAGCTGGAAAAGCAAATAAGCAAACTTCAGCAAGAGAGTGTAGGAAGACTAAAAGGAAGGCTTTCAGAGGTAAAGTCGCTTTATATTTAATTACTTTAAATACAGTGTTTCATGCACACAAGTTCATATAACAACCATAAAGTCACTTTATTAAAATAATGGACATGCAATCAGAAGTGATGCCATTTTGTAGGTAAAAATTTAGCTGGATCATATAATGTTCAGTAAGGTTCAGTGTTGTTGTCTTTCAGTTGGAGATAAATGCCAGCACCCCATCTGACTTCCTAGCCAAAGCCAAGGAGATCGTCATCCGCCACAAGGAGCTTGAAAATGAGGCAGCTACTCTTCAAGGAGTTGTAAATGTTCTTGAGAATCAACAACAGAAACTGGTAAGTTGTCACAGATCGTGTAATATGAAGGCATTTATTGACTATGGTCCAGATCTTACCAGGAAATTTGCACTAACGGAATTTAAAAAAGCAAATAGCAAGACCACAAGATACTTTATACATAAGGTTGATTTGTTGGTTCTATTGCTAGATTTTGACCACCTTCCTAAATCATCTCTTTGCTCTGTCCTTTAGCTGGTTGCTCACCATCAGCAGTTACTGGAACAGACAAAGAAGACTGGTAAAGAGAATGGGATGAAGGTAAGTATGGTAAATTTGATATTGATGTTATATATGGCCCATACCTCCATGTTTGGCTTGTCACATATGGTATATAAAGGTCGCTTGTATTTTCTTCTCAAAAGATTAATGATATTGCAGGGTTTTGCCCTTTGAAATGTTAGGTGTATCTGGTTTCTTTTTAGATATTTGATCACCTCCATTTTGTCCTTGTAGGTGGACCCAGCACTCAGCCATGACTATTTGCTGAAAGAGCTTGCAACTTCATTCAACCACAAGAAGGATCTGATAACACAAGCTAGTAAACTGGAGGCGGACGTGTGGGCTTTGGAGAAGTCCAAGGACCACAGTCACGCCAGCAGATTGAAGAACTCCCCCAGACATCTCACCACCCCTATGACAGAATCCATTTTCCTGACGGGTAAGACCGAGTTGGACAACAAGAGTCTCAGAGACAAAGATATTCGATTGACAAATCATAGTTTCGATACGAAGTTGCACAACATCATAAGTTCTGCTCTGAATACAAATTGTGAGAATGATAGTGACCGAGGCAGACACCACTCAGGAATGTTGGGAATGCCGTCTGCAGTTAACCCTTTGTTGTCAGGTCTATCTGCAGACCAAGTTTCTTCCAAGGCAGATTATTTAGTAGAGAAAAATGGACTTGAAAAACAAGCTGTGGCTGGTGGCACAGGGATGAAAGAAAAGGACCATATGAAATTTAGCCATCAGAGTAATGGGTATGTGCACATACCTGTTAATAAATTAGAAGAGGCAGAGTTGCATGTTAAATTGGAAAGATCATTCGGTGTACATCCACAACAAGATCACTTAAAATCTGACCTGCGTGGGGACATTGTACCAAAATCTGCAGTCCCAGCCAATATGTTGACACAGGCTGCTAGATCCAGCCCTACATTGTTAGAGAGAAGCACTTACTCTCCCATCAGTCGGCCTAGTAGCTCTAGCAGCACTGAGTCAGCAGAATCTGTGAAAAACCTCTACCATGGAGCCCCAGAACCCTTGAAAGGAAATAATAGTTCTTCGGGTTTATCGTTCAAGATTGATAACCTAATGTCATCAGAGACAGGGAGGTCAGACTCGAGTCCATCGTCATCACGACCCATGTCATCTCTCAGTGTTAGCAGCTTGGCATCGAAAGATTCTAGAGAGAGTCAGCTGACACCATTCAGCAAAATGTCCTATTTGCCACCAAGTACTGTTGGTAATCTACCCTTGTATGGTGGAATAGCTAACTACCATCAGCTTGCCATGTCTGCAAGTGGTTTGGGATTATCTATGCCAGCATATCAATTCCCCAAATTTGGGAACAGTTCTGACTCTGTTTTATCAAAAAGTCTACCAGGAATATCTTCTGTAGGTGGTCTCCAGGCTTTTAATTTTACCTCTCCACAAGCTTTTGCTGGATTGAATGCTTATGTCAACCCATATGGTGGTCTTGGGCTGAATTTGCACTCTGACATTTTACCAAAGAGTCCTAAGGTTCCTTCAAAAAATGAAGAAAAACCGAAAAAGCCTAAACGCAAAAGGGGAAGTTCAAAAACGCCTGGAGACACTCCACCCAAAAAAATGTGCTCAAAATCACCAAATACCTCATCTGCTGGGCATGTGGAAGCTAAAGTAGTGCCTGTTAAAGTTCTAACTCCACCTTCATCAGCATCATCATGTGTGGATACAGCCAGAGTGCAACAGACATTTGCCAAGACGTCATCACCCTCCACTGCTACAGCCTTGATCACCAGCAGTAACAGTGCATCCATGTCACCTATAGCAGCTATGGTAAATAATGCCTCACAACCATTGCCCATTTCGGCTATCCCATCACCAGTGTCCTCTGGCAAGTCTCCTGTTAGTCAATCAACAGATAGAGTCATCGCTTCTCCAAAAGGTAAGGTCAGACAATGGGGAACTTTGTTGAATTATAGGAGGCTTACAAAAATCTTCCATAGCACATGTGGTATATTCCTTTGTCAATATGATAATTGACTTATAAGCATGATATGTTTGTTTGTTTGTTTGTTTAACCCTGTTCCTTGCATACAACGTGATTTTTTCATTTTAGGCCACAGCTACAGCATCCCAGCCAGTTTGAGCCAGATTAAGTTCAGCAGTGGACTGGAAGCCTTGGCTGCTTATGCTACCTGTGAACTGGACAGGAACCGAGAGAACAACACACCAGGTGGAGATCAGTCTGTTTCAAGTTGTGATTCATTTCAGGGTAGTGGTGGTGGAAAAACTGACACATCAAATCAGGCCAGCTTACAACAAGAAGCGGCCATTGATTTAAGCAAAGCAAATGAAAAAATTAGTCAAGATGGCAAGAAATTAGACACTGATTCCAGCACTTTGAGCAGTAATGCTTCTTCTCGGGAGCTGGGTATGAAATCTCGGGGGCCATGCACCCCTCCTGGTACTCCTCCCCCATCACCCCCAAAATCCCCCAAACATCATCGATCCCCCTCTTCTCCAGGCCCCAGAAGCAGGAGCCGTAGTAGCAGTGTTGATAGCCATGGCTCAGGTCATCATGCACGGCGAGACTACAGGAGAGACAGGGACAGAGATAGGGATAGGGATAGGTCACATAGCAGAAGAAAGTATTCTGATAACCGATCATCAAGCCCCACCGACTTTACATCCAATTATGACAGGCATTTTAAAAAGAAGCATTTTAGTAAAGAGCATAGTCGAAATTTTAACAAAAATTATAATCACCAGTGGAAAGGAGATGGTGGAGGGTTGGGCAATGGGGGGATGGGGAATTCTGGAACTTTTGGGAAATTTCGACCAAAAGGAAAGTTTTGGGACCACACAAAGCAGACTTTGACTACACAAGGCAGTGGGTTTGTTTCTGGACAACAACATCAGCAACAACAAGCATGCAACAGTGGCAATATGGGTTCAGGAAATGGAAACTTTCAGCAGAACAGTTATGGTGGAAACATGAATAACACAGACAGCTATGGTCCTAACAAAGCTATTCTCCTAGGAGGTGGTGGAATTCTCACTAACAGTCCTGGACAAGGGAATTTTGGAGGCCCACCTATCCCTCCTGGTGGTTTTCCTGACCTGTCTAAGCCACCACCCCTGCCTGTCCACCCAGGTAACAACAAAGGTGCCCCAACATCTTACGCTTTGGGACCAGCGCGATCAACATCTTTACCTCAGCCGCTTTTCACTTCCACCGCGTCTTGCTCTAATAATGCCATGCAGCCTGTGAACTTCAATCAGCCGCCCCCACCACCTCCTCNACTCCTCCTCCCCCACCACCCCCTCTGCCACCCTCTGGCCCTGGGTCAGCTCCCAATAACAGTATGGTTCCCCCAAAAGGGATGCCCAGAATGGAGGGTCCACAGACTGCAGACAGAATGAGATTTGATGGACAACCACCTCATGATAAAAATAGATTCAGATTTGAAGAGCACCGGCCTCAGGGCCCAAGGTATGACACAGCCATACGACCCCAGTGTGATGGCCTGCCAAGAGGCTCAGGCCCTGCTAGGTTTGATGGTCTACCACACAGGTATGATGGGAGAAATAATGGCCCAAGGTTCGATGGTGGTCCTAGGGATGACTGTGTAAGGATGAATGGACCAAGGTTTGACGGTGGTCCCAAAATGGATCACTGTAGGTTTGACAACCCACGGATGGACAACATGAGATTTTCTGGTCCTAGAATGGATGGCCCCAGATTTGATGGCCCCAGAATGGAAGGAAATGATCTTGGCCCTTGCCACTGGAATAGTGGACCCAGATTTGACAGACCACCGAGGATGAATGGGCAACCCGTGTTCGATGGACCTCCACGGATGCCCTTTGATGGACCTTGTGTCAATGGACCTCCCACAACTCCTGATGGTCCACCTAGGATGAATGGACCTTCTTTTGCCGGGCCTGGGTTCTCATCATTTGTTGGACCATTCAATGGCAACAGACCCGGTAAGGGAAAGAGATGCATGGTTTTATCCTTTCCCTGTCTTCCCTGCTTTGGTGGTTGGCTGTGCATTTGCTTATTGTCTATTGCACCATGCTGAGCTTCTGTTTCTGTTTTAGATATAAAGTTATAAGCAGTCCTCCTATTTAAGTTAATGCATGATGTACTGTTTCCCCTCTCTTTTTTATTTTGGATTAATTTCTCAATTTTTGATAAGAAACTAAAACATGAACGCAATTCTAAGCGCCAGCTATGTTGGAGTAACCAGCAGAGAAGAAGAAATCTTGTAAAACATGGTTACTTGATAATTCACTTTGAATATGTATTGCAGATGTGCTTATGTTTGTATAATGTTTGTTTAAGCTATCTCCCCCTATTATTTTAAGTACAGTTTGGATGTTTTAAATATATTTTTACCAGTAGAAAAATGTGCATATTACATATGATCATTGCATGGCACATTTATGCAGTTTTGCATGCTACTGTTCTTTTATGTGTTATAAACATTTCATAGACATTTCCATCCCCAAACTAACAATCATGCTATAAATGCTTTCTGGTTTGTTCAGTGAATGATGAAAGTAAGTTATGTCCAGCATTAAGTATAATTTAAATGTTTAGCTTTCCCTTTTGTGTGAGCTTAATATATTTAAAATTAACACATGTTAATGGCATCGTTTTGTTTTTTCAGGTTTTGAAGTCAAATGATGACCACAGTATGCTAGGATATATCGACTTTTAAACAGACCCTGAGATACTAAAAGCTATAGACGATTGTTCAGACAAAGTTCAAAATGTATGGAAATATATGGGTAAAATTCTTGTATCATAGAGTGGACATTGAAAAAAAGTTGTATTGCTGTCCACAATGCAATATGGTGTTGCTCATAGTTAAGCTTATAACTCTTTCAACAGTAGACAGATGCATTATTATAGTTATTATTGTAAACTCAGAAAGTGACGTTTTCAAAAAAATGATTTGCTACAATAAAACATTTATTGACTCTTTTTAGTAAATTATAAGTTTTTTCCTATGACATTAAAACTAATATTAATTATATAACCTGCAAAGTGAAATGCAGTAGGTTTTTTTATGGATGTGTGTCCATTATAATGGTCTCTATGCTGATAAGTTATGACAGTAGAACACATTAAGTAATTTATTTAGAAGTTCATACTAATTATAATAAAGAAGTTTTATAACTCTTCAGGAGTTGTATGAACACAAGACTTTTATGACCACTCCGATATTCAGAATGGAACACGTTTGATGTTTCTGTCTTCTCTAGTGTTAGCAGATGTAGTAATAATGATCTCTTATGCCAGGTACACCTTTTTCATTTCCTTAAAGGTATTTATTAAGTTAAACGCGGGTGTGTAGGCTGATTGAGATGCTTTATATGTTGCTACTGCTATTAAATTCAGGGAAGTTCTATCTGGGTGCTGCTGTTGCAGGGACCATGTCAGCTTCCATGTTAATAATAATACTAATGATGATGATGATGATGATGACATTAAATCACTGCCCTGTAGTCTACCAGGTGATGGCAGCCGTCCACCCAGAAAGTGTCACAACTGTGTGCAAAAGTTTGATATTGGTCTCCAATTTATGAGTTTTACATGCTTGTGAGACTTTTTTCCACCTTACTGGTGTGGGGATGACCCGGCATAATTGTTGAACTGATGAAGAAAATTATGATCTCAAAATGAAATTCCTCTGAATGTTTTGTGACTGTAGCTTTATTCACATCCGTGTGTTGCATCTCTCTGGCAGTGTTTAGGAACTTTTTGTGTGCTTCAGTAATCCATTCTACTCCACTGAAGAGCTGGGATTGGCATGTTTATTATTTCTAAGCAAAAAATATAATATTCAATGTTTGGCACCACTTGTTTTGTATGTTTTTTTCTAGAACTTACAGACATGCAGCTGCATTCATTTTATTATTTTTTTCATCTGTGTTTAATTGGACTTTCAAGAAGCAAGCCACTGTCAGTTAGATAAAACACTATCTCGTTTTTCAAACAAAAACAATGTCAGCACTTTACAGGAATGTAATTTAATCAACAGAGGAATTTCTTAATAGTCGATGCATAAGTGTTGATTCAGGGGTATTCCAGATCTCAGCTGTAACAGATGCTGTTCTCCTCTCACTTTCTACACAGAGCTCAACACACCCAGCAATAATTCTGTGCCACTGTGAGATGGTCATGGGTTACCTCAACGAAACAAATGAGTTCACTACGAAGCAAAGTTGACCAGTAGACCATTGTAGAAAGACTGTAGCAGCTTTGTGACAGTGAGACAGACCTGTTCACAATGGCATCATTACAGAAAACCCCCCAGGAAGATACTCGTCCATTTCATATATGCATCTTGAGAATGTTGACATATTGTTGCATCTGACATACTAAGTAACATACGATGACATTTCTGTAATATATATATGAACTTGATTGTTGTGACTGTATAGCTCAGGAAGTGATTGTTTAAAACTGCACTCTAATATTCACCTTAATTGATGTATATGAATTTTGACCTGAAGTCAGTGCTACTTTTTACCATTAGCTAGATAATGAATGGAAATTAGCAGAATATTTATGTCTTATTCTGGTGTAGTCACATGATATTGTGAAGCAAATTTTAAAGTGTTGAAGAAACAACATTACCAGTGTTTTAGAAACAGAAGGGACAAAATAGAGGGTTAGACCAAAGAAATGCATGAAGATAGTAGGTAGGTTTAAATGCAAAGGTGGATGAGAGTTCAAACTTAATTTCAAACTAATTCATGTTGGGGTGGTTTGCATGGCACATTTATTTATTTATTAAAGAAAATTTCTTACACAGTTTGTTATTATGAGCTAAATTGTAAACACTTTCCTTATGTATTTTAAGTAGATGGTTATAGCCGCCTTGATGATTGATGTCTGAATATATAGGTGGTCAAATATATCACATATATAACATAATAAAAAAGCTAGGGGACATTCCCAGCACATGGGTTTGTGATTTTTATTGCACTGCCATAACACTGCCATTTGTGTTATCTTTACGAAACTTGTTATGATAAACCAGGTCAATTTTGGTAATTTTATATCCATGTATTTAGAGTTAAAAGTACTGGTATTTTAAAATATTATGTAGAGTAATATATCAGTATGTTTAAAGTGATATATTAAAGGGCTTGAGTTGAATTATTGCCTGTCACAAGTGTATTTAGTACTAGAGATTGCTTCGAGATTTAAATGGGTGTCTTTTTATGTGCTTCAGATTTGATGTTGAACATCTTAATAAATTATCATACACGTCTAAATCTATATTTCAATTTGTATATAAAGAAAATCAGTTATTGTGTTTTATTTGAAATTTCTCAAACTATTATTTTAGTAAAAAGTAAGTGTAAATAGAGTGGACACTTGCCTTTTCAACACTAGTCTCGGGGCATAGTATTATATTGTGTACAGAAATATCTATAAAATTGTACAACTAACTTGCAAAGTAGGAACCATGACTATAAGTTTTCTTACACTAGTTATTTTATTGAAATAAACTCATTTAACTGTTAAAATATTACAAAATACAAGCAGAGCACAGCATACAAGTTATTCTTTTGAAATTCTCTATTCTTCCTTTGATTTTTTTCCTTTGATGAGTTTGAAAGATTGTCTTTGAAATATGTTGTAGATGTATTAACATGCTCAGAATGGTAATTTTGTATTTGCTTTTAAGTATTCTTCTAATGTTATACATGTATTGTTTCCCAAACTTTAGGTTTTGTAATAAAGTGTGTATAATAAGTCAAGTGTAGTTCATTTATCTTAATAATTTATCTATTTGTGCTGTATCTCTGCAGTAATTTATTACACAAAGACTGAATATTTTGGAATAAAAAGCAAATTTAGGTGTCTCTGGAGGTACGCGAGAATCTAACAGCAATACTTGTAGCAAGAGATAAAATTGCTGTTTAATTCAATTGAATCAGAAACCTAAATACCTTTAAATGATATTATTAAATATTCATAAAATGTTAAAATATCAAAAATATATTTATTTGCTAATGAAACATGAAAAGCTCAATACACATTTGGAAGTATTATCACTATGAACTGGCCTGTTGATGGACAAAAGAGTGTCTTGGCTCATATATATATATATATATATATATATATATATATATATATATAAAGCAATATTTATCATTCATAATAAATATTTATAAAATTCCAAAACCCTGCAGGGATTTGAAAATATTACAAATTGCCTCCAGTTAGTTGACTTTTTAAAAACAAAGTTCACAAAAGTTCACATCCCTGAAAATTTGTAACACCCTATTTCTATCCAGTCCAAAAAAATTTTGTGATGCCAGGAGCAATTTTCATATTTTGGTTACAATGGCATGTAGTATTTCTCCCATCTGTGTACAGAAACAAAATCATCTCATTTTCTTAAGTCTACGGTTGCCCAAATTAAATCATCTTCGAAGTCGAAGAAAGAAAGCATGTTTACAGTCTTTTGAATCTTCTGGATAATACTTGTCATAGAAGTCCAGAATGAATTCTTCTGGTTTGAAACCGAATTTTTGATAGAGCAGCATAGCCGCATTGGTTGCAGAAACGTGAAGAGTAACATCTTTGCCCATACAGGTCTGAAGGAGAAAAAAATTCAATACATATTAATAACACCTGGAAAAGAGGGGGGTGTAACAAAAATTAGATCTATATCTTAAAATAGCCATTAATATTTCATTCTGTGTAAAAATCAAACTGATACGCTGTATCTTGAAAAGAAATACACAAAACAATGCGAAAAACCTGCACCTATACTTAAAAGAAAGTGGCAAATGCAGCCCTGAGTAGAGATACTGTCATTACAACTTTATTTTCTAACCCACCTGAATAAGATGATAAAGCATGAAGGTGGCAATCCCACACCTCCGCCACTCTGGATGGGTGAAGATGAAGGAGATATAGGCCTCGTTGTATTTTACATCTGGCACCATGAAGGCAAAGCCTATCACAATTTTCCTGTGTTAAAAAATGTTATGAACAGATTTATGTAAGAGCCTACTTATTATAATGCCCATTTATATGTCGAAATCCATAATTAGTTACAGAATCAACTTGCAATGAAGTTTCATATTTTAACATTGCCATAGTTATGTCTACATTTTGCCTGTGATATATGCTGTTTAGATAGATGTCTTTTCAAATTTAATTTGGAGAAACTTACCTGTAGAGGACTACACAACTGAAGTCTGGATACTGTAGGCACTCGGACACTTGCAATAGAACATTTAATAGAAAATTACAATCAATGAGAACTTCATTTAATTGTTGGAAGATCACATTTTTATTAGCCTCAACAAACTTTACCTTGTCCAAAAAGTTTCTTCAAATATCCTCTTAATCATTTAAAAGATTAAGCTTTTTAAATTGAAAAGCTTTGTGTCATTTTTTACAAGTGGCGCCATTAGTATTGTTGTACCTCCAGAGTCGATCTATAAAACCATTTGAAAATATGCTTTTCATCATATTTTTCACAACAAATTTAAATCACACTGTAACTTACAATCAATCCCTGGCCAGAAGAATTCTCTACATAGAGCATTTACTGAGGGTATATGCTGTGGTCTCACATAGCAGTAATCTATAGGAGGCAAGACTGGTGGCTCCCAGCTTGGGTCATCCCTGTAAAGTTGATTTTCCTATCTTGATAACAAGAGCTGTTTACATCTGCACATCTGATGGATTTCTTTTAACATGTGCACATTTGAGCTGTTGGGAAAAATTATCTTTATATGATGTCCATAAATCAATATGCATCAAAGGCATTTTTTTTCAACAAACCTGAACAGCTTACCTGTGTGGAAATGAAATAATTTCTTGAAAAAGTTTCATCTTTAACGATACCGATTCATAATCTCGTCTGATAAATGGTTTCAAAAATCTGAAAATTAAAAAGTATGGAGGGTATACATCACACCTGAATTTCAAGATTCCACATCAAAATATTTCACAGGCAGCAATATAAAAACTTAAATAGCATAACTCTAAAATTGCAAAGAAACTTTGTTCAAGTCAAACTAGTCAGATCTGTTTGGAAAATAACAACATTACATCAACTAAAAAAGAAAGAAAAGAAAAGGAAAAATGAATAGAGCTAGTGTTGGTTTACCTTGCAGTATAAGGACTACATATACTTTGCAGCTGATCATCCTCTGTTCCCACGAGGCGGTTCAGAAATGATGAGAAATGAGGTACTTGCGATGGCAAAGAATGAGATGGCATCTGAAATCTATCTAGCACTCTGTAGTCTGCATATCCAAACCTTGAAGTAGGCAGATGAGATGGATTCATCTGGTAATTTAACTAAAAATAGAAAATTACAGTCGACATGTTTTAAGTACAATTGATGTTATGTTTTGTTATGGTGTTTTTCAAATTTTTCTTATCTCCATTTTAGACTTTTAAAAAAAGTGGAACATGATAACATCTCAAGATGAAAAGTTGAGAACTTCTTCATCAATAAGGAAAAGGTGCTTTAAAAGTTTTGCTACAATACATTTACCCACACACTTACATCACACATGTAATGAAACCTCTAATTTTTAGTCTTATAGATTTTTTTTTTAATTCACCAACCTCTAAGTCACGTCTTTGCCCTGTCAGCATGGCCATGGTTGCATCCAAGTCAAAGATAGGTAAACCACGTTCTCTCTTAAGCTAAAATCAAAGTCACCAAATTTTTTATTCCGACTATCTTCAAATATGAACTCTTGCTAGCCATTTGTAGTAAAGGTAAGACTGCAGTTCCATTAGCTTTAGGCACTGCTACTAAGCCCATTCCAATGCTACATTTGCAGTTATGTATTTTTCTTTGATAACAGTCTCAAATTCATGAGTGAATGCATTTCAATAATTATAGTCTTTTAACTAGCATATATTAATGAAATATTTCTGTACCTGTCTGACCCGTAATTTAGCCCTAAATCTTTTTGTTTCACTGTCTAGTTCTACACCAGAGCCAATTGAATTTAATTTCTTCAATAGCCGTTTTTCTTCATATACACTCATAGGTTCATATCTGAAAGCAAACATTGTTGTTTAATGTAAAGGTTAAAAACAATCAATGGTTCACATAAAAAATTAGAGCTTTTCTCAAGTTTTTTGACTTACATTTCAAAATAGCATCAAGAAAGAGGAAATTATTGGTGGAAGGCTATAAAGAATATCCCACTCCTTGTGAATGGAAAAAGGCAAGCAACATTTTTCACAAAAAAAAAAAAAATGTAAGAGACCACAGATAGTTTAAAAATAAACTGCATACTCACACTGGGTCTGGAGGCTTCGACTCTGGAGGAACTTCAGTGATCTCATTTTCTTTCTTTAGAGGTTTGTTTTGGTTTTCATTCACACTAGACTGAAAAAGGCATAAGACTAGTTTCAGTGATTGTATTTGGACAGCAAGAAATACAAATGAAAAATTTCAATGCCCAAGATGGTAATGTGGTAATGTGAAGATAACCAAAAATTCCAACTTTTCGAAGATAATAGGCATGCTGTAGTAAAACAGCACTTACATTGTCTGAGGACTCAGATGCAGCATCATGTTCATTCTCTGATGACTCAACATCACTTTCATCTTCCTCGTTTTCTTTATTTTCTGCAAGCTGCACTTCTTCTTGTCCTTCTTCTTCTTCTTCTTCTCTGCCTTGGAAGTTTGTTTCAGATTCAGTGTTAACAGTTTTGGTCACTGTTGCCATAGCTGTGCTATTCAGTTCAACTGCATCTAAAAATGGCACAGTATGCAGACGTGCAACTTACAGCAGTTAATGAAAACACAGCATTATTATCCACAACAGATTTACAACACAAAAATGAAAAAAAAAAAGATGTTAGGAAAATTTATAGTATGTATCATGTTTCTTCTATCACCTGATTATCATAATCTTCATATTTTCATCTTCATTTGAAAGATATTTATTGTTTATATATTGTTTAAAACGTTATGCCTTAAAGTTATCATGATCTTTATCGCAAATGGAGTTTTCAATTCAATACTGCCTACATTCACCTTTACCTGTATGTTGTAATGCAGACAGAATGTCAACAACATCTGGAGTATTGTCCATCATGAGGGTGTCCTCATCTCTGGGAGGAGAGATACTGCCAGGATCTATTTCAAAGTCACTGTCATCTTCTAGAGCCTCATCCTCCATCAACAACAACTGGGGGACTGTCTCTAGAATTAAATGCAATTGCTCAAATGATATGCCTACCGTTGTAAATTACTGTTGTTAACAATTCTAGATATAGCTCTCAGTAAGATTTGCCACAAAAGCACAAGTGTCAGGTGTTATTTTCCATCGCTCTTACAGTAAGTGGTATACAGAGCAAGTATGTCTACAGTTACTGGGGCTGTGCCACACCCCTCTCTTAAGGTTGTCACAGTCATAATGCCCACACTCATTTAAGTTCACTAGAGCTTGTTGATTTCATTTCCTTTCCACTGGTAGCAGCTGACTCTTCTTCACCCTGAGTTTAAGAGAACACTGAAAACTTTCCTCCCTACTATCAGCATGCTTCTGTCAATACTGGAAATGACTGAGGCATGCTGATTGTAGAAAGTAGAGTTTCTAGTGTCCTCTGAAATTCAGGGAAATTCTAGTCAGGTACACATCCAAAAAAGCTATTTACCACAGTGAAAAATCCAACCTGAACAACTAATGGGCTGAGCATTTATTTTCAAATGACATTGGCATATTTATTAAGAAAAAGAAAAATGCCATCACCTCATACCTGGAGGTTTCAAATCTTTTTCAGTGAACCATGAACCTTTCCCCATGGCATCAAGAGCATCCTGCTGACTGTCTGCCATCACATCCATCTCTTCTGAAGCTGCTCCCTGTGCACTGGGGACAGCTGATGAGGACCTGGTGGTTCTGCCTGTTCTCAGCACTGGTGGTTGTGGAACAGTCATGTTGCTGATGGGTTTATCAACATCCATTGTGAAATCAGTACCTGAATCAGTGCTGGAACGAGTTTTTCTGATGTCTTTGGCTTCCTAATAAACATATTAATACTAGGCTTAAAGATGCCTTATAGCCAAAAAGGAGACATTGTAATGGTCTAGACAGATATACCAGATATGGTTAATTACTAATAAAATGAAATACTGATATGCCATACCCATTTTAAACTTGGTTTGACTAAGGAGGATTTGTATGAAATCATTATTGCATATAACTTAATCTTCACCTGTGTTACCGAGCGTCTTGCTTTCAGTTCAATTGCAGCTTGTATGGACGTCTTCCTAGCTCTGGTTCTCAGACCTTCCATTTTTACTGCCAGAGATTCCTTAGAGTCCAACTTTTGTTTCTTGCCATGTCTCTGGCCCGACTCTGAAAAATTGGAAAGGAATCCTAGTTTAGAGGATAAAAACATCAGAATATTACCTTTTTCAACAGAGAATTTTCTACTGATAAATATGATATACATCAGTACACATTGACTGGGTTCCTGTGCCTAGATCAATCTAACTAGATCGACCCATCTCTAAGGGGTTTCTCGCTAAATTGCTTAGATGTCTGGCATGCCTACTGAAGCCGCTAAATGATAGTCAATTACCCTCTAACAGCTTCAGTGGGTGTGCGAGACATCTAAGCTGCTGAAGTTGATAGCAATTTAGTGAGAACCCCCTTGGAGATAGATCGATCCAAAGTTAGTACCATAGTCTCTGGGAATGGTCTCATTCATGCAAAAACTGCACCTTGATCAAGTGAAAGTGGTTTCATCTCTGTTAACTTCCACCATCCTGATTCCTTTAGCTCCAGTTGACCAGAGACAAAGTATTTAGGGCAGCCTGCAGACAGGGCACCAGCAACTGTACCATGCCAGGTTGACGTCTTCTTTCTTTAAAAAATTGTAAAATGTGTAGCTTTCACACTCATAGAAATAAAAGAACAATTAGAGAAGACATTTTGATACAATGAGATTCTCATAACACTCTAGTGTTAAATTAACTTTGGATAATACTGTTATGACACCACTTTGCCCTCTACTTTTGCAAATTTCAAATACAACTGAAATAACAAGAAGTTATGTCTTACTTTGAGGCATCAAATAAATGAATCCAGTGCTTATCAATAAAAGCACAAATATGTTCCTTCCAGCGGAAATAGCCACACTTTCCAGCTCCTTGTAACTGTAGATTGTACAGTGCCAGCACAACAACCTGGGTCCTAGAATCAAATTTACACATTCCATGCCATCATTGGACATACCCTTCATCAAATAACACACGCCAACCAAACCTAACTTATCTTTTAATAAACTGTTCTGTGCAATCATAAATAGCCTAATTTGTGGTCGTAAAATGCACCTGCAAAAAAATGTTAAAATTCTGTTCCTAGACAGATCTACAAGATAAATAATGGCATACCACTGTAGTTTCTGTCTGGTACATCTCTCCTCCCCAGTGTCACTGCATTCCTGACAAGTTAGGGCAAAGAAAGTATCTCCTTCAAGAGGGGTTGGTCTCCCTGTTTTTAGACACTCTGTAAATATTAAAGACAATATAAACTGATAAAACAAAATTCATGAAAATGCTGACACGAATGCATTTTCCTTATCAAAATCAGTTTTCAAAATACATGTACCTATTCAAATGGAAATACCATCCTGAGAATTCAACATTAGAATAAAATGATTAAGTTTGTGGGGTATACTGTACATTTTTAAAAGTATCCTGAAAGAGTTATCATGTTGCAAGTCCTAAAATGTTAACGTTGTATATTTGTAAAGATTTACCAAAATGAAATTTCTTCTTGCATATTGTGCACTGTAGTACATGTTCTTGTAACTTGGATACATTTTCACCACAGTAGCAAGTGTCAGTCTTCATGATTGGATTAGCTCTGGAGCAGAAGATGATACATAAACTTGTCAAATGTTGGTAAAACAATCCCATTATTTTAAACAACAACACAAGCAGTTTGTCTTAAAGAGCAGTACACTACACCTTGTATATCACATTATAACACCAGTAATACAACACTTAGGGCCAACTTTATAGTTCATAATTTGGAAATTTAAGAGAGTAGTGCCCGAGTATTTAAAATATTATATGTCACAGACTTTTCATTAAGAAGCATTTACCCAACATGAAAACAAGCAAACAAACACATCATATGCTACTGAAGTCTATAGCTGCACGTACATATTGTGACACAAGCCTGTAGTCAGGTTGGAGGGAAGATGGAGGGGGGGGGGTTGCCTCAGGTAAGGCCTCATAACATCCTAAAACTCTCTTTCATGACTATGTGTGATGCCACTTACAAATGGTGTACTCAAGTGCTAACACTATCTGATGGAATAAAAAGAGTAAAATGTTATCCAACTGGTTCATGAACCGATATATAAATGACTTTATTTGTGAATGATATGCTTCACAGTGTAATGGAAGACACACAGAGAAACAAGAACCCCCTTTTTAAACTTACTGGCTACAGGCCTGGTATTTGTCGGTCATCTTTTGCATCCCTCACACCAAGTTTGACCCTACGTTTGTATTTACTTTATGTAACTGAGTGAGTGCCCCCCTCTTTCAGATTTTAAACTGGTGTTATTTGTCTAAATAGCTTTTAGCAGAGTGCTGGCCCAGGGGATTAATCTTAGGAGAAAAAGTTACACCGTTGACCTTGTTTACTTTTCCTTTTAGACTCTAATGTTACATTTTAACAGGGAGCATTGCAAAACCAAAATTAAGCCGGCTCAGCGCCAGTTAATTCTATTCACTGATTCAGAGATTTATAATTATGCTTCAAGTAAAATTTGTTTTAACTTGCCATGTAAATTCTAATCATCAAAATATGTCATCTATCTGTCTTAACGCCATCGGTTAATGCACTCTGTTGTGGGTATTTAAAAATACTAAAGAATAAAGCAATACAGCAGCGATCATCACAGAAGAAACATGAAAGTGTCTGATTTTGCAGGGGGCTGCCATATTGTTTACCGTTTTCTCTCGTCCACTCAAACGAGAAGAAACATGGGAGGTCAACAGGTGGGCTGAGCTTCCTGGTTGCAGTCTCTTATTAAATTTTAATCATTTGAAGTACTTTGAAAGATAATTTGAATGCTTAAACAGTTAATTGAATATTCTTTTGAATAGTTTTTGTAATAGAGAGTGAATGGCAGAGTGTGCAGCAAATTTATCCAGATCTAAGATGCGGTACTAAATACAGCAGTTACATGTATTTTACCCAAGTTTACGGTCTTAAGATCTCTAATATTACCTCAGTCTTCTGCTAACGGTACCATTACCGCAGACAACGGTTTCATAGCGCTACGGTAAGGGTACCATTAGCATGTAAGGCTGAAACTGAGGTAAAGTACTACTGAGTTTTCTAGTAGTAACCATACTACATGTAAATAATACATGTACTGTACTGTACTTGTATGTTTGTACTCAACGTGACTGGGTAACTAAGTTTTGCTGCCAAGTTGAAATACTGTACTTGTTAGAAAGATGCTTTTGCCAAATTCGCAATTTTCTTGAATCTTGAATAATCTTAGCTTAAATAAATGGACATGAATTTGAAGTCGAAATTCCATGCTACTGTAATTGAACATAATTTATTTATCCTAGTTTCACTTTACAAATACTGCTTTGTGACTAGCTGAAGATGAGGATATCCTGCATGGTGTAGTTGAAAGTATGTTCTCATGATATCCTGCATGGTGTAGTTGAAAGTATGTTCTCATGATATCCCTGTATGGATGAACCCATACTACGAACATTAACGAAATGAAAAGAAAATGGAAACATTCAATATGTGGATGCTCATTATTTTTATGTACAGACACAGATGTGTCTGTACATATTGCCATCACCTGTGTCTGTCGTCGCCGTCGCCGTCGCCGATGCCGTCCCAGTGCACTTTCCTTGTAAACACGATAAGTGGAGGGCAGTTTTACTTTTTGGCTTTATATTTACAGAGCTGATGAATATTCATAAAACGCAGGTCAAGTTCAAAAATCAGCATGATCGGGCCATTATTGTAGAAGTTATGCTGTTTTTTCACTTTTCAGCATATATGCAACCCTGTAAACACATTTTAAGGAAAACTGTTAGGCCTGTTGTCATGAAACTCACAGGAGTAATCAATCTTACTAAAACGCAGGTCAAGTTCGAAAATCGGCATAATCGGGCCATTATTTTAGAAGTTATACTGTTTTTTCACATTTCCTCAGATTCAATTCTTAGGCATGTTAACAGTCTTATTATTTTACTAATAAGATACATAAAAGTGTTTGTTTGACATTTCCTGCATCTTAACAAAATTGTTAGTTGATTATGTAAAAATGATGGTAAACTTGTTATCGTGTATTGTGTAATAAAGTGTCAAAAATGGAAATAAACTCATATCATTGCAGTTTGTCAGATTCAATCATTCACTATGTTCAGAATCTCAGAATGGAGGAAATTGGACATTTAACACTATTCTATTGATATTTTTCCCATCTCATCAGTTTTCTTAGTTGATCATATAAGAATTGCAGTAAACTGTTTATTTTGTTTTATGTTAAAAAAAGTGTTAAAAATGGAAATAAACCCATGTCAGAACAGTGCTGTCTTGTTTCACATTTCCTCAGATTCAATTCTTAGGCATGTTAACAGTCTCATTATTTAACTAATAAGACATGTAAAAGTGTTTGGTTGACATTTCCTGCATCTTTACAACATTATTAGTTGATTACATTAAAATGATAGTAAACTTGTTATCGTGTATTGTGTAATATAGTGTCAAAAATGGAAATAAACTCATATCATTGCAGTTTGTCAGATTCAATCATTTACTATGTTCAGAATCTCAGAATGGAGGAAATTGGACATTTAACATTGTTTTTTTTGATAATTTTGCCATCTCATCAATTTTCTTAGTTGATCATATAAAAATTGCAGTAAACTGATTATTTTGTTTTATGTTTAAAAAGTGTTAAAAATGGAAATAAACCCATGTCAGAACAGTGCTGTCTTTGTTTACATTTTGGCATTTTCAAGTTGTGACTTTGAAGTTCCATGGGCCTGAAGACCTTTGCTAGTCACATTTTCTGAATATCCATGATACTAATATTTTATTATTAAAAATTGATGGTCATTATGCTGTTAAACATTATGTAATATTGCATCAAAATCTGAAAAAAATCTATTTTGGGCACTGCTCCCATGATGACCATTTAAGAAAAACCATGTCACTAACTGTTCTCAAACAGTACAGTAAATAAGTACAGATGTGTCTGTACATATTGCCATCACTTACGTCTGTCGTCGCCGTCACTGTCGCTGGCGCTGGCGCCGTGCACTTTCATTGTAAACAAAATAAGTGGAAGGCAGTTTTACTTTTTGGCTGTATATTTACAGAGCTGATGAATATTCATAAAATGCAGGTCAAGTTCGAAAATCAGCATGATCGGGCCATTATTGTAGAAGTTATGCTGTTTTTTCACTTTTCAGCATATATGCAACACTGTAAACACATTTCAAGGAAAACCGATAGGCTTGTTGTCATGAAACTCACAGGTGTAATCGATCTTACTATAACACAGATCAAGTTTGAAAATCGGCATGATCGGGCCACTATTTTAGTAGTTATGCTGTTTTTTCACTTTTCAGCATATTTAAAATTTGATGTTGAATTTGCAGTTTAACATAATGTATTTTTGCATCAGAATTGACAGTAGCCTATTTTGTGCATAGTTATTTCCTGTTTTTTGTCTGTACATTTGACAGCTTTGCTGCCTTGTTCACTTTTATAGTCCAAATACTGAGGCAACATATATACGTAATTTAGGCACTATTGACTTACTTATATACTCTAGCTGTATCATATACTTTATCTCCACAATGTTCATATATCATATATGACTTTTGGTTAAAATTAACAATAAGTAAATTAAACCTTCATTTTTATATTCCTAATTAATTTTTTTTCAGATTGATGAAACTAGTGAATTACACTGCTGAGAAGATTACAATATGTGGAAGAACTCCAGAAGCTAGTCAATGGAATCTGCATGTGTGGTTGAATAGAATAACCCAAAGAAATAGTAGAAAGTAGTAAACAAACATGCCATATCTCATTACATAGTCATGTAGCTACAGTGAGAAGAAACAAGCATAAAATTATAATAACTTACAAGAAATTCAACAAAATTAAATTATACAAACACCTGGGGTAAAAAAATGGCTGGAGTCAGTATACCTCCAGGGACAATGTCATATTTCTGGGGGAGAATCACCCGTGAAGAAGCCACCACAGTTCTAAGGCAGGCAGGCTGCAGAGATGGCATGTACCTTCTGCGAGAGAGTGTAAATAAACATGGGAATTATGCACTGTCTTTGTGTTTCCGTGATGAGTAAGTAGTAGTGAGGTATATTTTTCTTGTAAAGAACCTTCCAAATCACTAATAGAACTGAATACACAATATTGAAAAGCATGTTGCCTCAACTTGATGCTTTAATATGATATTGCTATTTTATAATGTTTGAAATGGCTTGTATTGTGCAGCATGTTGTCATTATTACATGTAAGTTCATGTAACATACCTTGTCAAGTAAGATTTGCTGCAGCTTCAGCTTTTTTATTTTTTTATTTATTTATTTATTTATTTATTTATTTTTTTATTTATTTATTTATTTATTTATTTATTTATTTATTTATTTTGTAATTGAGCAGATTTCAGACAGAGGCTTATAAAGTGATGACATGGAGGTGTTTTGTCTGCCTTACATTAAGTTAAAATTGATCTTGTAAATGTGCTTAGAAACCTCTTTGAAATAGGTGGGAATTGTAGATTTGACATTGAACTTAAAAGAGAAAAATGTTGAAAATGTTGGAATATGGTTTAATACTTTTTGTCAACTTCCTAGTACTAGGTTATAATAGCATTTGATAGTATATGAACTATCACACTTCTTATGACTTCTACTGTACCTGCAAATGAGTTACCGTAATATAAACTAAAACCCCTACTGAACTGTCTCCTGTAAAGTGTTTTCAGTGTAGCCATACTTTCTTATCTCATTTCTTTTCATGTAGGGTTCACCATTACAACATAGAACGTCAGCTTGACGGGAAATATCAGATACCTGATGGCAAGAAGTTCAGTGGACCTGTAGAACTAATACAGCACCATAAAACCTTCCTGGATGGTCTACTTTGCTTACCCTCCATTCCAGTTGAAAGGGGGAACCGGCCTCTGATGGTGTTCCGGGGGGTTACCCAAACAGAATTTGATCAAGTATTACTGAAGAAAGTCAGTGAGATGGGCCTAAAGGTGAAGCTCTGCTTAGATATGTTTCTGAACTGATTGAAAAAAAATCTTGTTTGTGTAATGCAATATGATGCCACGATGTGCTCTTTGATAAGAGACAAAAGTGCTATTGTAATTTTTCTTGAGAATTAATTCCTTTGGTGTCATTTTTGTTCTTTTACAGCATGTAAAATGGTACCTTGGACATCACATGATGTCTTGCAAATGTATGATATATCAGAAATCCACTTTTAAATTAGCATTCATCCAGTACGTGTTTGATACTTTTTAGGGAGATGCATTAGCCAATGCTTTAGGCCCTCAGAGATTTCAGCTGTTTAATGTGGTGGCAAAGGATCTCCATAAAGACCAATGTTGGTTCCACAACAACATTGAGAGGGAGGAAGCTGAAAATCGATTGAGAAATGCAGGGCACAGAAATGGACTTTTCCTGTAAGTATTTTAATGTTTGCATGAGAACAAGCATTATTGTGGTTACAACATGCATGGGTGTGGGCACTTTTTCAATGAAAACCCTGTATTACGTGTCATGCATGACAGTTTTCCCTGTATTGTAAAATGTACATATTTATCATTTTCATCATTCCTTTTTTATGCATGTGGCTTTAATTGTACATATTCGCTGTTTCTTCACTGCTTTTAGTGTCCGTGCCAAGGCAGGAAGTCAAGGCTTTGCCATGACAGTAAGCTTTAATAATGCAGCAAAACACTACAAGTTGGATCTCCATCCATCTGGACAGCTAGCCATCGAGGATGGACCTAAGTTTAATAGTGTTATGGAGGTTAGCATTGCACTGTTGATGTTTTTTATGACACAGACTGATATATATGGAACCTTTTTTTAGTTCAGATGTTCAGATTTTTTTCTGTCTGTCTATTCCCCAAACATTACTCCCACAATTTTTATTGGCCTACAACTGGCTAACATGAACAATATTCTTTCAGTGTTGTTAGTATTTACAATTTTTCCGATTTCTACCAATAGTACTTGACAAATCAGAAGTTAAGTCCTACATTGTTAGTGTATTCCTATTGGTTGTCATATAATGTTTACTCATACTCTAGACATGTTGATTAATCATTTCTCACATTTGTCCATGTTTGTTAACTGAATGATTTGAAAACAAATCTCACAAGGTTTTTTGATTTAACAATGGATACCATTGGATATTTCAGTTAGTTGATCATTATTACAACAGAGCTGATGGGTTATTGTGTCAACTCCGTGAACCATGCACAAGACCTGATTATAGGAAGAAAAATGTGGGAGGTCAGAATTTTTGATTTAGACATAAATGAGATTTAAAGAAAAGGTATAATAACTGAAATAGTAATCTTACTGCAACGAAAAGTTTTTTTTTTTTTTTTTTTTTTTTTTTAAGCCAAAATGTTTAATTAGTTTGATTATAATGCTTTTAGCCACCAATATGGACGACAGTCCTGCATACTGGACAGTGCCAGCCAATGAAAGTGAACAGTTGTATGCATCTGCTGAGCCCAATGGACTCCCTGAAGCATCTGCTGGTCCTTTGCCAAGGAGAAACCCTCATTCACCTTTACCTGCACCCCCTCCTAGTGAGGTTGCACCCCCTCCCAGGGGACATTCATCTTCAAATGCACCATTAAGACTTCCTACACCCAAAAGTGGTCCGAGAAGCCCTGCTTCAGGTGAAATATTTACGCTAGAAAAAAAAACCAACTTTTTTTATTTCACTTGATTGTGGTTTTGTATAATTTCCATTCAAGAATGAAAAAATGTTAATTTGTAGCCAGTGTAAGGTGATTTTGCTATTTACAATTAAAATGAAATTGTAATTTTGCATTTACAGCTGCTCAACGCTCTCCTTCACGTGTCAATCATGCTGCTATGGGGATTGCTGCAGTACATATAGGTGGTACGTGGGATGAACCAGAAATGCCAGAAAGTAAGTAACACACCAAGTGTCAGAAAAAAACAGTTGACTTGATTGTGAATTGTTTTGTTTCTGAATGATTAAAGGCACTAAATCATTCAATTAGTGGGAAAATTATGTGTTCAAATAAGAAGATTACACTTGATATTTTTGTATAAAGAAAACAGTGATGAAAATTCGTCCTGAATGTTACTCAAATTTGGTAGTGAATACATTATGTATGATATCATTGATATGTTATGTGACATGGTTCGCTTGTATGCCTTTCTTCCAGGAAATGCCCCTCCCCCTCCTGAGACCCCCAATGTTGCAGAAGAAAGGCAGAAGATTTACGATTCAGTGCCAATATCAGAAGAAATCTTCAATTTAGACATCACTCATCTCAAATTAGATGAGGATCTAGGTATTGAACCATGAACAAAAAGTCTTAATTTTGTCAGATTATTTAATGATAAGTTCTCGACATTCCTTTTAATGAAAAAGCTTCTTAAATGACAATTAGGGTGCATTCCCAGAGATTTAGATTGATCCAGAGATTTAGATTTAGATCGACCTAACTCCCTGGGGGTTCACGCTAAATTGCAGCCAGCCGAGCACGCACCATAGTTAATTACCCCCTTACAGCTTTTAGTAGGCGGGACAGACGCTTAAGCCGGCTAAGCTGACAGTAATCTAGTGAGACTCCCCACAGGGATAGATCGATCTAAAATCTATGGGAATGGGGCCTTAGGTTATGTTTATGTGTGTACTTTTTACCAACTTTTATTAAGGCTTCTTTTATCTTATGTTTCATTCTTTAAATTGATGACATTTTCCTAAGTACCATTGTATATCTCTGACTTTGTTTTGTTTCCCTTAGGCTCTGGTGCCTTTGGAGCTGTGAAGAAGGGACGTTACACACCACCTATCAGGGGACATGGTTATGGCAATGCTGCAGAAATTCCAGTGGCTGTAAAAACGTTAAAAGCTAATGACATTCCAAATGCTAGGGTAAATACATAAATTTTTATAAGAATGTTGGAAAAACCTATATAAAGTGCAAGTATCTTTAATGAAGTTTTTATTTTAAGTAAGTCTTGTTAAATAGATTTACATCACATATTACCAAAATTGTGAATTTAATATGTCTTCTAGGACAAAATTTAAAAATTAACATGAGTAATTTTTGTCATTTTGAGAGATGCTTGTATCATGAGTGTGAGTACTTAAGCCTACTATATATTGCAGGAAGACATTTTAAAAGAAGCTAGAATAATGGCAGACCTTAAGCACAAAAATATAGTTAGGCTTATAGGTAAGTTATTGAATGAATAATGATGAGACTTGTTACTAAAGATGACTGAGTCTCAATGAAGATTTATACCATAGAATAATTGTTATGTAAGCAAACATGTAGACCCTTCAGCAAATGATGTTCATTTTCTGTCTGCTGGGGTCAGAAGGCAGCAACTGAGCCTCAAACGCCATCAATTTATAAACAGTAAATATGAAGTAATGGGATGTGAAATTTTGCCATTAATTCTGACACAATGATAGAACACCAAAAAGGATCCTAAATAATTTAGCTTTAGCTTAGATATTTTCAGTCGGTACAATTTGTGATAAGAAAGAAATTAAGATTTGATTTCATGGTACTAAATAAAGCTGAGGGAGATGGGTTTTGTGTTTATCCATTGTTCTCCATTGAGAAACCAAGTTGATAAAGAGATTCCCTATTAGATTGACAGTATACACATACTCAATGTGTCTCATCATTTGGATTTTAGGGGTAAGTCAAGGAGAGACAATCATGCTGGTAATGGAGTTGGCACCTTTAGGACAACTCAACAAATTTTTGAAAGGACACAGTATAAGGTGAGAACACATTGTTTTACCACTGATGTGCTTTTGCATACATAATGAAGTCACATATTGAATATATGAAAAAAGAAAAGTCACAAGTTTTTATTGAATCACAGCCCTTTGTTTTGATTAGTTAAGTCCTCTTGAAGCTTAAAGCCTTGATATGTTCTTGAATTGATTCAAGCCCTGTTTTTAGTTTTTAGTTTCCTACATTTGCATTTGGCCCTCATGAGTTGTGTTCAGTATACTTTCTACATTATATTTAAACAATCAAATATAGGAAAACTTTTTTACTAACCAGAATAAGTTGTCTCTATTGATGTGAATAAATAAGAAAAGTGTAGTGTCATGCTTTCTTAAGACATACATCATCTTCCTTTAGCTAAAGGTTCTTATAAAAAGGTATCACGTAAGCATAGAAAGGATAACAAATGCTATAAGATAATGCTGTAACACATGCATTGAGGCAAATCTATATCATTGCAGTGCATGTTTCAGTCTTGAGTAACCACAGTTTTATTGTATAATCCCTTTCAGGTCGTTTCCCATGAACAAAGTGATGACCATCATGCATCAGGTGGCCCTGGGGATGGAGTATTTGGAGAGTGTTCGCTTTGTTCACCGTGACTTAGCAGCTAGAAATGTATTGCTAGCACATGAGGGTTTTGCCAAGATCAGTGATTTTGGAATGTCGAAAGCTGTAGGAGCAAATAATGAGTATTACAAGGTAATTATTGAAAGGAGTCAATTAAAAGAATGTTTGATTATTCATAAATGTTTGAAGTCTTAATCTAAAATAGGATATGATAAGGTTAATATTTCATTTCATACATTTTGATATGGGAAAGTTAAAGTTTTCTTTTTGTATAAACAGAAAGAAAACTTTTTTATGTAGACAGGAAAATACCAAACTGAAATCTTAGGCATCTGTCAGAAATTTATTATTATTATTATTATTATTATTATTATTATTATTTGTTTTGACTTTCAGGCTGCAGCTGCAGGAAAATGGCCTCTCAAATGGTATGCTCCTGAGTGTATCTACTACTTCAAGTTTGATTCCAAATCCGACGTCTGGAGTTATGGAGTCACACTGTGGGAGGCCACCTCATATGGACAGAAACCTTACAGAGTAGGTGGAACTCATCAGTAATGCTTTCCTGATATTTGACTTCCCATGTGATCATTAAGCTTATATTTAGAAGACTAATAAAGAAGCAGCTCAGTATTAAATTATCATACGGAATTTTCTGTCTTTTGTAAATTTTCCTAGGTGCTAAGATTAAAATTGTAACTGTTTGTCTTATAAAAGATTTATCATATTCATGCATATTTTAGGGAAAGAAAGGACAAGATATTTTGCAGATGATAGAGGCTAATCAAAGGTTGGAAAAGCCTCCAGATTGTCCACAAGAGATTTATGACATCATGAGTCTATGCTGGAAATACAAGTAAGTTAACTTTGTGTAGAGTTCATGATATCATGAGTTAATACTAGGAGTATTGTTAGGTTGAAATTGAGTTGAATTTCATGATATCTGATATGAGTTTATGCCGAAAATACAGGTAAGTTTAATTCGTGTAGAATTCTTGGTGTCATGAGTTTATGCTGGAAGAACAGGATTTTTTTAGTGTGTTGGTGTCAAGTATTACCAATCAAATGATGCATTTATCAGTGTCTTATAATTGCAACAAAATAGTTTCGAAATATGTTATGATGTTTTTTTTTTCTAGTTATTAAATTATGAAAACAAAATTTCTTAAAAGCAATGAGGAAGCCATTAAGAAGGAATTGTTGTAGACAGGGATAAGTATCAGTATGTAACTGTATGTTGCAACCAAAACAAAGTCATCAAGTACTGTTGCACTTCAGGTCAGCTTTAGGATTATGTGCACTTGCTTCTAGGACAACTGGGTTCCGCAAATTTTAATTGCTAAATGATATACAGATGTTGTCATTCATAGAAGACCTTTCTGGCAGACAAACAAAAATGCGTTGCATAGCTCAGCTGAATGATTCACAGTGCATCAAGCCAAATTATGTTTAGAAATAGTTTTTGTATTGTCTTTTAGGCCATTTCACAGAATTTTTCTTCTCCATAATCTCTTTCCCTCTCCATGATATTTGATCTTCTATAGATTAAATAAAAATAATTTTAATGATCTACTTTTACCACAATCCAATTGGTATTACACAGCAGTTTGTTAAATGAAGCAAGAAGGTGGATTTCTTCATGTTTAGCTGAAGGTCATTTCAGAACTCTAGTTTTGTCATGTGCTGTGATAATCTGCCAAGTCAATGACATTAATCTTTTTATAATTGGGTGATGGATCAGAATATTATTGCCCGGTTGCCCCTTCCCCTGACCACACAAATATACCAAACACTAATTAAATAGCAGCATAAACACCCAAACAGCGGTCCAACAGATTAACTAGATCTTAACTCTAATAGGGCTACAATAAAAAGTGAGCCATGTTTTAGCTGTAAGACCCGAGTTGACCAAGTTATGACCCTTTCTTTGTTGATTAATTTATTTTTTACCTGACCCACAGATGTGACAAGCATGCCATTAGACCATTACATTCTGATTACCAGTGTAATGTTCAACTACTAGGCACCTACATGATATTAAGAAAGTTATGGACAAGTGAAAAATTTTTGGTCAAGCTTTCAGGAAAATAAAAAAGATAGCAACAATTATTTACAGAAGGAAGCAAGAAGATGGCTGATATTTAAGTGGTGTAACTGTAAAGATTTTAGATTTTTTAGCTACTAAGTTAACTCTGCCTAAGTCCAATAGATGGCACTGTGGTGTGCAAGTGCATATAGCTGTTGTTGGCTACTACATATTATATAATGTATTATTTGTACTGTTTGTAAATATAGAGTGGACAGTAAAATATGAGGACATGTGTATGTTGTAGCATCTTCCAATAAAAAATATGTAATGTGCTTGGTTATGGTTGGTATTCTAGTGGTCATATGTCAGACCAAAATTGCTTAGGGTGTAAATGTTGTGCGACTATGCACTGAATAGTGCACACAACCTAAATGTTGATGGGTAAATATAAATATTAACATACAGCCAAAGTAAATAACCTGCCAGTGACTGCATATAATTGAGACAATGGGAAAGTGTCTTCATTACTTGAAACATTTGCACACATTAATAACTAAGCAATTGTCTTTTTTTCTAATTTTTCAGGAAAAAAGACCGTCCAACTTTTAAAGATCTTGTGCAGAAGGTGAAACCATTCCGTCATTAAGAGCAAGAGTTTGCCTGGTGCAGTGAAATATCTTATAAACATTGATGTACTGCTAACAGAAGAAAAAAAGGTGTCATTTATGTGCATAATTCAAGGGAAATCTCTTTTGAGATTGCCTGTGAGATGTGTGTAATGGAAAAGGAGAAAAAGTTTACTTGAAACTAGTGTGATGGAAACTAAAAAGGGTACGCTTGTAGTCTTTAAAAGACATTCCAAACTACTGTTTATTTATTTTGGAGCTAATATTTTAGGATTCATCAGAAATACAGTGGCTGCTTTATTGCATATTTATACATTTTTAATGTAATCATACATAGTTTCATGTTTTTTTTTTTTTAATTTTTGGTTGTTTGCAAAATAATACATAAAAATATTTCCTGTGAGGATTGAAATTAGTAAATATGGGAAATGTGTTGATAACTAATCAGTTATGCAACTTTTCAAGCAAATTCTAGAGTTAAGAAGCAATAGTGATCATGGAAATACAATAATAGCTGTCTTAATAATGTATAGCATGCTGTGTATAGAATAGAGCATTGCTTAGAGGAAAAAATAGAAAATTTTAGTAATTGCAGTATAATTTACAATTAAATGCTACACATGTTATTTGTAATTTGTTGAATTGTAATAGGTGACACAATAATTTGTAATTAAGTATCAGTCTCTTCCATTTTATAGTTGTTGATCAACTAAAGCACAAATTGATATTAACCCTTTCAATATTTTCCAAGAGGCATTTCCTGCAATTTTATTTGAACAACTTCAATTGCCAGCATTTGTATATGCAATATTGTATTTAATAAAGAAATACTAGTGGCTATTTTTATTTCTATATGTCTGGAGGTGTAAGTTTTCATTTGTAATACCAGTAAAACAAAACAAAATAGAAGTCGGGGAAATACTGGAGGGAAAACTATTTCAATATTAAGCTGTTGACTGAAGAAAACCTTCATTCAGAAAAAAAACTAATCTTATAAACATTAAATAATACAGACTTATTTTGCTGTGGAATACATTTGAACATTGTTGGCAAACTCTGCATTGAGGAATTCAAGGTTAAGAAGTGTTATGTGTGTTGACTATCGGTTCAAATCTCATAACTGTTTGGTGCATCATAATTCAAAGCTAAAGTCCAGTTTGGGAGATTTGGTGGTCTTGTGATTTTACAACATTCTACCGCCAGTTTTTATTTTTATTTTTTTAGATCTTCAGTGCCTGTTTTATAATACCCGAATTTCAGTATCATTGCTGGTCAATGGAAGTAAATGGCATTTGTATTTAATCATTTAATCATAATATTAACTACATTTTAAGTGGAGATAATATTTAGAGAAACCTATCAAAAGTTGCATTTAATCCATTTTCTAGGAATATGACTTAACTACACACAAAAACCAAAATTATGTTGGCTGAAAATCACAACAGTTTTAAAACTTAATTTTTTTTAGGAAAACAGTGGAGCAAATTAAGTGACTTGTTGTAGAAAACAAAATTGCCAGGGAAGCATTTTTTAATAAAAAATTGTAACTTTTGACTTTAAAATTATAATTTTCTAAAATCTGTATATATTTTTGCCCATTTTTAAATGACATTACTGATACTTCTGCTTTGCAAACTAAACAGTCAATTTATTCCTCACGAGATGTATACAATTTTTCCTTGAAGTTGTGCAGAGCACAAGCAATATACACAAACATATTCATATGGCTTCAACAGTCTGCACATCTTTTCTTCAGATTTGCAGTCAATAAATTAAATAGATGTATGTATGTATGTTTACAAACTTATATACACTTGCTTCATGTTACATAAAAACTAAAGAAAGAGAGGTATATTGCCACCTGCAAATTTATTTTATGAAGCCCTCTGTAACCAGTGACATGGATAGAGCCAAACAGACCAAGGAATATTCCATGTTATCAAAAAAAAAAGAAAAAGAAAGAAAAAGAAAGAAAAAGAAAAAAAATTGACAATTGAATCAAATTGAATTTTCCACACCCAAAATACATCCTGTGTTTATTTAGCCTAAACATACATAATATCTAATCACAGAATCAAGAGGATGAATTCCTGGATCATTTAAGTAAATTTTTGGGTGTCTCTCCCTATAGAATAACCAAAAACTGGGCAATTTAGCCTTCTCATTCCATCCATGCCACTTGAAATGAAGCTCATGCCAAAATCTACGAGCATCAGCAGTTTTGTCACACAGATAAACCAGCGGAGAGAAATTTGGCACAAAGGAATCCTGGGGCACTTCACAGGGCACTGACCCCCATCACCTTTACACTGGCCAGCAGCAACATGGGGGTGCAATTACGCGGAGTGCCCTCAGTCCAGCAGACTATCAAACTGCAGTATAATAACAACTGCCCTGCACAATACAACTTGCTACACCCAACAATATCTACTACAAGAATGTTCTACCAGGTAGAATCAACAGTCTAGACACTTTACAACACTCTCTGCTCAATTTACAGACATGGTCATTATAATATTCACTTTCTGTACTGTTTCAGTGACTTCAAGCTGTAAGGAGGTCCAAATATCCAGTCTAAAACACTATTTCATATTTTATATATTCACTGTTGTGCTAGTGTGTTTGTTGAATTTTGGAAAAAAAATAGGTATGCCAGAGTCAAACAAATCAGATTAGCTTTGGTTGATTTTTAGTGCTCAGCATTTTTCTGATGCACTGTAACGGTAAACTAGTTAAAATAATCAACATTTCTTATGGTCATCTACTTGGAGTCACCATGCTGTATAATATTTTCTAAAGCCTTAACTTCAAACAAATCATAAGCTTATTTTAGAGCTCTGATAGTGACTTGTTTTCCTACACCATAAGCAATACATCTTAGCTACAAGTGGCAAAATACCTCTCCTTCTTTTCCTCACTGAATAATGATAATAACTAAAACTGTACAGCCAAGCACCCATGGTGCATAATTACCCAGACATCTGGTAGGAAAAGGACGAGTGCTCTAGAGGGTACTCTTCCTGACCAAAAAATAGCACCACAGGAAAAAAAAAACACTATCTAAAACTGCCCTCCAGTGGTGCGGCTGATCAAAAACATTCAAGCAGATACTACTCTCAAGTATTTCAGTATCTTTTCAGCATCATTACCTTTACTCAGGAAAGAATAAAAAACACCCCCTTCCCTCCCAGATCTTTATAAGGAGCAAATCCTTTGTAATATTTGTCCTAACATGCCTTTTTTTATCTTGGACATTAAATTCTCATTTTTCTTTTAAGACACCATTTTCATGTGCTCTCTTTTTTTTAAGTAATTTTTTCTTGACAATAAGTCTTCACCCGCACACAAAGGTGAGTGCAGTCAGAACATGGATTCAATAAAAGCATTTGTTTAGCTATCAGATCCAAGAGATTAAATGCTCCTTTTCAATCCATTGAGTTGACAACAAAGGAAGCATGTTCTTCAAAATATCTTAATACCAAAAATCACAGCCCAACAAACAACATGCTTCCTTGTTGCCTACAGGTCCTACCCTCTAGAGCACCTTACACTCTTTCTCCAACTGAACCCTTTAATTCCAAGGGATACATTAAAACTGACATAAAAAGTGCTTCAATGTTAATTTAAAGTAACAATTCAATGTTGAAGTATATCTGTTAAAATCTGTTAAAGCGAGAAGTGGATCTGAAACTGAACTACAAATTGATCCCAGCTAAATGAGGGAGAAAAAGGCATCCTTTTCACCAAATCACTTTTTTAAACAAAATATGCAAGGCTTGGTTACAAATAATACATATTCACAAAGTTTGTCCATATAATATTATATATATATATATATATTAACAAAATGCCCAGTGATAAATGATCTGTTATCCATGTACATAACACTCATGTAAAGGAAGACAACAAATATAAGTGTCGAAATAACATATGTGAAATAATGATGTATGATAAATATAACAATCTACATGAATATTAAAATCATCTAACAAAGTATTAATTTTCAAAAATACAACTGAAATATATCCCAACTTTGGCCTAGTCTCCAAACAGTCCTTAACTCAGCAGTCTTGTGCATTATTCTGGATGAACAAAATTTTAATATTTTCTCAAAAATGTATTTATCTCTAAGTTTCAAACCAAAAACTTACTATACAACTAAAGATTTGTTTCTTTCAAAGAAGGATGCAAAAGTAGAAATCAAAAAACCTCATCATCTCATTGCAAATATCAACATACAAGTAATTCAAACCATACAGCAAACCTATAGGATACAATGTTGCATAGCTAATTGTATGAAATGTACAGTGCATAAAAATAACTTAACAAATATGATAATATCTGTGATAATGTCAACTCTACTCTACTCTTTGGATTCTGCAGCTCTTTCTCCCTGCAATTTATTTCAGACATTTACTGACACACGCGAAATATCTAAACTTTACATAGGTGAATGAACAAAAAATGGGATACATGGTTACTACTAGGTGTCAGCCCATGGTCTTAAGCTGTTGTCAACATCTACAAGATGTCTGTACATCAGTTCTAGGTTGGAACCATGATACACTGGATATAAAATGTGGCATCTTTCTTTTATGCCTGCCTTTCGGATAAAAATTGTCCATTATTTTGACAGCTTCACTTGACTGTAATTAAGGCCTTGAGTCTTTTGTTATATGCGTTATTACTACGGTTGCTAGAGGAGCAATATCGTCATATTGAATTCACTTATAAAAAAATGATTGGCTAAATGACAATTTTGGAGCTCAATTATTTCTACCAAAATGACTAAATTCCAACAAAAAAGTGTCACATCAAAACAAAAATGAACAGCATTTGGTCATTTTTCTAATACTATAACATTTTCATGAATGTGCTTGCTCTTAAAATATTTTTAATAAAAATAAATACTCAGTGTTAATATGGAGATTCCATCAAACTGATAGATAAATTCATCATCAGGTTGAATGTCTTAGTAATAAGTTACTTACAATTGTTTTCTTTTTGTTTTTTTCGATAATATTTTTCTATCCTTAATGTATGGTCAAAATTGTGGAATATTCTGTGATAAACATTAAAGATGAACTACAGGTGTACAACTACCATAACAGATCAAGTGGGAAAAAAACAAAAGCTCATAATGGATAAGGGAAAGCCTTTGAAATATGCGACAGTTTCCTATCCAGTTTATCATGGATCCTAGGTTCTTGGCAAAGATAGCATGTCCAGCCTACAGTGTATTGTCTTCTTTATGGACACATGTTAGATCAATTTTATTGTTTAACAGAAATTATAAAAGCAAGCTATAACACAGCATGAAGAAAATACCATCCTTTGTAGCAATGTTGCAGTACAAAAATAAAAATGATGAAAAAAAACAAAGCTTTCATATAAGCAATGGATTGTACCTTTTCTTTGTATAACTGTATTAGAATTTTATATACATACTAATATAATGTGTCATGGCAATGTGGAAGGATCAAAAGTTGACTTTGGCAACAGTAGTTCGGCAAAAGGATGATTTTTTAAGTGCACAAAGAAAATATGTGACATAATAAGATATTAATAACATGTTGATACACAGTAATACAGTTAGCACAATGGACATTATATATCATATAAACTTTATAAATGCTGATAAATAGAAGTTACATAATAAACTACATGCCATTGTAAGAACTAGTAGCATTCTTTTTACCTTTCAGCTCAGATATACAACCATCAAATATTGAAAACATGACAGAATTGCACCAAGGAATGAGAATCAAAATAATAATCAAATCTTACCTAGATGGCAATAATTACAGTGTATATGATATACATGAGCATACAAATTCTAAGTAGTGCTATTCCCTTTGTGGTACAAAGAGCAGAGGAGAACTATGTTATTGCTATCATGCATGGCCTATAATATGGTTTAACCCATCACCATTGGACCATGTTCTCTGCTATCTCTTTGACCAAAATTCCAAATTTCCTCTTGCTGAATGTGTCATCTTTTGTGTTGTAATGACTGTCATTTTTTTCTTTGAAGAACAGCAAAGAGATGAAACCTTCGATCACCCACAAATTTCATATCACATATAGGCCTGAATCAACAGTATCACATGATAAAGGTGATAATTCATCCTCTTATCTCCATCTCTCTCTCATTTTAGCTTGTACGTTAATTATGCTTAATAATTGTTTTTTCTTTTTGCTTTTTTTTTTACTTCAATGCAAGTTTTGATTCCTTTCGTAAGTCTGAAACTGAGCATTTAAAACTTTCCCATTCCTCTGGCAAGACCTTAGCCCCTGCTTTTCCCCCTTCTCTGATTTCACAGGTCAATTTCCTACCAGCTCATCTATCATTAAGATTCCTGTTTGTTTGGTGAAGAGGGAGTGTGGTTATTATTCTGTTGTTCTACTGGGTCATTGTTGTGAACACCATAAAATCTCTCTGGAAGACAATGTATGCAGAAATATTAAATCTCATGCAGAAAAAGTATAAGACACTACAGCTAATATCCTGAAGACATTCCCTCCAAACAGTAATTGGGTTACTGCAATAATATCCATATGATAAAAAACCAAAAGAATACATTTCAATTTTTGATACCTTCTCCCTTATCCTATTTTGTAGCATAACCCCAAAGTCTTACCTAGTAAAGATTCATCTGGATTGACCCCAGGCATGAGTCCTGCCATCATGTTGTAGTCAATGCTCTCATCTAACCCAATGAAGGGTGTGGTCCAGCGTGGAATGGGCGTGGACCTGGGCGTGGTCCTTGGGGTGACCACAGGGGAGGCTATAAGACTCAGTGTGGTAGGGCTGATCACACCACTGATGGCGTTCACAGGACTGACACTGGGGTAATTGAAAACCTGAAATGTGTCAAATAATGTATGAAATACTTGTAACAAGCAGAGACATAAACTTGAATTTCTTAATTATCACTATATAAACAGTTTTGAATGGTGTATTGCATTTTAGCTTGTGGTCATTTCAATTACAAATTTTGATACAAATTTGGATCTGCTCCAAAGTTTACAAGCAATCATATAAGTGAACAATAACTGGACAATGCCACCTAAAAAAAGTAAAAATATTAACTTGGAATAAAAGTTTAAGGATTTTGAAATGTTAAGAAACATCAAAAATACAACTAATAAAACAAAAAAAATAAATAAATAAATAAATAAACCTCAATGATTCAACATAAAAAAATTATTTCTATTAAGTAACTGTTTGTGAAAAATACAACAGAGTTAAGTGAAACAGCCAAGTTTCACATTTGTCACAAGAGCATCATCAGTTAACTTAATTTCTTAATTAAGTGATTACCATCGCTAAAACTTTATTAAATACAAAATCTCAGAATCATGAACAATCTAATAGAAACTGAGTTATGGTAACGTAATTAAACATGAATCACACTCACAGAGCCCCACATTGGTGGCAGTGGTTTAAAGAGAAAGTCCTAAAATATAGACATTCTAATATGAGGTTCTTCAGACCAGGAAACTTCCTGATAGGAAAAATGCTTCATAGACATGATGACAACTCCTATATCCTGGTTTAATAATAGGAATAGGATGTGGAATACATTTATAGAAAAACATAAGGGCATGTAAAGAGCCTCCAAAATTCCAAAGTACCCAAAAGATACCTAATTTTTTCATTTTTTCTGCTGTTTTTCTTTCTAAACGCTAAAAGCCATAAACACTCATGATTCTCCCTCTCTTAGAACATTTAATAACATAACCCCTCTTTGGAAAAATATAATGAAATACTTTAAAATTAAACAGACAATAGAAGAAGTTAGTCAGAAGCACAAGTGGACAGAAACATATACAAGTACAGCACCAAAGACACTATTACACCTTCAATTAAACAGCACCCTCCCATGCAATAATGAGGGATGTCTGGCTATAAATTCTAGGAAATTCCATAAGCTATATGGAGATGGATAATCAGATTTTCCCAGTAACAAGCTGGACATCGTTTAATATTGATCCAGTCTGGACTTCCCACCAGAACATCAATACCCAGCCTTCACTCAACCCACAAGCTCCTGCTCCTTTCCTACGGGGAGTTGGGGGAACACGGTGAGCCTGGGAAATGGCATACTGAACAAAGTTCCCTCCTCTCCTCTCCTCAGGACAATGCAATTTGTTAAGTTGCACAGTTGAGATCTCCAGAGAAACTTCCTGCCCTGTTCAACAAGAGTACCACTGTCTGAGAAATGGCACTGAAGGCATGACAAGTAACAGTACATGATGTCAATATTCTGTTTTTCTCACCCAAAACAATTCTGAAATGTGTTTTTTACAAGTTCAATTTTACACATGGTTAGATCCACTCAACAACTTGGGAGCACTTTTTCTCACTTGAATGTGCTCAAAATGTTAAGTGTCAACAGTAGATCTCACAAGATATAGTATTAAGAAAAACTAAAACTGATTTCTTCAAATTTTTTTAGTCTGCCAGTAACTACTGCTCAGACACCTTTTTTAATAATAACTTCCTGAGTTAGCAAACGCAACTCTGTATACAGCTTATTTTCACCCCGCTTACTTCAAAATATATTTCCTCTAATTCTATTCCCACTAAAGACATTATAAAATGTTTCCATGCCAATTTGGCTGGACTAATTCAGATAACATTTAGTTTCCATTTTTATCTGATCAAGAACCAGCGGAGGGTTCAACGCGCATTTTGTCCAAATTAGTCTCATCTCCAAAGACCAAATCTGCCATAGACCAACTGCATTAGCCCTCTAGCCATCAGCTGACAAAATCAACCCTTTCATATTTATTTGATTGTTGCGGCAACCTGATCAGATTAAACAATTTCACAATACCATCATTTGCACCAACAGACAACTACTTAAAGATTTTTTTACCCTCAAAGCAATTAGTTTGAGAGATTAGCTCTTGCCTAATAAAATCCTGTGCCCAACCTTTTAACCTTTCATGTATAGAGGGATGCCTAAATAAACCCACCAATCAATATACTGTTTGAAGGTAATTTTGATAAAACCGATACAAATTGCTCTCCAGACGGCTGCCTCTGGTCTGCAGGGAGCTGCCCTAAAAATCTATGGGTCAAGCAGGTGGCAGAAAGCTGGCAATTGGTCTTAAATACCATGCTATATTTGAATAACTGTCAGATTAATCTTTTCGGTTCAAGATACCAAAAAAGATGCACTTATCATCAGCAAATAAAAGAAGATATAAGTGATAGCATCAAGCACTGATCTTGAAAGCATATCTGCAATTAAATTATTGATCAAACAATCTTTTTGCTTGGTTTTCTCACTAAAGTGATTTTTGTAAGTTCAGCAAAAAAAAAAAAAATGAATTAATAAACACAAACAATACATCCAGTAAAAGAAAGTCATCAAATGCCATCACATAGAGATAATTACTGAAAAGAGGTATTTTGTGCAGTTTTTTTTTTTTTTTCACATTCTCAACAGATTTTGATGATATTTGGTACATGAATTGATTTCTTCAGTACATATATAAAAAATAATTAAGTTCCACATAACTTCTATGAGCAAAGACTTTAATTTCTATTTATCGAACAGCTGCAGAAAATGGGTGTTTACGGCAAAAAAATTCAAACATGTAAGATTTTATAACTTGAAAAAGAGTGACATAATTAGTGCAAATAAGATGATAATTTGCAGCCATCTGTCTACCAATAACCAAGCATGCACATGTGGTTTTGTGGCCAACCTAAAAACCATGACAGAAAACTTATTTAGCAGTAGTGTGCATATTTGTGGATATAAATAGTGTGAAAATTGTACGCATGATAAAACCACTGTAAAAGACATGATGGTCAGTTATTATTCATAACATCCATCTGCCAAGCCATGTGCCTGAGGTTTTCGAAGATGGATTCCACAATGTGCCTTGTATATGGAGACATTATGATGCAATAAAAATAACATTCTCTCTCTCTCTCTCTCTCTCTCTCTCTCTATATATATATATATATGCATAAATAGAAAATAGAAAAGATGAGATTTGTAAAGATCTGATATTATTAGCATTTTATAATTCTATAGCAACATTTACAGTTCACAAGGCTGCAGTATGGTTTCAGTCCAGGAAGACACAATAGGAGGTAGGAAGTGGCTGTTTTTGGAGGAATCTTCCTTTCACAAAAGTACAACGCAGTGTTAGATTTATAGATCCCTTTCCTTGTTCCACAATATCATGTGTTATTCTTATCTATAAATATTTGATGGGTGAAAAAAAAACATTCATCACTTGTGCTAATAGCTATTCAGTACTTTTTTTTATTCAGTGTTTTATTTTTTATGAAAACATTATTAAAGACTTTTATCAAAAGTATTTATGTGACCGATGTGCAACATGCTAATTATTAAATCTGTTCACTTCTAACTTCACTCTCTCTAGACAGATTTAGCACTTGTAACAATCCATCTTAATATATCATATGGCGCCCTTGGTGAAAATGTCATCATTAGTATGTTCTCATTGTTCTCTTTCCTTCCCTTATCTCAAGGCCTCAGGTACTTCCTTTTTAATAACATAACCTGCTTCTTTTAAATATCCCCTTAAACTGTGAACTAAGAGGTAAATAGACCTTGAATGTTACTAGTTAGAAATATATGGAAAGGCACAATGTCAGAAAGAACTGTTATTTACCATTTTAAAATTCCTTGTGAGCTTGCAATTGAAATTGAAATTGAAAATTTTAAAGCAACAGTTTCAACAGCGGACTTAGCCACAATTTTTCATAGTTTTGAATTATATATTTATATTCATATATCTAGTTGAGCAGTACTGTTAAATATTTAAACTTAAGTGCCTCCAAAATGAACCTAGATGCATTGAAACAAATGTGATATTTCAAACTACAGCATATAAGCCCAATCATCAATGTATAATTTGATATCACTTGCATGTTTGACAGCGCAAAATGCTATTTGTGAGATTAATCATTTTCACAACAATGAGTTACATATCCATTTCCAAGTATTAATAATTACCCTTGTTCTTTTTCCAAGAAAAAGAAATCAATTACAATACCATTTCAATAAGACAAATATTATATAAGTTGTATGACATCCTGTACCGAAGCAAGATCACTTCAGATTGGTACCTTGTTAGCACATACAATATGATGCAGTATCACAGCCATACTAATACTGCCACAGGGTCCACAAGTTTGCGAACTTCAAGCTAACACACATTACTGTCAGGAATACAAAGTCTGGACATGTGTCGCACACACAATCCTAATTAGCTGTAAGTTACCATCATACATGCCATACCTTTCCGACAACACATCTACACTGAACAGGTGGAACAATGAACAGATGTCAAGTTGCATTGTTTGGCATAGCACACGCACATACAGCACGTGTCGCGGTGACCATCCATGAAGGGTCAAAGGTATAGAGATATTTCAACAACTTAGTACAGAGATATCTATAGGGTGACAACTGGCAGCTGTGGCAATATGGTTAGGGTGGGCTCACCTCCAGTGACACTAAAAATTGTTGCTGTGCATAAACAACATGGTGAACTATTTGTATTAGATTGCCTTCAGTTAAAAACACAGCTACACATCTCTACTACTCACTGATGGCAGAAGTCTGTGTCTTTTGAAAACAGGAAGAGAAATTCCCCAAAGCCTATTTCTATACTCTTAATGAAAGTCAAATGATGAAAAATACTGAACAGCATTTTGAACTGAACCTGTCAAAACTAAAAATAACATTCAGTGGCGGGATACAGAAAAAAAATATATTGCCATTGCCTTATACTGTTGTCAAGCTTGCTTATGAAAAGATGGAATGAGCTCCTCCTAAAAGATCAACCATCACGCATATGGACATTGCATAACCTGCAGACTGTATCAGCCTGCTAATCCTGGATTGAGAATTATTATAAATCATTTCTCAGACCCCTCTTATTAAACTCCAGCTCTACTTACTTGTGAAGGATGAGGCTGAATATGTGCAAAAGCATGCTCTGGTCGGAAGCTGAATGGGCTGTTCATGATACTGCGACTGATTGGTGGGGTGTTGGGGGTGCTGGAGGTGCCGCTAAATGATGTGGTTATTGTACTTAATGAGGTCGATGTGGAAGTACTGCTGGTTCCTCCTGAAAGATGACATGTATTGGATCTTAAGAGATATTCATTATCAACTTCAACTTGAGAGTGAGGTGTTTTAAAACTTAACCCACAGCTTTTATGTTGTATTTACAATAAATGTACTGCCAGTACAATAATTATCAAAACAATGAAATCAAAACATCATGCATATTACAGTTTTTGTTATGTACTGTAAATATCTTAAGAGATGTAGATAAGTTTTCCTTTTCTACATAAGAGGGGGGAATCTTTTTCTTAATTTCATTCAAGTAACATATGCAACTGTAGGCCTATGAATATTATTAAGCACAAATATATCAGTCTCCAGCACCCACCTCCAGGCTGCACTGAACTCTGACCATCTGCTGTCCTTATAGCCACAGGCCTGGCCACTGGAGGGGGAGGGGGAGGGGGCAACATCCCCGGGGTGTAGAAGTGGGGGAGTTTGTTGGGACTCTTCAAGGGGGCTTGGGGTGGTGAACTGTTGGCCTAGAAAAAAATCAATATTTCATCATTATGAGATTTGATCATTTTCAAAATTAATGATACAGATACAACATTTTGTATGTTAAATTTTTTTCTGACCCCAGAATTCAAAACTATGGCCGGAAAATTGTAGGTTTTTTTTTTTTTTTTTTTTTTTTTTTTTTGAACTGCCAAAGTGTCTATTTCAATGAAGGTTGTATCATGAGATTGAAATCGAATTTTAAGACAACTCGTGTTAAATACTTCTACTCGTAGCTGTATATATGGCTCCAGAAAACGGTTTAAACCAATTTCCCAATCACAGCAAAAAGTAATGCAATTCAGCTGACCTGATTTTGTGCAGTATGGGTCTCCTGACACACCAAGTTGACAAAATCAGTTAAAGTATCACTGTTTTGTTGACTGAACTTTAAGTTTCCACTGTGAGGCATTGGCATAGGCCTCATACCACCTGAAACAATAAAAGGATCTAATAAGGCATGCAGAAAGGTATCCCTGCACCCAAGGCACAGCTTCTATTCTATTTTTTTACATTTAAATTTTATTTGAGGCTACAGGAAATAAAATTTTGCATATCTCATATAAAACCACTGCTTGTGTCCTCTTATTAAAATGCACTGAGAAATGAATAGGTATTTTCCTCTATGTAAACCATTTTCATTCAAATTTTTATTACAACTTCAAGTTTGTTAAAATGAGAATCTCACTTCAGTGAAAAAAAATTTATTTTTTTTTGCAAACCTTCAAAGTTCCCCAATATTGTTTACATAATATCTCATTAACCTGGTCAAATTAAGAAACATAACAACACGCATTCACATAAATTGTTTCTTTCCCGAGTCACATGGCCGCCATTAAACCAACTGAGGCTCAAAACCAGCCTCATCATTGAAAAAAAAAAACCCAACACATTAACCGACACAAGTCACGTCGCAACGAAATTTAAAGGAAAAAATTCTACTGTTTGGTGCTGAATTTTCAAGTAATCCCAGTACATGCCTTGTCCACGGGCGGGATGAGTTTGCTGCTGTGCCTGCACACCTGGTGTGTGGTTGCTCATGGGTCTCGGTGGGGTTGGCACGTGAGGTGGCTGAGTAGCCGAGGAAACAGCAGTGAAACTACTCCCACCGCCTCCATCTGCTTTCATATTTCCAGAGTGGATCACATGGGGGGAGTGCATAGCAGGACTGTGCGTCATGGTGCCTGAAGTGAAAAGAAAGGGGAAAAAATAATCAATACAAATAATTTGAAATGTTTTTGAGATAAAAAAAGAATCCTTCAAACACATCTATTTTAGACTGAAAAAAACTTGTAACCAAAGCCTCAAAAATATGGGATCCATATGTTTAAATTTTGTCCTGGAGCACAAAAAAAATACATGTCACCCCTCCATTAATTTTACTTTTCTTTCCCTGGACTCCACATATCTAGGTCTTATTGATACATCTTTCCTAGACAGACAGGAGCAATATTTGCCATTGCTAATAAAAACTAAAATAGCCCATAATGAGAAGATGAACATTAAGATATGTGCCTTCATTCCAGTGAATAGAACTGCCTTATCAAAAGCACCACATTTGAGGGAAAACTTGTGATGGATAAACTTGTGTAATTAGCAAGGCAATGATAAAAGAGATTCTAAAAGCTAACCTGTATGCACTGCCTGAGTTTCAAAACTCAGAAGCAGAACAAGGCAACAGGGTTTGACATCAACCCATCAATTTAGGGTCCCTCATCAACTATGAAAAGGCTCTGAACATGGACAAATAATGCAACAGGAGACCACAAAAAAGTTGAATCTAATCACACTAGGAAATGGAAAGCACTTCATTAATCAGTCTAAAGACACACCATTGGCCCCTATCCACCAGATCAATGGTCAGTCCAAAGTTTTCTTATGGAAGAGCAAATTAAACAGATAGCCAGCATAAGATGTAGACGAGTACAGGATAATATTAAAGTACATCACTTGTAATGAGAGAGAGAGAGAGAGAGAGAGAAAGAGAGAGAGAGAGGAAAAGAAATGTGATGTAACATACTGGCCATCTATTGATGACATGACATCCCAGGTTGATGAAAAATAGTTTTAAGAGAAGCAGTAAAAAAGCGATCTATTATAACCAAACATTTCCCTGTTCAAGGTTGTTGTGTACATTTTGCAACATTTCTAGTATGCTGACAACAATATTTAACACCAAATGCCAAAGTTGACATTTCATAAAGATTGCAAAGCCTGCATTCCAATGTTTAGTTGTAGTACCAGCTATAAACCACTTCCTATTCCCTACCAGACATGATTATTAAAACACCTTACAACTTCTTGCAAGAAAACACAATATTGCACACCAGTTTTTAAGGCAAAAACATTACTTACCCGGGTCAATACTATGATCGCTATGCCAGCTCCCAGTCTGGCTAGCAGGGGATTTCCCGTAGATGTTCATGTTCTCGTTCTCATCCCCCATACTTTCTACTTCATCATCGACTGACGACATGGAGTTTGCAAATCTTTGCCGTTTTGTCCGTGACGGACTTAATGCTGGCTGTCCATTGGGCAGTCTTCTCATCCCCGCCACTGCTGGGGACATCAGCTGAGAACTCATGCTGAAGTTCTGGTAATAGCTGGGTGTCTCCATCTGTCCAGGGAGACTGAGAGGCGGAGGCTTGCCACTGGAGTTGGGATCCACAATTGATGCTAAAAAATGTTCAATAAGCAACTTAAAGCTAAGCAACTTAAAAAATTCCTTTAAAACTTTTAAAATTCAATAACTTTTAAGTTTTTGTGCAATTTAAAGTTTGGTTTATCATTTATTCACAAAAGGAATTTTCAAAAATTCAAAAAAGATTTTTTTTGTCTTGTATTGCTCAGTGTAACCATTGTAGTCAGCATGTAGTTCTGTCTAACACTATTTTTATTGTTGTTGTTTTCATCTACACGCTATCTGAGCTTCATATACGTACAGCAAGGCATGCCTAAATTGCAAACATTCATTGGCCTCTTTGAAACCCTGACCCTATCTCAGCCACAGATAGCTAGTGTTTTGCTTCAGGTATCCAAACTATTTTCCACCTGCCAATTTGTGCCTGACCCGACTACCACCACTTAACAAGGCTTCATATGCAGCTCAAATAATCTAACAACTGGTCAAGGCTTTAATTGTATTTATGCACAGTTACTGAAGTCAAACAATTATTATTACAAGACCACCTTATTCTGTAAAAAAATATCTGTACAAGGTTATTCATACAAGTAAAAACTTGTCAGATACTGTTATCCAAGTATGAGAGCACTTCATGTGCAAAGATATGCAGTCCAAATATTTCCAAAATTCAAAATGTGCTTTCATAAAAGCAACAAGGTGTATATTTCATTAATTTTACCTGTCAGGCAATAAATCAGCGGGTTCTTTGTATTCAATGAGGGAATTACCAATAATAAGTACTGGGATCATACATTTTTAATTCTCTATTTGTCTTTTGTTGCTTTCAATTTGTCTGGTCACATTAAACCATAATTAAGTAATCATTCCTGACCTGCAGTTTCGTGTTACTACTGCTTAAATCAACTGCTAAGTCTGTCTGAAAACACGCCAAATGTGTGGTATTGCGAAGATTATGTAGGGCTTGACCCCACATTGATCTAAAATGTAATCCACATAAGGTTTCAAAACCGAATAAATTGGATTAAAACAATAAGGCACCTTTCCATCAAAACTAACTAGGCAACTTTTTCCAGAAATAAGTAAAAAAAAATCATATGAAAATTAGGAACAGTTACAATTAACTATAAAGTATTATAGGGGTCTTTTATTCAAGAAAATACTTCCTGGTTTATAAGTCAGCATTTACTTTTCCATAGCCAGTCTTTTCAATGGTTGGTAATGCACTTGTAACAAATATCATTTTACTAGCAGAACAATTTTTGTCTTTTAGCTGAGGCTTTATGAAGCGAGCTAGCTTTTTCTCCTCTTGCTCTATTTATCTGTCTGCTTTCTTATCACTTCCCAATTATTTCCACAAGCCCTTAAAGAAACAACAGTGTTATTTCATACCACAGAATTATCACTTTTGAAAAGTCTCATTCTCTGAGTAAAAAAACCCCTCCCCCCTCCCCCTCCCCACTAGGCAGGTAATCAGTAATCTTCTCCTGCAAGTTGGAAGAGATAGATGCTTGTGGAAGGTCAGGCCCAGACAGTAAATAAATATGATTCCCAATATGTAGGCTTGATAATGGGTTTAGTTTACACTGCTGTTGGAACCCCCAATGGTTGTAGCTGTACATCTTACCAGTCTGTTTTGGCAGCAGACTATTTGCCCGACTTGGATGAGGTTAAAGAAAGCCTATTACCAGTTTGCAAGTATTACCCTTCATAAAACAATCTATAAAATGAGTACAAGAACTTCCATTTTCACTGCTTTTTTGATAGGTACCAGAAAATATTAAATCTCTTTTTTTTTTACACCAAAGACAGTGAGGTAGATGATAGTGTGTCTATAACAAGACCTGACTAAACACATTTTCCTCCCACACGAAAGTCTCAACTCAACTGCACACAGCCATTTTAGGTAGCTACGATGTAGATGCTGTAATTTACCATGTCGCACTTCAAACACGTACTTCCAAATCAACTGCATATGCACAAGACTGGGATGGTTCTGAATGTTATTTACTTTTGAGCAAAAAAACAGGTTGCAAATTTACAAAAACAGGAGTACAGAAAAACTCTTGCTGCAAGCATTTTTCTTCAACCAATCAAACCCAGAGAAAAAAATTTCCATGCAGGGTAACGTAATTATACAACAACCTTCTCCGTCTCTCTCAGCATTGGTTTTATTTTGCCACAGTTTGAAACGCTGATTCAATTTTGTTTGTACCTGTCGAAATAAGGTGACAGGGCCCACAAAATTAACATACTACCTCATTCTGATGAGGGAAGAAACAAGAACAATTAGTTTCCCATGTACTGAGAAAACATGTAACCAAACATAAATTGAGGCAAATTATCTTTCTTGGGCTTTTAACTCTAAAAAATTAAGTGCAAGTGAAATATAAGACACAAGATCAGCATTAACTGCATTCCATGTTTCCCAAACAACAACTAAGTCTCAGCATATGAGATTGGTTAGACTGAAATGAGCTGACAATGGAATGCAGATCTTATTGCCTTTTTCATAAAAAAACTTGTAAACTAAAACCCTAGAAAAACCTAAGGCCTTTTGTCTTCACCAGACAAAAGTAAAAGACATAACAATAATAATATTAAGCTTCTTGCGTTCTACTTTTTTTTCTTTTTTTGCCTATGCTCAACATTTCTCCACAATCTTTTAGATGCTTATTTTATTCAAAACTCACTACAAAACCTATCCACTAATATGACTGAAATATAAGTTCTAATATCCAACTTTCTACCAAATGATACACATTAATTTTATCCTCAATTTCTAATGAACTATTCTGAATTACTGCAGTTTTACTACTTCCAATATAACTTTATTTCTGGTTTATCATGTTATAGCTTTCATTCTATCTATGTAGCATGTAGTAAGGTTTCTTGGAAGTTCTCTTCAATGTCATTCCACAATTTCAAAAGTGAACGACCACAAAAATCTAGCTTTTTATATTATTTGTTTCACTTGTAACATTATCTTACTGAATTTTAAAAATGTGCTATCTTTCTTGTGTTGAATCCATTTGTTAACACTTTTAAATGATTGTCAAATCTTACAGAAAGTAACCACAAAACAGATGGCTGATTGTTAAAAAGATCTCTTCACAGAATAGTTAAACCACAAGTTGCAAAACTGATAATTTTTTTTTTTTTTTTTTGTTTCTTTCCTTTTTAGACACATGACTGTTATTTATGTGGTCTTTTCTAAGAATTTCGATGCATTTTTAATTGGTGCTATTCAAGACTTGTAATTCATCTTGCACATGCCTTTTCATGCCTGCCCATTTTTATTTTTAAACATCCTTTTGTGTAAAAGGGTATCCTCAGCCTTTTGGTGACCATAAGGCATTTTAAATTGTTAAAAGCCCTTAAAAAGTAGTTCAAGAGGCCAAAACCCTTCTTAATTTGCTTTCAAAACTGTGTGAAAGAATTCCTCTGATACTACATTTTTTCACAAGAACATCAGGGAATACTACAGCAGACAAGACAATACTTATGCACAAACCTTTTTTTAAAAAAAGGGTAAAATATTATCTATGACAGGTTTGGGAAAAATGGGACAGCAGACTAATTTTAACACTTGCCTCAAATGTCTTTTTCAGGATAACAAAAGTTTTAAATAAAAATTTTAAAAAAATCATTATTTTTAATTTACATGGAAGGTTATGTCAAGGATTTAGATTTCTGAACAGCCTCAAGGCTAGAAATAACATACATAAAAAAATTAAGAGCATCCGCATACGCAGAGCTTGTACAAGGAAATATCATTTATTCCACAATACTCCAAACAATGTGTCTGTGTCAAACCACACCTTGGGGCTAGAGAAAAGTTGTTGTTTCTAGCTTCTGGCGATCCTTCCCAACTACCTTTGTGCCCACGATTAAGTGAACCTTTAACTCAGAGGCCCATCATATAATCACACCTGGATTCTACCTTCATGCGTCAAAGACTAATCACTCATTCTCGGCGGCAACCCTTACCACTGGCACTCCGCACCAAACAGTCATTAAAACAATTGAGATGTCACCCCAAACACAGTTGGCTTCGGGCTACAGTATTCTGATTAAAGAGAATATCATTTTGGGGACTGATCAGAATAGTTAATGGGGTGGACTGAAAAAGGAAACTCCTTGATCTTTTTTTTTTTTGTAAGAGGTAACAGTACTGAGAGGTCTGAAAGATGTTAAGGGTGGGCACAAAGAAAATAATGAAAATTTTCTTTTTGTGTTTTGTCCTCATATGCACACCTGGTGAACAAATAAAATGTATATCATAGTACTTTCTCCATTACATTAATTTCTGCAGCGTCACTTCCTCAAGTCTATCCTCGATAAAAAGGAAGAAGACCTCAGCAAAGGGCACAGGTTTTCCTCATTCCAGATCAGTAATATACATTGATGCAACAGCCGTCAGACAATTAGATTTCTGGGCAGTGGTAAATTGATTGGGTTCATCCCACATACAGTCCAGGTCAGTGAAGTGTTAGCAAACGAAGCGTCAAACACAGTTGATTTCAACTAATTACTCTCCCCTGTGGCAAAAACCTCAGTTCAAAGTGTTAAAGAGTGTAATTACTTCGAAATAAGTTTTGTTCCTTTGAGTACAAACTTCATTTTTTTCTTGAGTCTTCTTGACAATACCATCATCACCTCTTGAAAAATATATTAAAAAAGGCAAGCAAAGCTTACTTTTTTCTTCTTTACACAATATCCTTGAAAGCATGTTAAATCAGTAAACCAAAGAGTCCACTTCCCCCTTTTTGTTAACTATACATGAATGTTAAACAATTCTGGCACGTAGCAAATAATTAATGTCAATTTTGATTTCTTTCCACCTACTGCTTATCACTTCACTCTTCCACTAAATTATATCTGACAGCAACCTCATATCTATTTGTTAGAGGCAGTCATAAAATGGAGCATTGATATGTACGTAAATATGATGTCAGAAACAGTGGAAGAAAGATCAGTCAGTTATTAATGTGTGTATAAAAGTCTAATGACTGGCAGGATAAGGAAAGGATCATATGCCAATAATTCACTCCAACCAGAAACAAATGAGGTGGGGTCAGCCACAATCACCTACATCTGTTTTGAAGCATACTTATGAAAAATAGCAGGAAAATGTGTTATGATAGCGTGGTTAACATGGTAATTTTAGCACCAAGATATAGCAGGAACAAAGATAGCACTGTATCTCCACAATATTTAGTTTCCTTTATGTAATACCAACTTTTCAGAATAAAACCTACTTCAGCCATGTGCTTTTGTTTTTTAAGTTATGGTATGTTCTTTCTCTTTATTTACTTTCTTCTCAAGACAAAAATTCTCCAAAGTTTTTTTTTTTTTTTCATGCAAACCATTTATATTCTTACTTTTTCTAATCACCTGTTTTGTGGCGCAAATACAAAGTTTGATGTTTCTGAAAATTAATTGACTTACTTCTTGTGATTCTGAGAAGCTCTCTTGCAGAAAACACCCCAGTGGCAGAAATACTGTCATTGCCGGACACGCCAGAATGGATGTTGCCTGGAACTAAACAGAAAACCACAATTAATCAAAGATGGAATTTGGAGATCATAAACTCTGTCAGGTTTTATCTTAACCTCTTTCTTTTTCAATTTTTGTCTTCTTTTTGTGCCACAAAATAAAAAATCAGGACTTCCTCTTTTAAAAGGTTTCTCAACCACCACCATGGGATGAACAGAGTAAACCTAATGGACACTGTCAACAATTTATTACATTTCAAGATAATTATTATTTTTATTTCTGTGACAGTTTAAGATTTCTATCACCTCCAGAAGCACCAGTGTGAACAAATATGGCATTCTATTGATCTGCAAAGAGAAGAGTCCATAATCTTATTGGTAATTCTCTATCAGTAAATTTAGGAGTCTAAAGTCAATAAAACACAACAAAGAGAGGGACATAAGATTGCATGCACATCGCTACAAAGCCTCAAACAAACATTTGGAAAGAGAAAGGTCAAAATCCACTTGGGGATCAATGACTCTTCAATAGTTAATATTTGCCTTTTTCCCCTGAACCGTACGGCTCTTTACTTGATTACAAAGCCCACATAGGGTGAGCTTCGGCTCTCAGGAGTCCTGTTCTACTCGATTAACTGGAGAAAACATATTAAATATTACTTTTAGTTCACAGGGTTAAATGCTTTCAGAAAGATTTCTTTCTGTCTTCTTCATTACTTTGACTATTATGGAACTCAGCATGTTGAGTCATCCTACCGCAGAGCCCAGCGACATGTGACCTCAGATGTAATTTACTTTCTGCTGTAACTGTCCCTTCTTTTATCATTAGTTTTGATGGACTATCCATTGTATAGATAGATCTTCTGCCACAATATACAAATGATTAGCTAGATAATCTATAAACTAAGGTCTGTGGACAAATTAGATTGCTCTAGGTCAAGTGTAGGTTAAATCTATTTATTGTTTATATCACATCGACAATGACAGCATGATTTATCAATGCAGCATGCTTGAGCGTGCAGCTCAAATGTCTTCCCTCGCACTGAAGGCTTACATGACTTTTACTCATACTTTAACAAGACAAAAAGAGATATTAATTACACAGGACAGATGTGGAAATAAATAAGGGCATACAAAATTGATTTTAAACATTTCAAACCATGCAAAAAGAAAGAAAGCAAAAAAGAAGCCAAAACTGAGAGAATGCAAGTCATTTTCTGCTGAATACTTCATGGGGCATGCATCAGGAAGTGGATCAGCAAAAATGAAATCGGAAAAATAGTCGAGATGAAAATATACCTTTTACATCCTGCTCCTCAGCCATATTAAAAACTGTGTAATCTCTTGGAACTAAAATGAGAAAATAAATGAAACCAATACATTTTGTGAAGCATTTATGCATTAGCTGTGCAAAATATAGAAATAAAATGTCAAAAACATTTGTGAACATGTAGATACCTGTCAACTAAAGTGCTTGTGCTTTGCTACAATTAAGCTTTCCCTCATTCAAAAATTTTGCCATAATTGTAATGATAAAAAAATGTTTTTCTTTTTTAAAAAAAACATTAACCGTTCTGTTCTTTTTTGCTACTTCACAAAATTTGGATGACATTTTTAGTCTGATCACTCTGCAAATAAGGGATAATTATTTACGATTACTTTAATACAAAAACATTCTACATAAATGGATGTTTTTGGTCACCAAAACATAATCACACTAATTACAGATTATTTTTTGTGTTGCTAATTCTTGTAATGAGGGGTAATTTCAGAACAACTATGTTACATAAGCTACATAATTATAATTAACTCAGATCAGGATTTATTTTTGGCTGACGAAGAAACAAGTTGGGGAAAATTCTACTAAGGATTTGATGTCACACATCATTAGTTAGGGCCACCTTGCAAAAACTGGGTATCAGAAAAATTGATTTTCCTATGGATAACATGACAAGGAAGTCCTGCCTTTTCAAGCATAAACCCATTTAACCCAACTTAATGCCTGGCAGAACAAGCTTTCATATCAACATTCAAATTGTTTCCTTTATTTTCCTAACTGAAAAGAAAACCATAAAAACATACAAAGTTTCAGTTCATCTAGCATCCACTCTCCCATTTCGAGAACATGTTAAAATAATAAAGTGCGTGACATCAGGACACTAAGTTTCTCCAAACCAGTGCACTTACTACCCATAAAACAATTTCCAACATATAATACAAGGAAAATAAGACAACTTACCATAACTGTGAATAAAGTTGGCCAGATAAAGATCCAATTCCCTCACAGTGACACTTATATGATGTGGGTTGACACACAACTGTGGGTTCATACACTCTGGTGACTTTTCCAGTCTTTCTCCGTCTGTGCTTTCCAGCGGGATAGCTTTGAACAAAATCACCATAACCAAGTCCAGTCGCCATACTTTATCTGCCTGACGAAGGCAGTCAATTCTTCTCATTTTCCCCTTCTGATCGGGGTTACTCATGACACACGATGGAGGTCGTTTCCCTGTAATACTGAGTACAAAATCTTCTCTGTACTCTTGAGTGATGTCCTTTCGTAATTTTGCAAGAAGCCTGGAGGCCCATTTCTGTTTAACTTCAGGTTTTTCACTCTGAAAAAAAAAGTTTAATGTTTTTTTTTTCTGTACAATACCAAATTAGCCATCCAAAAGAATCTAATAGTATTTCATTCATATTTTCTTAAAAATAGCAAAGCAAGCAGAAAGACAAAAAGGACTAAAGCAATTATGGATTTTTCACTTCACAGCAACAAAAATGTTTTCTGGAAGTTGTTAAGAAGCAGGATTTTTTAATGATTACTTTCTTTCATTTCTAAAGGAACCTTATGGTAACATAGTGCTGTATTATTTCTTAGATGTGGAATTTTTTATTGAAGTGGTAAAAATTTTATTTATCAACAGCACAAGTTCTTTCTGCACTGAGCTACAAAATGACATTCAAGACCAATTAAATCAAACTAGTAAAATTTTGGCTTTTAGCTTTAACTTTACAAGTTTATTATAACATAATCAATTACTTTTAAACTATAAATTCTTAAAGCAGTTATCATGAATTTGAAAATCTTTCAAATTTTGTGCAAGTTTGCACACAAAATCATTTCTCTTTTTGCAACTTCATTAATCTGTTATAGAGAGATATACACTTATCACTCATACTTCTTTTGTACGCCGAAAAATTGAGTACTGAAAGCCTTCACTTCTTTAAAGTGGAAAATTAGTGCAATTCATTTAAATGTTTTTTTCACAGACCACTGCTCATTTCTCTTTTTCAGAACCAAAATCTATTAATTTACACTGTCCCATATCAACCTTTAAACTATCTCAAAACAGGTAATCTATTCAATTTTTCACTGTGTGAATGCACAAATCAAATAAGTCCCCTTTCCTAGTTATATCCAAGAGGGTTACTGACATTAAGCTTAGAGAAGACCTACAGCCTATGCAAACTCGGTAAAGGCTTTAAAAAAATAATATTCCCACAAGGCTGATCCAAAAAGTTTCTAAATCTGATTCATTTATGTGCAGTCTTTGTGCTTTAAATGTAACACTCTTCTTTTGTTGCCCAGTTCTCAAATATAATTTAAAAAGCCCATTGGGAAACCTTTGGACCTTGAAATACTTTTACCTAATGTATTAAAGTTCTTGATTCTTTAAAGATATGAAATTCCTAGATGAAACAGAAGAATCTCAAATTTAATCAAGAATGAAAAAGAACTCAAGAGAGCTCTTGTTGAACCAATAAATGGACAGCTAGCCTGAATTTTTCCTTTAAAAACCTGGTAAAAATCTTTTTTAAGTTGTCGAAAGCGTGGTTAAAATTTACGAGTTAAGTAATGTTAAACTACAGTCACCTTTGTCCAATTTTTTTTTTCGCATGGTACTCAAAGATATGAAAGTTAAATGTTCAGCCAGAATGTATAATAATTCAAAGATAATCCAAAAGATTTACGTGTCATCTTTTTTCTTCATATTAAAATTAAAATTCTTTCATGTTAACAAACGCTTACCTGTAGTTCCTCCTTAACCCTCCGTTCTTCATCCATAGACATGCGCTTTTCATATTTTTTGTAGTATTTTCTCTTGGCTGCTTGCAGGTTGAACCATGTGTAGGAGAATGCCTTCACATGAGGCAGAAGTGCCTCGATGAAGGGATGAAATTCATCCTGAAAAACGGACATAAATGAAGAAATAACACGTCTTACTATCAATTTAAATTTTACCTGAGCTGAAGGAAAGAGTTTTGATACTAATGATGAGGCTAAAAAATGCCAAAATTTGGACAGATAGTATTTTGCATCAAAAACGATCACATCTCATCAACATGAAACGCAACCTCACCTATGCAATAATCATAATTTTCATTTATAAGACTAAACTTTTTGTCAAATATGAGCTGTACTGTATCTGAATCTATCTAAAATAGTTTAATACTTAAAAATTGACAGCACTTTTTTTCTAAAATGTCATTTCCATTTATTTTTTAAAATTCTTTTCCAGTCAAAGAATGTTAACTTTTGTTTGACTTCAAGTGCACCTGGAAACAGTATAACATAGTTATTCTTTTCTATTAGATTTTTTTCTGTTAAAAGCTCTAAAAGAAGAAAAATTGCAATCTGTTCATCTAAAACACTTAAAATATATGGTCTGTATAGACTAATGTCTGTACAGTCTGCTCACTTCTGTCTGGCCTCAGCTCAGGTAAATTGTAAAGGTGAGTCTCAGTGCAACAAAATATTACCCACATGTTCAAGTCAACTGACAGGAAACATTAAGTCTGATTCTATTCAAGTAAATCTTTTCTCAGACACAACTTAATTCCAGGTAAAAAAACTATTCACTTAAACATTCAAAAACCCTGAAACGAAGCATAAAATGACAAAACAATGGTTTCCTACCCCTGCTCTAAATGGATTGTTTCTTACCCCACGCCCCTTTCTGATAACAGAGAGTGTTAACCTCAAGGCATTTGATAGATTTTACCCGTTTCTGCCAGATAGCGTTTCTAAATTGAGAACAATCTGATGCCTGCTGCAATCACTCCAGTTTCACAAACTATCATTGTTAAAATGAAGCAAAAACTGCAGCAATGCCAACTAAATCTAGAGCAAGGTGGTGAAATGACTAATTATACAGTAGAATGAAGCCAAAATGAAATAGAACCCAAGAACTCTGGCCAAAATCACCCCAGCAGTCGTGTACAGTTTCTACTGTATGGTGGTTGAGCCAGGGTCTGTCAAGCAGCACTGGCTGCCAACACACACTTGCTGCCTCCATTGCTACTTCTGTAAACTAAGTGGTGGGAAAGTTGGCCAATTTTCTGATGGCCACATAAATAACTGCCTAGCTCTGCCAAAAACTTGTGCTAAAATGATGAGGCAATCAGTTGCCAGCTCCACTCCTGCTATAAGCAATATGCTTTCAAAAACCAAGCCAAAGTTGCAGGCCAAGTTACAGCCGGCAAATGGCAGAAGAATCGTCAGAACTTACAAGAGATGAATACGGCATTGACATCATCATCATCTTGCCGAGTGTGGTGTGCGCAGTACTATGCACGGTGTGACTGCACAGTTCCATCCACTGTCTGCTCACTATATAGATTTTCAGAGGTTAGCTCCTGATGACCTCTATATTGTTAATGCTGTGCCCTGAAGAATTTCTCAGATACCACTGTTGGACCCAGGTAGACCCAAGAAATGATTGTCCGCCCTTGACATGAGGTGTAGGACTATGATTAATTACCCGAGGAGAAGAACTCCTGATTTGATTGTGCCATTGTTTTGGGCACTATCTTATCCATCTTCATCTATTGAGTTCCTTGCAGGAAACGGGATTCCCTTGATCATACAATTAAGGAAGAATAAGTGTTAAACCTTGTTAGGACCAAGTCCCAGACAGGCTGTGTGCAGCAAAAAAACACGCTGCTTTCAGAGATGGAGAGAGATTATAAGTCATTTCCAGGATTACCTGCTTATCATTGGATCAGAACTTTTCGCCTACCTAAGACTTTTGGCAACAGCAACAGGTTTCTTCATTTGCTGTACGAGTTGCAAGACCCAAGGAAAAAATCCATGATTATCACAGCCCCAATGAATTATCTCATATTTTCTAGCCCTCTGATAAAAGCAGGCAGGTAAATATCAGGTGAGTCAAATATTTTCTTCTTCAGAGGTTTTCTAGGTGTATATATTTTTGACCCAGGGCTAAGCATTTGTCATTTTCCAATACAGTTGTACAGTTCCTCTGGTAAAAAGAATAACTTCATTGCTTTCCCTGCAATTACAGTCCTTTAATTACATTTTTCTGGATATGGTTATCCAAACAATTTCAATGCAAGATGCTGAATTCATCAAAATATCCCTTTCATCCATAGGAACTGTTAATGTACCTTCATAATATAAGGAAATAATTGTAAGAAACTTTCAACACAAAGCAGACCCAAATGTTTCCTCTACGTTATTAAGTTTCAAAACAGAATTGACATATCATTACACAGTACTTTAATTTTTTTTCACAGTTTTACTCAAAGTCCAAATTCAGGAAGTACATTCACACAGTCAAAACACATGACATGACCACAAAAGTAAGAAACAGCCAAGATCAGGAAGCAACAGATGATAAATTTTTGTAGACAATAGCTGAATCAGAGTCACAAGAAACTATATGTTGCTGATAGAAATCTGCTTTTAGATAAAAAGGACTAAATGAAATAAAAACATGCCATCAAAATAATAACAAATAAATCCCTTTGTAAAGCATGACCTCAAATTCTACCAGTCAGCTTTTTAAGCCTTCAACTTTTCTTTCTTTCCAAGACTTTGTTTTGCATTTTTGTTATCTTGCCTTTTAAAACAGATGAATTTCACAGAAAAAGAGCTATTTTTCTTTCCCATTTTTCTCATTTTCTATAGCCGAGTAGCTCTGGGCAATGTTAAGAGATAGACTCCTTCATAAGTTCTGGATCTGTACCTCCTCACAATGTTGTCGAGTTCCTACCTAACCCTATCCCACCAACCTGTATTTCCATGGTGTATCTAGACCTTTCCAAAGTCTGCTCATATTCCTACGTACTTCTCAAGTCTGCTTTACATCTGCTTCTGCATTCTGACATCACAAACACTGTATGTGTGGATCAGGGAGTGAAAAAAAATAACATTACAGCAGAGAAGCTTGTAATTCTGTATGTCATACTCTCCTTCCTTGGAATACAGTTGCGTTTTCACTTATAACAACCACTATCAACATTAACTTGCTCTGCCTGATCAAATGTTATACATTACCAGGGGCCCAAATATAAAACAGGCTGGCTTTTTCCAGCAACTTAATAAAGAAGCCAAGTTTCACAGTTGTTCTGCCCTTCCCATTGCCCCAGAATAGTCCCAAAATAGTTATTCAAAATGTAAACTTGGTACAACAGAAAGCAACATAAAATCTCTGACTGACCATCCCTTCATAATCACAAGAAGTTTTCCAGACTTTTTTTTTCTTGGAGATATGTAGAAGTCAATATATCCAAGGTTGAATCTGACGAAAAAAATTCAATCTGACTTGTGAGCTTCTAAAGGAGCCCTATTTTCACTGAGGTTAATGGTTCTTCTAGGTGTTCCTACATATATCCCGATAACTGTGTGAAGGCTTTAATTGTGATGGGATCACTTTCACCTTATGTTAGGACCCGCATGGTGATAACTGCCAGTTGTTGACTTTTCAGTGGGAACTGTTGATTCTTTCCATGGAGCAAAAACAATGCTGTCATCTAAGCAATGGATAACTCTCATTTCCTCATTACTTGACTATCCCATCCCTTTTTTTGGGGAGCAAGAGAGCATCTGAACTATGCACTGATGACTGTGAGTAAGATTTAACTGCCTTAAATGACTTTCATAAAGCACTTTGCTGTTTTTTATGGGCAATCTATTTTTAAACTGTTAACAAATAACATTGATATTTGTTTTTATTAACAATATTTCTTTGAGCTTCTAATTGGAGCTCAGAAATCAGAAAAAAATGTGGTTCCAGCCTTACTTCTTATCAGTTGTTTAATCATATTTCTATGCTAATATCAGTAATTTCTTAATCACAAGATATCAGGACCAATTTTAACAGTTCAAATGCCTTCTAGAGAACACTCAAAATTAAAAGCTTCAGTGGGAAAACTCTAGCTGATCCTGTAAATTGATAAAGATAATATCAAAGAATCAAATCTACTGTGCACTCAATCATTTCCCTACCAAACACACAGGAAGTACAAGTTCACTCTTTCACAGTCTACCTATTCATGTAAAAAANTCTACGAGTTGCAAGACCCAAGGAAAAATCCATGATTATCACAGCCCCAATGAATTATCTCATATTTTCTAGCCCTCTGATAAAAGCAGGCAGGTAAATATCAGGTGAGTCAAATATTTTCTCCTTCAGAGGTTTTCTAGGTGTATATATTTTTGACCCATGGCTAAGCATTTGTCATTTTCCAATACAGTTGTACAGTTCCTCTGGTAAAAAGAATAACTTCATTGCTTTCCCTTCAATTACAGTCCTTTAATTACATTTTTCTGGATATGGTTATCCAAACAATTTCAGTGCAAGATGGTGAATTCATCAAAATAGCCCTTTCATCCATAGGAACTGTTAATGCACCTTCATAATATAAGGAAATAATTGTAAGAAACTTTCAACACAAAGCAGAGCCAAATGTTTCCTCTACGTTATTAAGTTTCAAAACAGAATTGACATATCATTACACAGTACTTTAATTTTTTTCACAGTTTTACTCAAAGTCCAAATTCAGGAAGTACATCCACACAGTCAAAACACATGACAAGACCACAAAATTAAGAAACAGCCAAGATCAGGAAGCAACAGATGATAAATTTTTGTAGACAATAGCTGAATCAGAGTCACAAGAAACTACATGTTGCTGATAGAAATCAGCTTTTAGATAAAAAGGACTAAATGAAATAAAAACATGCCATCAAAATAATTACAAATAAATCCCTTTGTAAAGCATGACCTCAAATTCTACCAGTCAGCTTTTTAAGCCTTCAACTTTTCTTTCTTTCCAAGACTTTGGTTTGCATTTTTGTTATCTTGCCTTTTAAAACAGATGAATTTCACAGAAAAAGAGCTATTTTTCTTTCTCATTTTTCTCATTTTCTATAGCAGAGTAGCTCTGGGCAATGTTAAGAGCTAGACTTCTTCATAAGTTCTGGATCTGTACCTCCTCACAATGTTGTCGAGTTCCTACCTAACCCTATCCCACCAACCTGTATTTCCATGGTGTATCTAGACCTTTCCAAAGTCTGCTCATATTCCTACGTACTTCTCAAGTCTGCTTTACATCTGCTTCTGCATTCTGACATCACAAACACTGTATGTGTGGATCAGGGAGTGAAAAAAAATAACATTACAGCAGAGAAGCTTGTAATTCTGTATGTCATACTCTCCTTCCTTGGAATACAGTTGCGTTTTCACTTATAACAACCACTATCAACATTAACTTGCTCTGCCTGATCAAATGTTATACATTACCAGGGGCCCAAATATAAAACAGGCTGGCTTTTTCCAGCAACTTAATAAAGAAGCCAAGTTTCACAGTTGTTCTGCCCTTCCCATTGCCCCAGAATAGTTCTAAAACAGTTATTCAAAATGTAAACTTGGTACAACAGAAAGCAACATAAAATCTCTGACTGACCATCCCTTCATAATCACAAGAAGTTTTCCAGACTTTTTTTTTCTTGAAGATATGTAGAAGTCAATATATCCAAGGTTGAATCTGAAGAAAAAAATTCAATCTGACTTGCGGGCTTCTAAAGGAGCCCTATTTTCACTGAGGTTAATGGTTCTTCTAGGTGTTCCTACATATATCCCGATAACTGTGTGAAGGCTTTAATTGTGATGGGATCACTTTCACCTTATGTTAGGACCCGCATGGTGATAACTGCCAGTTGTTGACTTTTCAGTGGGAACTGTTGATTCTTTCCATGGAGCAAAAACAATGCTGTCATCTAAGCAATGGATAACTCTCATTTCCTCATTACTTGACTATCCCATCCCTTTTTTTGGGGAGCAAGAGAGCATCTGAACTATGCACTGATGACTGTGAGTAAGATTTAACTGCCTTAAATGACTTTCATAAAGCACTTTGCTGTTTTTTATGGGCACTCTATTTTTAAACTGTTCACAAATAACATTGATATTTGTTTTTATTAACGATATTTCTTTGAGCTTCTAATTCGAGCTCAGAAATCAGAAAAAAAATGTGGTTCCAGCCTTACTTCTTATCAGTTGTTTAATCATATTTCTATGCTAATATCAGTAATTTCTTAATCACAAGATATCAGGACCAATTTTAACAGTTCAAATGCCTTCTAGAGAACACTCAAAATTAAAAGCTTCAGTGGGAAAACTCTGGCTGATCCTGTAAATTGATAAACATAATATCAAAGAATCAAATCTACTGTGCACTCAATCATTTCCCTACCAAACACACAGGAAGTACAAGTTCACTCTTTCACAGTCTACCTATTCATGTAAAAAAATAATAATTACATTTCCTATTTCACAGACTTTGAGACAGCCCATAAACCTCTAGTTTGCTACACCCAAAACAATAAAATTTAATTAATTTTTTAACTTCCTCATAGAATAATAAGAGTCAATCTTGCTATTTAGCAGTTTTTTCATAACTAATGGATCAGGAATCACAACTCAGCAACTTCCTTGCTGCCCATGCATGTCTGATTGGTCAGGCAGTGACCAGCCTATCTCAATGTCAAAGGACAGATGTGTCCAGCTGTGAAACAAGACCAGATGTTGCTACTGGGCACAACTGGACATGTCCAGTTGCTGTCATATAGCCTTGGCTCCAGGCAACAGATGGTGGGCTCAGATATCTTACAAGGCTGGACAATACAGCTGGGGGCTACTGTGCGGACATTGCCATTCCTCCCCGCACACTCCTTTATTATAATGCTAACGGGAATTTGATGCTTCTCATAAAAACACACCAGAAAACCCCTTCTGACACATCTCCAATGTTTTTATGCTACACCTTTTGGGTTCAGTGCAACAAATTTAATAGAAATATTTTTAAAAAATCAGTGAAATTATTTATTCTACTGCATAATTGCACCACTACATATCGATAAACGATCAATCCAATGGCAGTTAGTTTTTTTTTTTTTTAATCAAGAACCAAACTTGCTTGCAGCTGGAAAAAATGCATCATTTAACCAAACCAATGCAAATTCAATGCATTTAAAATCTCTTACTAATTAATATCTTCTCATTTTATCTTTATCTATTTATTTTTTTAGTTTTGTTATAAATACAATAGAAAACTGCAAGTTTTGAAAGATCTACAAATGTAGTTGACGCTTTGCCCTTTTTCAAAGGAAAGTCACAATGATTCACCAAGACACTGCAGGTAGTGCAGCAAAATATTCCGAACACAATCCACAAAATCAACTACAAGAACAAGGGGGTTCATGCTTTTTACATATCCTTTTAAATAATTTTTGGAGTGACTCTTTCAGTCCTACACTCTGTCCTTTTAAAATGAGACAATATTTTGATCAAATAACACAATACAAAGGTCTCGTAAAGATTAGTAACCATAGTGACCATAGGGGTTGTTTCTGTTTATATTTTAACTGTGCTTTGCTTGCAGCTAATAATCCCAACTCCATAATTCCTTGAATTAACTTGTGCTGTTGGTAATCTACCCACTGAATATATAGGCAGTCTCTTAATCACAGGTTACCTAACCAATCTGACCAGACAGACACAAACAAATCAATCAATAGCCCTGGTAATTAGAAGGTCTGAATGCTTTCCTGTGTGCTAGTGACCACTGTACAGTAATGAAGTCTAGCAAAATTAATGAGGCATTCATTTTCCTTTTTCTGTTTTTCACGTTTATAATTTTTATTCATTAGGTGCAGATTTTGATAAAAAAAACTTTTTACTTGCATGGACTTCCAAAGGGTGGATTTTGGAGCAATTAAAGGCATAGGGGAAACTTTTTGTATCAAAATTCAGGGGAGTTTTGTCATTGATAACCAATGCCAGGCATAGATATGACATGACAAAAAAAAACCCAATTACATTAGTTGCAAAAAATAAATAATAAAAATTCCAAACCCCACACATAACCTTAAGAGAACCAATGACAGACAAATTTTGGTTGGGAATTATTTAGCATGATCTGGAAAACACATCCTGATACAGTAATTTTAAAAGTAAATAATGTGGGGAAGCTGATAATTAGCAGTAAAAGTATAATATCAAAATGCAATCTAAAGCTATTTTATGTATCATTTTGCACCTAGTACTTCTACCTGTTATAAAAAAAATCATGCCTCTAAATCATATCAATTACCACATTCTCACCAGAATATTGAAATTAATAAGAATATTAATGGTCAACAAATGGTCAACTCTTTTAATTATAGTACCCCCCCACTAATTGAACAATGTTGCTATCAAAGCCATTAATTATTATCTAAAATATTCCTTTCTCTCTCTTTCAAATGTCAAAAAAGTAATTTTTTTTTGAAAAATGTAAAAGAAAACTATTCACTTACTGGAAAAAACAGCTGGATTTTTAAAATAACAATATAAATTCTACACCATTATACCAGACTCGTTTCATAAACTTCCAATCAAGTCACATTAACATGTCTTCTTATATTTTATATTCTATTGATATTATATCTTCTACAGTCTTCTATTTCTTATTACCGTATTATATATATGTATTCAGACTGAATAAAGGGAATGCAAAATTGACACAACAACCATAAACAGTGTTGTATTGGAGGGGCAATATTTTCTCCCTTTCAAATGATTTTTTTTTACTCAGAAAGATAAATGTTGATTAAAATGAAGTTAAATCATACAGTGCTTTAAGTAAGATGTCAAAACATCAACAATGCAGAGTATTAAACATTTTAACATTATCAGGGAAGCCAAAAATTGTTGAAGTTTTGATAAATTTTTTAACGGTACCAAATCAGTCCAAAGAACATGACATAACAATGTTGAACAATTCTGTGAACC